GACCGACCGACCGATTCTAATTGATTATTATTCAACTCTCTGCTGCCTGGCTCCCTCTCCTTTGACTTTACCACGCGCCCCAATTGGATTGTCGCAGAAATGGGCTTGCGATAATTGCTGTTTTCACGCGCTGGATATCCCACAGATAAGATAGATATCTGCACTTATCCGCCTCGAAACACTTGACCCTGCGCTTCTTCCCGGTGTAACCACAACCTCGCTCCACCTCACCCGCTTCATATCTCCGGCATGCTTACCGATCATGGAGTCCCTTGTCTATGAGAACTCGCCTTTGGCTGAATATCTCCAAGGTGAGTTCAGTCACGACCAGCCTCATCGGCCCAGCGGCATCTCATTCGTTCTTACGTCAGGGGAGGGCGAGCACGATCCAAACTGGCCGGCTCAGGAGACCGAGCACAGCGATGATTTCTCCGATTCCACCGCGGCGGATTTTGCCCCACGAGGGGCTTCAAAGTTCCAGGAGCGCATCCGGAATAAGCTCCCCAAACCACTTGATCAGAAGGCCTTGCGACAGAGGGCGAGTCTGGGTAAACTGTATGATGCCTGCACGGTATGACGCCATAGCTCACGCAGTCCGTCTGAGTTGAAGATGAGCTGACTCAATATCTTTCCCTACAGTCCGCCTTGAATTCGCGCGTCGGACGAAGCGATAACGAGCGGTTCCTAGAACAATTTGGCTATGTTATTGTCGCGTCTCAGTTGTTGAACGAGCACAGTGCGCCCTCGTATGCGTCTGCCACGGATGTACTCTCTGCTGCGCGGCCTGCCGATCTGCCCTCGATTTCCGCGACTTTCGGCGTTCAAGGAGCAATCGTGACTGCCTCGACATCGTTCTCTATCGCTTGGTTATTGCACTGGGGCCGGTCGAAGACAATATCGGGGCTAAACCCACGGAAGGTCGGGGTTTTGCTAGTCTTGGTCCCTGTGATTGGAGTTTTGTTCTACGCCTTCGCAAAGCGGCAGTGGTTGAAATACCTGCGTCACCAAGCTGTTGATGCAGCTGCGACGTTCATAGGCAATGCTCAGGGATTCGACTCTGCTGCCTCGGCATCAGTTGTGTTTATTCAGGAAGTCGAGCTGGTCTCGAGAGGCTACCGCATGTAGGCAACCATCCTACCTTACTTTTACACCTGGTTTTGACCGACCTCCTCTATAGAAGCACACCTCTGCCACCAATCAGCAGACTCGAAGACCAGACGCAAACGCGACGATGCTTGAGACTGCGCCGCACTGTCTCTGAATCCTTCTACCTCATGCTCGGTCGATACCTTCAGGCACAACAAATTTTGCAGCCTCTAACCGATGAAGCAAACCTGGCCAAATACTACGATATCTATGACGTATCCGAAGAAGAGCTTGTGGAGGCACAGGGATCATACCGCGACCGAGCGACCGAGGATCAGTATTCTCTGCGTGCGCTGCGAACACTGTTTGGAAGACTCTACACGGTGAGAAAGAGCATCTTCTGTTGCCTCCTCGCTCTAGGAGCCGATGGGGGAGGCTCCGATATCGCGAGATGGACTACTGCCGTCGAACAGATGCGGGAACTGGCCAGCGTGACTGGGGAGAACACTCACAAGATGACCAGCATTCTGAATGAAGAGGACGGTGAGCTTGCCCGCGGTCAAATCCTTACCCCGAAGCTAATTGCATGTTCCAGCTGATGCTATTCCTCCTTCTCCCCTACCAACTGCCTCACTTAACAAAGACAACCTTCGTGCACAGTATCGTCGGATCAACTCTCTTTCACAGGGCATTCGGGCACTGCACGCGAAAATGCATATTCTTAGAGAAGCCTCCAGCGCAAATCTTGAACGTCCAGCTTCAAGCGAGTTTGAAGCAACTCTGGTGCCCCAATATGAATCTATCGGTGCAGACATCAAGGCTCTGCTACAGGAATGGGAAGCGGGCAAGTCTGCCGTGGCAAATGCACTAGATAGACAACCCAACATGGAATATTCCCGGCCTACGAGTGGTATCAAGATTCCCTTGTCCCCCACACCTAGCCTTGGGGGCTCCACGGCTGTAGAAGGCAGCCCGGCAGATGCGCTCCGAGCTTTGAATGGAGAAAGACCCGACTCTTTGATCATGCACAATGCAGATGAGGCAGAGGAGATTTTCGAAGCCATTGCTCTCCCGCCTCGAAACAAAAGGGCATCGATGACTCGGGAAGAACGCATCGCCCGTGTCAAAGAAGACCGGGCACGGCAAGCCGCTCTTCGGGAGCGTGCTGATGCAAACACCAACATGCTCAAGGAGCTCGAGATGGTCATCAAGCAAAGACCGCGCACCATGTACGCGAAGCGTGTTACGAGCCTCTGATCTCGCGGATCATCCGCATATATCTATACGACTGTTCCGTCTGAAGACAGTCGTATACTGCTTCGATACTCGCACATATCTTTTCTTCGAGTCTTGCTCTGGTCTGGACTTGAACCCGGACTTGGCCAGCAAGTCATGCAAATTGATACCCAAAAATGTATAGATGGACTGGTGTCACAGGCGCTACGGCGGGGTTGCATTCAATTTTAGCTTTTTCTCTATCATTCTTCGTTTTACTCTAAGCCTCACAGCGCTTGATCTCTCTCTTTTCAACTGTACACTATGTCTATTACTTTCTTTCGTTTGCACATTCTTACCTTGTACCACTTTGCGTCACACCTACCAAGACTGGCAGTGACCAGTTTATCTCATTTGTCAAGCACAGACCAATTTATGTACATAGCCTACAGACTTAAGATTTGGGCCGAGATGCTTTTCTTTCATCATACTATAGCACAAAGAGCGCCGAGCCAAAAGTCCAGGTCGGCCTCAGGCAGAAAGGCTAACCGCAAAGGGTGATATCAGCTCGTGGTATGACGCGACCCGAACGCGTGCCTCCCCCACTAGTAGGAAATAAGAAACTCGCGAACGCGACCTTGCTACACTTTCTGCACCTCCAGCCAATTTCCCTTCAATTTAAGACACACTCAACAAACCATCGACTCTTCCTCTGTACGTCCTTCTTGTCCCAACAGCTGCTTGATCACTCAATTCGCCTAGTTTCGCATTACTGATACCATTGCCTCTGTGCAGAACCTTCCTACCGTCAATCTCCCCTCAATTCATCTTAAACCCCCACCACACCACACACACACACACATCAAGAGTATGCTTCACCAGTTCTCAGTCTCCCTCAAGAACGCAGTCTTAATTCATAATAGTGTTGGAAGCTCGCCTCGAACAAGCTAGCCTTCTCAAGCGCGTATGTGCCTCCTCCATCCTAAACCTGGGAACCAGCCCAGTCGCTAAAATCAGCTTGTGCAGGTCGTCGACGCCATCAAGGATCTCGTGCAGGACTGCAACTTCGATTGCAATGACTCCGGAATCTCCCTACAAGCCATGGACAACTCCCACGTTGCCCTTGTGTCTATGTTGCTGAAGGCCGAGGGGTTTTCTCCTTACCGCTGCGACCGTAACATCGCCCTCGGCATCAACCTGGTTTCTCTGACCAAGGTTCTGCGCGCTGCCCAGAACGAAGATATCCTTACCCTCAAGGCTGAAGACTCCCCTGATGCCGTCAACCTGATGTTCGAGAGTGCCGAGACCGACAGACTAAGCGAGTACGATATCAAGTTGATGGACATTGACCAAGAACACCTGGCCATTCCCGAGACAGAGTACGCTGCTACGGTTGAGATGCCGGCAGCCGAGTTCCAGCGCATCTGCAGAGACTTGATGGCTCTTTCCGAGTCTGGTAAGTTGCCTTGCACAGTGAGAAGAATGAGTTGCTGGCAGAATTGAGCTGACACTCGCAAAGTCGTTATCGAGGCCACGAAGGAGGGTGTCAAGTTCTCCTGCCAGGGTGACATTGGCAGCGGCTCCGTCACCGTCCGTCAACACAGCAACGTTGACAAGCCCGAGCAGAACGTCTCCATTGCCCTCAGCGAGCCCGTCGCCCTCACCTTCTCCCTCAAGTATCTCGTCAACTTCTGCAAGGCCACCAACCTGTCCAACAAGGTGACTCTGTGCTTGTCGCAGGAGGTACCCCTCCTGGTCGAGTATGGTCTCGGAAGCGGCCATCTTCGATTCTACCTTGCTCCTAAGGTTTGCTTTTCTACGTTGGGTATTCATAAGAAATGTCTTGCTGACTTGTGTGCGCAGATCGGTGATGAGGAATAGACGAATGATTGCGGAGCGCAACGAATACCATGATGATAAAAGAGGGTGCAACGGGGAGGCCACGATTTCCATTTCCTTTTCGATTTTATTGACACATTGCATCGCCAGAAAATATCCCTCGAGTGTGTGCACGGGGGCCAAGGTTTACTTCTTCGGTTATAATATCCTGTTAGATATCAAGCGTTTCAATTGTTCCAAATTCAATTGGTTTATAAGCAGATTGATATTTTGAGTTGAGGTTGATCATTAGCGCCTCCTGGGCTTCTAAATTTACTGAGCATCACTAGGCTGGTGGACTTGGAGTCAAATTCACCAGTACTGCATAGATAGACTTTATCAAGCTTGGTTTGGATTTAAAGCGTATATCCGTATATCACAAGTAGACTACTGTAATCATGATCGACTCATCCATCCAACAAGTTACTTCCAGGAGCAAGCACCACCACCAAAAAAACCACCACCTACAAGAACTTGCCGAGCATAACCCCGTACAAGCCCCCAAGCCCAACAATTAGCCGGGGAAAGCTTCTTCCCAGTAGAGGGGATACTTCAACTCACCTGAGAAAAAAAGAAAGTGAAGCGCCATCCCTACCAGAATAATCGGAATCGAATTATACCCTGACTTCCCTCCCTCCAAAGAAAAAGGGAAGTGACGGGCATGCTGCGTATTGCACTAAAGTGTCACCAACCAAAAAGTTGACTGGCACACAATCTTCGCAACGACTCTCCCATGGGGAAACGAGCCCCGAACCGAAGAAGCCCAAAAACAGATTTTTGAGTTCTCCGGTCCAAAGGCCCCCCCGATGTTTCTGATGCCAATTGCAGGTGCATATCACACCAGGCCCTTGCGGGCAGTACCGGCTTTTTACCCTTCTCATAAAGAGAAAGGGAAGAGCGGGTTGTTGGGTGAAGATTCCTCCGAATTTCTCATTTGCAAGGGGTTTCGGGAGAGATTGTGAAAACCTGCTCCTGAAGACGAGATGGGGATCTCGTCGTGTGTAGCAAAGAAACGCAGCATTGGTAAGGATGGCGCTTGAAGGGGAAGAAAGGGAGAGAAGAGAGAGATGAGTCAATGTGGTGGTGGGTTTTTTTTTGTAGCTTGCGTGGGTGGTGGTGGGCTTCACCGCTTGCTGGTTTGAGTGGTGGTGGGCAGCTTGTTTGGATTGTTTGTCTGTCTCTGGGTGTGTCGTGTTGGGTGCAGCAGCAGGGCATTGCGAATGGGATTGCGTTCCTTTCCAAGCATGGGTTCTGATGGAGCATCTTGAAATCCCCTGGTCCGGGCTTTTATTTCTAGAAGATGATTTGGGCTTGAATTAGGGGCTATGAACTCTAGACTCTAGTTTCAGGCTATGGAACTTTCTTGCTCATCATGATCCTTACCCCTGATTGTCATCGAGAGCTTCGCTATGATCTACTTAGTGACAGCTACAACAGCTGCCTCAAATTTTGGACGGATGGGCAACTTCTGCCTGCCTCTTGCCCACGAGCATGGGGCCCTGCAGACGGGCTACAACGGGCTCGGGATGTGTTTCTTTCGTGAGGAGATGACTAAAACCTCATCAATGCGTAAGGTGCTCGAATTTGAGGCATACAGAGCAAGATACTTGGCTGCCTTGAGATCACATAACGACAAGCATTGCTTGCCCATCTTCATGACATGTTGGACGGAGATAACGCTGCATGTCTGAAATTGCCGACGGAGATTTCCCCTGACTCCTCGAGTGTCTTCCATTCATTCGATTCAGAAGTGATGGACCTGAGAGGTGAAACGCTGTACCACGGTACTAACCTCAAGATTCTTTCAACCTGACAAGTCATGAACCCCACCATCGGTCATCGGATAACGGGCACTCCGCGATGTCGGTGCCAAAATCTCCGTTTCGCCGACTGACTTTTGTCTGGAACTGCATAATTCTGCTGCACATCACATTGATTTGTTCGGACACACTGAGCGTATTATGATGCAACAGGACTTAGTCTGCCTTACGAATGGGTTGCGTCGTTGCTTTTTACCCCAATAAGGGCGAGCCTTTGTGGCCGTCTGACCGTATTAGACATACGTGGCGAGCAGAGAAAAAGCATGGGCAAAGTCAGCCCTCCATTCGAGCATCGGCAGGGGGAGTGGCGGCCGGAGTTAAGCCCATCTTTAAGCGACCCCTGGTCTTCCAGCTGCCAAAATTGAGGTACGAACGAAGCCAAAGTGGCCCCGCGCCACCCAAAGAAGAAAATTCGCGGTGATACCAATGGGTCCGCTGCCCGGGACCGGGAGCGATCTACTAATCTCCGTGCCCCAGGCCTTATGCCCCTACTGTGTACACTCGAACTTGCGCATCGCCCAACCAGAGGCGTCTGGAGACCCACGTATTCTAGAATCTCGTGGGGCCGGCTTTCTCCCCTTCCGAGTTCAAGGCATAACCCATTAAATAATCAAAGTATAATGACGAGGACCACCGGTTCGGACTCGGGCTGCGGCCTGCGCTTTGCCGACACCTTGGGTTGGAAGCATTTTAAATAAGTGAATGATGAACGCATTTCCCAGGGGAAGAGGGGAAGTCATACTTTTTTTTGACTAGTCATTCTCTCAATATACCTCCACTTCGCATTTACTTCATTCGATCCTCTTACGATTCTCCCCAACTCTCTTGTGTATCATCATTCTTTTGTACCATTTCACTTCTCAGGGCAAGAGAGCCCACAACCTCCCAGGCTTAGAGGCCCTATCCTCTACTAATCTACTAGTATCAGTCTTTTCAGCAAGTCTATAATATATTCAACACCACCATGCAGAAAGCCGAAGTGCTTGGCGACCATCGGTCGGAGTCGAGCGTATCAATCACGTCCGAAGAAGAGCAGGAAGAGCTTCAGAATCTGACACGAATCGCCTCTAGTCGACATGGCCGGACTCTCTCACACACAGCCACAATCGACGAGAAGAACGATCCCCGATTAGACCCCACGAATCCTGAATTCGACCATCGACGATGGGCAGCGATGGTGTTGAGGGTTCACAATCAGGCAGGAATTACACCACAAACCCAGGGCGTCGTCTTCTCCAATTTGTGCATCTCGGGCTCAGGTTCAGCGCTACGCCTTCAAGAAACACTTCTTACGCAGTTGACGACTCCGTTCCGTCGAATCTCTCGAGCTCTTTCCGGACAGCGGTCGTCTCCCCCACGCCAGATCCTCCACAGTTTTGACGGGTTGCTTCAAAGCGGAGAGTTGCTCCTGGTTCTCGGTCGTCCAGGGAGCGGTTGTTCGACCTTTCTGAAAACGCTTTGTGGACATCTCGGTGGGTTGACTCTTGAGCCTCAAAGCAATATCCAGTACCAGGGGTTGGCGTACGATGACATGATTAAGCATCATCGTGGCGAAGTCGCCTACAACGGAGAGGTTGACCAGCATTTCCCCCATCTCACCGTGGGCCAAACTCTATCATTCGCTGCTCATGCGCGTACCCCTCAACGGCGCATCGAAGGGATTTCGCGCGACGAGTATGTTGATACGCTCACCCAAGTTGTTCTTTCAGTGTTCGGCCTCACTCAAACCATCAACACCAAGGTCGGAGACAACTTCATTCGAGGAGTTAGTGGTGGCGAGCGTAAGCGAGTGAGTATTGCTGAAATGTTCCTCTCTCGGAGCCGAATTGGAGCTTGGGACAATAGCACTCGCGGGTTGGACTCCGCATCCGCCCTGAAATTCATCAAATCCTTACGCCTTGCGGCAGACGTGGGCCAGTCATGCCACGCTGTTGCCGCCTACCAAGCGTCTCAGTCGATGTATGACCTGTTCGACAAGGTCGTCCTCCTCTACGAAGGCTACGAGATCTACTATGGCCCCAGTGACCGCGCCGTGGCCTTCTTCCAAGAGATGGGATGGGAGCTGCCAGAACGTCAAGTCAGTGGTGATTTCCTCACATCTATCACCAACCCTGCGGAGCGCCAGGCACGTCCAGACATGGTCGACAAGGTTCCTCGCACACCCCAGGAGTTCGCAGATTATTGGAAACGCAGTCCCGATTACAAAGAGCTCTGCGCTCAGATTGAGCAATTCCAACGCGACCACCCGCCCAATGCAGACGAGGCCAGGGAATTCAAGCAGCACCACCAAGAGCAGCAAGCCCGTCATACCAGAGCTCGGAGTCCATATCTTCTCTCCGTCCCGATGCAGGTGCGTCTCTGTCTACGCAGGGCATTCCAGCGGCTGCGCAATGACCTCCCGACGGCCATGTCGACTGTTATTGTCCAGTTTATCTTGTCTTTGGTCATCGGCTCTATCTTCTACAACGCGCCCAACACAACCGCTGCCTTCTTCCAGAAAGGCGCTGTCTTGTACTTCGCTGTCCTCATGAACGCCCTGGTCACGATGAATGAAATCATGCAGCTGTACAGCCAACGACCCATTGCCTCCAAGCAGGCGGGCTATGCTTTTGTCCACCCGTTCGCCGAGTCTCTTGCCAGCATACTCATGGATTTGCCAATCAAGTTGGTGCGCTGCTCCGTCTTTTGTATCGTCCTTTACTTCATGACCAACCTGCGCCGAGAACCGTCACAATTCTTTATCTTCCTCCTGTTCCTGGTCACTGCTATTTTGACCATGTCGGGAATCTTCCGGACATTAGCAGCAGCGACCAAAACAGTTACGCAAGCCATGGCAATGGCCGGTGTTATGATTCTTTGCATCGTGGTTTATACTGGTTTCACCCTACCTCAACCGTATATGCACCCGTGGCTCTCCTGGATACGTTGGATCAACCCAATCTTCTATGCGTTCGAGGCATTGGTGTCTAATGAGTTCCATGGTCGCGAGTTCCCATGTGCGTCGCTGATTCCAAGTTATGCTACGGGGGATTCATTCATCTGTTCGGCTGTGGGAGCAGTGGCTGGTGAACGTTCCGTCTCCGGAGATGCTTTCATTGAACAGAACTACGAATACTCGTACGCTCACACCTGGAGGAACTTCGGCATTCTTGTTGCATTCATGATCTTCTTCACCTGCACCTGTTTGTTCTTCTCAGAGATCAACACCGGTGAATCTTCCCAGGCAGAGACCCTGGTCTTTCGCCCGGGTCACGTTCCGCAGTTCCTGGCCGCCTCTGAAGGAGTTGAAGGTGGTAAGGCAGCGCCCCCTAGGCCCGAATTGCAAAGCAACGAAGACGATGATTCCATCCGCCTTCCTGAGCAAAGGGATATTCTCTCGTGGAAAGGCTTGAATTATGATATCCCGGTCAAAGAGGGCACACGGCGGCTCTTGGACAATGTCAACGGTTGGGTGAAGCCCGGCACCTTGACCGCGCTGATGGGTGTCTCCGGTGCCGGAAAAACGACCCTTCTGGATGTCCTTGCTCAGAGAGTGTCCATCGGCGTAGTGACCGGTGATGTTCTGGTTAACGGAAGAGCTCTCGCGGCCAATTACCCTCGGAGAACAGGTTACGTGCAGCAGCAGGATCTTCACTTGGAAACAACCACCGTTCGTGAAGCCCTCCGTTTCAGTGCCATGCTTCGTCAACCCAAGGCTGTGCCCAAGGAGGAAAAGTTCGCGTACGTTGAAGAAGTCATTAAGATCCTGCGCATGCAAGACTTCGCCGAGGCAGTCGTTGGTTCTTTGGGTGAGGGCCTGAACGTGGAACAGCGCAAACTGCTCAGCATTGGCGTCGAATTGGCCGCCAAGCCGACACTACTGGTTTTCCTGGATGAGCCGACCAGTGGTCTGGATTCGCAGAGCTCGTGGACTATTTGCTCTCTGCTGAGAAGACTGGCGGACCATGGCCAAGCTGTGCTGGCCACGATTCACCAACCGAGTGCCGTGCTGTTCCAGACCTTCGATCGCCTGCTCTTTCTGGCCAAAGGAGGCCGAACCGTCTACTTCGGTGACATTGGCCCTAACTCTCAGATCCTGCTTGATTACTTTGAGCGCAACGGCGGCCGACCCTGTGGCGATATGGAGAACCCTGCCGAGTACATCCTCGAAATTGTCAACGGCGATGGCAGCAAAGGACCTAACTGGGTCGAGGTCTGGAACGGCAGCCCCGAATACAAGGAGGTCTACGCCGAAGTCACCCGACTGCAGGACGCGCAGCAACAGCCCGAGCCACAGACCCAGCCCGGCGACGACAGTGATGCGGAGTTCGCCATGCCCTTAACCAGCCAGCTCTACTACGTCCTGCACCGCGTCTTCCAACAATACTACCGCCAACCCGAATACCTCTTTTCCAAATACGTTCTCGGTATCATCTCCGGTCTCTTCATTGGCTTTTCCTTCTGGAAGTCCGACAACACAGAACAAGGCTTCCAGAATGCCCTCTTCAGTATCTTCCTGCTGTGCACCATCTTCAACACCCTCGTCAACCAGATCATGCCCAAGTTTGTCCGCCAGCGCGCCCTCTACGAAGTCCGTGAGCGGCCCTCCCGCGTCTACTCGTGGAAGGTCTTTATTTTGTCACAGATCATCGTTGAGATTCCCTGGCAGATCGTGCTAGGCGTCTGCTCCTGGTCCTGCTACTACTGGACGGTGATCGGCACAGGTCAGGACGCCGAACGCCGCGGTCTGGCCCTGTTGTTCATCGTGCAATTCTTCATCTACGCCTCCAGCATGGCCCAGCTGGTTGTGTGCGCCCTCGGCGAGCCCACCCTCGCCGCCATGCTCGCCACGCTGATGTTCGGTTTCTCCTTCATCTTCAACGGCGTCATGCAACCCCCCGAGGACCTGCCCGGGTTCTGGATCTTCATGTACCGCGTCTCCCCCTTCACATATTACATTGGAGGCATGAGCGCCACCATCCTTCACGGCCGCAGCGTGGAGTGCAACACCGCCGAGTTGAGCGTTTTTGACCCCCCGGCTGGCCAGACCTGCGGAACCTACATGGAGCAGTATCTCACTGCGTCGGGTGGCCAGCTGTACAACGCCAACGCCACCTCGGGGTGCGAGTATTGCTCCATGTCCTCCGCCGACGAGTATCTGGCGCTGCGGTGGATCTACTGGGACCAGCGGTGGAGGAATTACGGTATCTTCTGGTGTTACTGGGGGTTCAATGTCATTGCGGCGGTTACGCTGTATTATGTGTTCCGGGTGAAAAAGTGGGGGAGGAAGTAAGATGGGACCTGACAGTGTGATTAGTTGAGGGCCTCGTTCTTGCTTAGCTTTGATGGGGCTGTGGTGGTGGTGGTGGTGGTGGTGGTGGTGGTGGTGGTGGTTGAGTCATTACTTGTGTTTCAGGGTTGCTGCCAGTGGGCTTTGCATTTGTGGAAGCGGCTGATGTTCTTATGGATACCACCAAGCATGTTTTGTTTTATGTTAGATGTTTGGCATGTTAGCGTCGAATGCATCTCAATACTTGACTGATCTAGCCCCCTACTCGTGGCGTAGCAGTATCAAACACTGGAAAGGCACAATTCCGCTCTTTCAAGCTGACCGGCTGCTACACATCACCTAGAATTGTTCCAGCCCGCATCATCTTGTCGAGTAAAGTCGGACCCAGGAGGAGAGTCCCGTCTACGAAATTGATTTCCACTTTCAATCCTCGAACACCATGGCTCTGACGAGCCCAAGAAGCTTTCTGATGCATGAATACCATCATATGAGCACGAAGATTCCACAACTAGCCAAGAACGCATCATCTCCCAAAGCCTTGTAGTCCATCTAGCCATCTTTTTCCACACCACCAACTCCTGCAGCAAACGAGCATACGAAAGCCTCAATATCCCCGCTCGAATCAACCTATCAAGCATCCCATCAATACCAACCTCGTCAAACAACAAGACCTTGAACAAGGCCTCAGGCTCTGTGGAAGTTAGCTTGGTAGGTCAACAGTTCGGACAATCTTCACATATGCCTGATACCAGCTGCAAATCAATCACCATCGCAGTTGTCAAGAGTGCAGATTTGCTTGAACAGCAGCATGCCACTTTATCATGTGAAGTGAAACTGAAGTCTTACATAAAGTGGTGTAGCAGACCGACTAACTAGCGGGTAAGCGGTAAGCGCCTGCCCCGAAATTTAAGGCCGCATCGCCTAAATTGAAGCGCGTCTCCCCCACAATTTCGACGCGTCCAAAGCCCAGCAACCAGCCTTGGGGCCCGCCCTTCACAGAACAAATTAACCAACGTTATCAGCCATTGATTACTCCAGTCTCGAAGAGCCTTGAACAGAGCTTGCATCATCACGCTTTCCACTTTCCAGATATCTCTCTTCACAAACCGATCTTACCACGCCATCTATTCCTGCAGGACCCCCGCCGTAACTGTCTGCATCCTCCGTCCGTGTTACGCGCCACCTCCCCGTCCGTGATCAAACCACTCTGTTCGCCGCCACGGCATGGAGAGCTAGGGAGATGGGCCATCCGTGTCAGGAATACTAATGGAATCATGGCGGGAACGAGGCTTTGTACCGGACTCAGACTCGGAGGACGGGTTCGACAGCCAAGAAACGGTCAATTCCCGCAGAGAGCATGACTCGGCAGCTGGCGCTGCGACACCATCTTCGGCCGTCGCAGTCTTCATAACCGCCAACGATGCGGAGGATGGTGCTACTGAATCCCCGCCAGACAGGAACGTTAGCGGTCCAGCGGATTCCCCTGCCCTCGACTCGGACGTCGAAAACGGTCCTACCCACCCTGAGCATCCTGCGGACGAATCTGCGCGACGGATCGATAAAGGCACACTGTCGGAACAGTCTGCGGATGAGACGACTCCGCACGCAGCTGGGAATTTGGCTCAGCCGGGAAACGCTCGTGGCACCGCCTCGTGGACACAAATGGGAGCAGGTAACCCGGGTGACTCTAGCTCGGAAGATGAGCTGCAGTTTGAGTACATGCGGGCCCGGAAGCCGGCCCGGGTCTATACGCGCGTCAAGAGCTCTGCTCAACCGCAAGCGCCGGAGGAGAGCCAGGACTTTTCGGTCTCTTCGTCGCCGCTGTCGTCGCTTGATTCTCAGCGCTTGAACTTTGACGATATGGAGGATCAGGAAACTGTTGCTGCAGATACTGGTCAGACGCAGAGACAGGAGGGGTGCTTGGATGGCCTGACCGCGCTAGAGGATTTGATGGAGTTGGACTTGCCGGAGGACAATGCTGGGAAGCAGGACTCCAGGAAGGGAGACGTGGCGGAGCGAGGCTCAACTGAGCAGGGCATAACGGAACAAGCTACGGGGGTTCATACGCTGACGGATCAAGGTATGGTCGGACAGGACTCGGTGGACGGGGTAATGGAAGAGCTCCCGCCGCTGGACGTCTCTGAAGACTTGTTACGTGGATTATCTCAGCCTGCGCGCAGATCCCTACGAGAACGAAAAGCCATCCAGTTGCATCCCTACATGCTTGAAGACGCGAAGTATCGTAATCTCATGCGGGCCCGAGGTGTCAAACCAGTGCGCGTGGCCCAGCAGGAACTCACCCGCCCGGGAGCTCGAGAAAGCCAAAATCAGGATTACATCGACCAAGCCGAACCAATGTCGGATAGCATAGGCGCTGAATATGAGTACATGCCGTCATCTCCACTTGAACCTCGTCGTGCTGTCGAGAAACGACCAATCGAGGCATCTCCCGAGCGGCAACAACATCGGGCTGCACGAGCGCCGTCCACAAATCGGCCTTCTAATCCTCAGCCAAAGAAGCGAAAGGTGTCTAAAGTCTCAAACCCTCAACAAACGCCCCAAACCCAGGCCCGATTACAGGTCGTTATTGATATTGGTTCATCTCCCGCTAGACAGGCAGAGAGGCCTATCTTTGACATCCCTAGCCCACCACGCTCTGAAGATGATGATCAGTCTGACACGGAACCTCCAACGACCTTTCGATTTCCACGAGGCTTTACGCCTGCACTGAACACTCCTAGCACTGGCCCACGAGCCGAGACTGTCGATCGCGAGGTCATGGATTGGCCAGCCCCTCGTGCGGAAGGCAGCCTGGACGGGCAATTCGAGGCAGTCCCAAGTCCTCTTGCCGAGGAAACCCCTCAAGCGGTCAGCGAAGAGGAGCGCGAAGAAAGTGGTGACGAAAACTCAGATGAGGATGAAGCTGCAATAAGGCGCCGCTACCAACGACGAATTAAGGGAGTTCTCCCGGCGTCGTGGCTGCGACTAGATCAGCAAAAGCAGAAGGACGTGCTTAGCGCAACACAGCGAAACAGCGACAGGATGGCCATGCGAACAGACGACACCAAAGGTGTTGCGAGGAAAGTACTGAGGCATGGTGGCACTGCTAGATTGCCGGGCTCTTTGGATGCCCTTCGACAGCTTGCCGACTCTGATAGCGAAGATGAGCATCAGGACAAAGAAAATAGAGGCAAATCCGCATCACAAGGAGTGATAGATCTTGAAATTCCATTTCTGGATGAAGATATGGATGATGACATCCCAGAAGACAACCGCATTGATAATATGTTTCCACCTGTTCCTCGTTATACCTCGGGCTTCAAAAACCGAAAGCAAACGAAGAAAAGACCTGGAATCACCTCAACCAGAAAATCTCGCCTCAAAAGACAAGCAAGGCTGACGGATCCCATCTACCAGGCACAGAAGCAGCAAGAAAGAAGAGCACCGATTCTGCCTCGAGTTGGTGTTTTGGATGCTCCAGATGTTGTTTCCCGACCCCGGAGCGAACAGCCGCAATTCCTGAGGGTCGCTGCACGCAAGGCACGCACTCGTCAAGATAAAGGAAGACGAAGTCCGTCTCGCAAAATCATCAAGTTAAACTCGCGGGCGGATACCGAAGACGCGAATGCGTCATTACGTCAATGGCGAAGCGGAAATCTTCGACAAACGAGACTGCCAAATATTCAAACTAAACCGTTCGAGCAGCAGAGTTCGCGGCATAACCATGCAAAGACGAAACCTTCCCGCGCCGGAAATGAGAAGGGTCGGCTGCCTCTCGGGAGTATAGCATCTGCTCTCCTGCCCATATATCAGTCTAGAGATTCTCGACAACACAGTCTCGATTCTGGGGGACTCCAGCCTGAAGCTGATCCAGCCATTTTGCTCCCAATGCCAACAACCGACCGGTTGCCTCGTGAAGCCGTTGAGCCCCAGCATCCAAACAACAAGTGGATGATCAAAAGGAACTTTGCTGTCACCTCTTTCACGAGGAATGGCTTTCGGCCTGCATTGCTTGAGGTGGAGAACCCTGCCGGTCGACCAGTGTCGTCATTGTCTTTTCAACGGTCACTATCACTGTTGAGTCGAGACTACCGCGGCAAACGCCTTCCTCGGGCGAGGCCTGGAAACGTGGTCATGGATAGGTTCATCTCGAGTCGCAGTTCGACCCCTGTATCTGCTGATAAACCAGCTGAGCTCGCTACTGCTATGCCTGAAAGACCAGGCGCCAGAGTCTCAGCACCCCAGGCACAATTGCAACGTCGCCAACCAAGGAAGCGTCCACCAAGGCGTCTGGAGACAGACTTGATAGAAGAAGAGGAGCCGTTACCTCGTGAGACAGTGGTAGTTTCAGACTTTGATTGGCGGTTGGAGAAACCACAGCCGACTAGCTCTCCTGATGGGGCACTGGAAGGGTTACGACGAACTTATACCATTGATTTCGGTATCACCCCGTTGATTCCAGGAACATTCTTCCATGAGTCAACCTTTATTGGAAGTGGAGAATTCCATCGCTCGCTCAACCTTCTTGCTAGAAACTTAGACTCCGACGCTGGATCTTTCACTTTGCAAATCGGGGATCAACGCTATCGCTGGGGTGCTTGGAACGATGCTGTCTCCTTCGGTCTTGGAATCGCTTTTGACAAGGTTGTTGAAGACTTAGAGCGGCCACTTGAGGGCTCAATCGGTTCCCCTCCTAGTGACAAGCATGATAGTATGGTGTACAGGCCCTTGGTCAGGTATATTACAGAAGTTCTGTCTTTTATCGATCCTATCGATCGAACGGGGTTCGTGAAGCGAGCTCATGGTCTTATTTGCAAGGTCAATGACGCTTTGGCGCCGCTTGTCCCGACTACTGAGCCGGAGGTGGAGTACCTGTCTACCATCTCTTTTTATAACACTGTCTTCGCGAATCTGGTATTTCAAATCGCGGGACATGAGCTTGTCGAAACAAGCGCTTCCGACGAGGTTTTGAGTTCATTGAAGCTAGCGTCCAGGCAGTCTATCGCCTTTATCGCGAGCGACCTAGGCCAGTCTAGTATCCGCAGACATCTTGAAGACCTCGAAACTACTGAGGTCCGTGAAATTGGGGTTCGCAGTGACAGATCTCCCCTTCAGGCGTATGTCGCTGTTCGACATGTGCTGCGCAGCATTGAAAGCGTGAAAGGATATTTCGAAGACCTTCAGACGCAGGCCTACACGTCAATGGACAGGGGAAACGTGAGCAACTCAAAGAACGTCGCTCAGCTAGAAGCAGCGTGGCGTAATGTCTTCACAGCCTTGCCTCTAAACGAATTTGATGTGTGTGGCATTGCCCAGATCGGCTTGCGCTTCCGTGAACACCAGGACAATTGGCCCGTGGTAAAGACGCTGCTACGTCCTGCCTTGGAGGGCTATGAGGCTACCTCTGCCGTGCAGCCGGTCTCTTACTACAATTATTGCCGGGCCTTATTCCAAAGATGCTTTCACCTTATCAGCGGCTGGGGGTGGCATGATTGCAAGCCGATCTTGGACATGCTTTACGATTTCTTCGCCAAGAATACCCTGTACAATCTAAGGCATGAAGAGAGTTACAAGTCGCCAGATTTCCTCGATGAACTTGATCGCAATCCTTCGCTCCACGTGCAGCCTGGCGAGCCATGCTTTCATGTATTGTTGAAGATTATTGCGAAGGGGTTGAAATCCTTATCCAAGACATATGACAAGAAGAAGGTGCGGAATTTTGCCTGGCGCCTGTTGCCCAATCACGGCCGGATGTATCCAAAGGAGAAGCCCATCCAGCAGACTGACCTAGACGCTTTGCGGAATCATCACGATCTACTCTGCACACTGTACTATGCTGTACCGGAAGGATGCCGGCCCCGGTTGGAGACAATCCGAGATCTTGTTCAGCCTGCTAGTTCCCATCGGGAGACCTGCAACATCAGCCTTCGATCCTGGGATCGACTTGTCCGCTTCAAGCTTTCCACTGATGAAGATGTCTCCGGGCTTGAGCCATTTGCTGACTGGCACTCGTATTTCGTGAACGAGCTACTGAAGCAGCACGCAATGGCTCGCCAGGAAATCGAGGCGCAAAACGCAGCAGCCAACCAGTTCTCTACTAAATTGGTGGAGAAGACTATAGCGCAGAACCAACGGCAGATCGAATCATTGTTGAAAACGGCGCTGAGCAGCCTGCGCAGTGCTGTCAAGGCGGCGTCGACATTACAGCATGCTCAGAAGCTTGTGTCGAAGATGCCAGTGAAATCCTTGCTAGGCCTCTTCAATCCCCAGCTTGCCCGCGTTAACGTCATCTTGACTGAGTCTCTCCTGGTGATACAAGCCTATCTCGACAAATGCAATGCTTGTCAAGCGCAAGCCCGAGAGCTAGCCGGGCCGCCTGTTGCGGTGGATGACGACAGCCAAGAGTATGGGGACTGGGCCGATATTGAAGCTGCATACGGGGGAATGGCTACAGCAGCACCTGAGATTGAGTTCGTGGAGCAGGTCTTTCATCCGGCTGTGGCTCAGCTTGTGTCCAACTGCTTTGGAGCAGACTATTGTCCTGAGGATGCAATCCTGCTTGGTGCTGTAGATTGTTGGACGTCTGTCGCACAGACTCTTGTCAAGCACGGACTACGGCATTGGGACAGCTACCTTAGTCCTTACAATGGCGACTCATGGGCAACGCTTCGATCAACAATGCAGACCAGGAAGTTTACACCGTATTTCCTGGCAAGCTGCATCGAGAAAGATGCCCGGTTCCTTATCGAGTGCAAAGCTCAGATCTTGGGCATGTGGATGGCTAGTTTGGTCGAAAGACTCGCGTTGCTGAAATACCAACACCGCTTGACGGAAGCTTTGCTGAACCAAGAGAAGACTGATCCAGTGTTGCAAAACCTACCTTTTGCTGTGGATCGCCAGCAGGGCCAATACTCGCTTACTCTAGAAGATATCAGCCAGCGTCGGTTATCCCTGCTGTCCAGCCTCTTGGCCAACATGCGTTCACACTTGCAGCATCTCGATGATGCCAGTGCACGGGAATTCTCGAGCACACGACAGGAATACGCGGAGTCAATCCAGAAGATGATGTCATCCATGAAGGCCAATTATCAGGAGCTAGGGAACGGCACCAAGAGCGTCCAAGGGGCCTATGTCGATCTCGTCCATCGTGTTGTCGGGTTCCTGCAGCAGCATGGCCGGGAAATATGCCCCATCGATCCATTCTTCACCGATCCTGCTTCTTTCCCGCTGCCGTCCACAGATCCGACATACATCGTCGCTCGATTGAAGAGTTATGAGCCCAAGGTCTCATCGGAGAAGGTCGCGAAAACGCTTGTGCTGTTCGTTCAAAGCGTTTCAGAGAGGGCGGCTATAGACGGCCAACAGGATTACCTCGTCAACCAACTACATGCCTCGATGAGTGAAACTTACGAGAGCGGTCATGCGGACAAACCCACGCTGAGGTCGACGATGCTACAGGCTGTGTTTCCGGCTTACCTGGAGGCAGCTTTCAGTAGCCGAGCAGCTTGGATCCTCAGTCGACCGATTATTCATACCATTCAACTCGTTTTCGAGGAGCTTATGCTCATGTTAGACTCTACCGACACTGCATGCGTTGGATCGATTCTGAACATTTTTGCTTCCGTGTACGAGCCATCCTATCGTGCGTTGCAGCTTCCGTTGATCAGGAATGTCAATCTCCTTACCGACCCCGCGGTAGCCCTCACCGCCGCCTCGTTCTTCGAGATGATTACGTCCGCTTTGCCGGTCATTGACTACATTGAGCGCGGAAGCACGGATTACCCAGCCGCTATCGACCATATCCTTCTTCAGCTCCGGGCTTTCCGCCAGCTCGCTCTCGCACTCTCCCGTCCATCTGAAGCTGGCGGACCCCAACCCATCGCTGTAGACCTTACTCCGTATGCCACAGCGTTCACTTCCTATGCCGCGGCCCCTATAACCCCAGCATTCTTCTCCGAAGTGCGCCACTCCGCAGGCCGTGAACTACAATCTTATATTCAGGAGAGCTGGTCCTGCCACCAAGGCAGATACTATTTTACACGCCGAGGCGGCCACCAGCCACAGGAAGTGGAGCTGGAACCCGCCGTGGCCGCCCAGCTGGAGCAATCTCCCGTGCTTCAGTTGCAATCTGCGGCGCAAAACTACCTGGCGAACTTAGGTCGCCTGGGTCTTATTGAGGAGGAAGATGTGGACAACGGCGAATGTGTTTCTTCTCTGGGAGGTCTTTCTGATCGGCAGTTATGAGCGTGGGCTGAGTCGGGTGGTCTTATATAGTGATGCATGATGATACCATGATTTGTCCATTGTTTGGGCTAATGTACTTACTGGCGCTGGTCTTAGATGGGGTTTGTGAGATCTTAATCTATTCTTTGCTTGCCTCTGCCGGGGTGTCTTGTTTTCCGAGGACCTTTTTCTGGGGTGGGTAAACGTGCTAGGTTTGCCGAGACTTGTTTCTGAGAACATTAAGGTGGTGGGATGCCCCTATAAAGTAATTCAAACCACTCCAGGACGACTGCAAATTCCAGGTACAAGGAGCCCCCCTCCCCTTCGCATTGAGATGTGGTGCTGTTCGTTGCCGTTAGGGCTGGCTCGACTCGGATGCTGGGTAGAGGACCCTTTCCTCATGTGATGGAAAATGTTCATTCTCCCTCCCTTCAGAGGCTGGAAAAGAAACTTCAACGATACTGCATTGCCAGATAGCATGGGTCATAAGCAGTGAACCACCCTAAAAATCCGGGTATCACTAATTCCCGAGCGGGGGGGGTATAGATTCATCGAGGCGGGAAAAAACCGCCCATATCCATGTATGTACATTTCACACGGGATAACATGTGATTGAAGAGTTATAGCATCTGCGTCGTGTGCTTTTTTCTGCATTCATCGCAAGTAACGCAAGTAAGCTGTTCCTGCTGATTCGCAAAAGTGCATACAGCAAGAACCTCGTCAAGGGGATCCGTTCTTTACCCCAGGCAGATCCCAGTATCTTCAACTTGTTCAAGAAGCAATAAAAAGTTGTTAAACCGGGGCGGAAAACCCGATGCATCCTGATTGAAGATAAGATGAAACCAAATAGATAACTATATACACCAGAACAAAAGAAAGACGCCCCGAGATCATGGCCCAGAGGCAGAATGCAGAATATCCAAAAGAAAAGAAAGAATAGCAGTGAACCCCGACTCTAATGCAAATCAGGATCCAACAAGTACCGCCCCAGATCTCTAACCCCATGTTTAAGAATTATGTAAGGAAAGTTAAGAAGAAGAAGAAGAAGAAGAAGAAGAAGAAGAAGGACAGGCCGTTACCGTCGTCCTCACGGCCAGCGTCTTCGTCGTCGTGAAGGGGATGTGGTTCGTCGTGGTGGCGGTGTACACTGTGGTCGTGGAGACGGCGGGTGCACCAGTCGCAGGGGCAATCACAGTGACGGTCTCCGGGGCTTGGGGTGCATCATGCGCAGGAGCAGTGGGGTCGGCAGTATGCGTGATAGTAAGGGTGTTGGTGGCGGTAGTGGTGGTGGTGGTGGTCTGCGTGACGGTGACGGTCGAGGTGGCGGTCACCGCAACGGGCTTCATTTCCGTGGCTGTGGAGGTGACAGTTTGGGTATTAGTGGCTGTCGCGGTGACGGTGGAGGTCGCGGTGGAAGTCAGGACGGAAGTTGCAGTTGAGGTCGTAGTTACAGTAGTGGTTGTCGTGGCGGCGACGCGAGAAGAGTCGGTGCCGGCGCTGGCGGCGCTGGTGCTGGCCGGGATGCACATGCAGCCACTGTTTATGATTAACTTGTCTTCGTTCTGCGCGTTTCTCAAGATGCGGTGCGGTGAATAGGGGAAAAGGAAGAGAGGAGAAGAGGGGAACGCACGGTAAGGCCTGGCCGAGGAGCTCAAGGCCCAGGAGTTGCAGGGAGGGGTTGCTCCCTTGAGCGCACATCCCCGATTGATTGCCTTGTTGCATACACTGGAAGCGCGTTCAGTTAGTATGGGTGGATTCTTGATGGAGTCCAAAAGACTTGCCAGTGTGTTGCAGGAGCTGGAGTCACACGCTCTCTTGGCGAGGCCATTGTCTCGCTGCGAAGCGGAGGGGTACGAGGGCATGGCAAGAGTAGTGTAGATGCTGCATCCCAGCAGGAGAGATAGAATGGAGACGTGCATGTTTGATTCGGGAGTGGACTTTGTTGTACTGGTGGGCGGCAATTGTCGTCTGGAGGTGAAGCGTTAATCTGGTCTCTTGCCCAGACGGGAAATGCCATTCATTTATACATCTTTGCCTACCCGAGTCTCATGGTTGTCGCAAGTTTACTCCAAATCGCTGGATCTGCCGGCTGGAATTCGAAAATAATACCTCTATCAGATCTATTTTGGGAGTGCTTCTCACCGGCAAAACCATGTCTAGATGAAGTTGGGCCCTCCACGCTCAAAACGACCCAAGAATGCGTAGATCTCGATGATTATCGATCTGTTTGTGTTGTGTTTTCAGGGTTGTTGCCGGGAACACCAGGCACCAAGAATGGGAGCCTCAACGCCAACCCTGGGAGGTGCCAGCCATGGCAGTTTGATTGGCGGAAGCTGGGCTTACCGATCGATGGGCTCAGGTACCCGAGAGTACGGAACGAGAGCTTTCGATCCACCCCTTGCGTCCCTTACATCCACATTCCTGGTCCATCAATCAAAACAATAACAGCTACAGCTCTCTTGTTGCTCGTTGAGGATTTATGTTCCGAATGACGAGGGACAAGCAAGATAGCCCTCGTTTTATGGATCACTCAAGCTTGATAGTGTATATATGATCGTAGCACGAATGAGAATTTTGAGGGTAGATTAGCATCACGATCAGGCAATATATATCAGAGCTGCGTCCCGACGTTGGGGTCTATCATCTGTAAAATTGTCTAGCAAGCTTCTGATGGCAAGCTCACAACCACTCGCTGTGCATCTTCATGATCGCCGGATAGAGCGCAGATCTACAGCTATGGTATGCATAATCTCCTCTTATCGATACAATCTTGAGGCGTAATAGGTCACAAATAAGCCTTCCCTGGTGACTACGGTCCCATGCAAAGTGGCTTGAAATGCAGTGATTGATGTGTCAACACCATAATATTGGGCATAAAAAGCTGACACCTCACTGAAAAGCCAGTACTAGTGGACTAGAAATCTGCCTTCATCCCCCATCTGCATCCAAGCCCTAAGTCAGATCCTGCCACGAGGTGTGCCTGAGGCAGACTTCAGCTGCAAGCCCTAGTTCGCGTGCCGAAGTGCTTGACCCCCCCCCCCCCCCCGAGTCTACTAGTGGCTAAATAGCGAACAAAAGTGAAAATATATCTGGCAAGTACTGTACCCCTCAAGCGACCGGGATGACTGCAAAGTAATATGACTGTACATGAGTAGGGAGATACTAGGTACCTAGACACTATCAGTTGTGATAAAGGCGATGGGGTTGGTCGCTTCGAGCCGTACAGCTTCTTCCATGCCAGTTTCCACCCACGTCCCCATGACTAGACACTGTGTTGAATCAGCTCAATATGAAGTATGCAAACGACTTGAGAAGGACCCTTCACTGGGTTGAGTATCCGAAGTTTCTCCGGTAAAGAACGCCTTGCATGGTCAAACTACTCTTTCGAAAGCAGTGTATAGCTTTCAACACAAGTCATTGTTCCGACCCGGTGAGGCAGAAGCATGTCTGTAATACAGCTTTGTTCCAATGTACGATTTGATGGAATACTTCTCGTCCAAACAAGGCCCCCGTCATACTCTTACATAAGGGAATCACGATGTTCTGCTCCTTCAGTCTATATAAACGAGCAACGACACCCACTAGACAGAATCTTCTTACCATCCAGACGCAAACTCTTGGGAACCGACGAAGTAGTTTGCTCTTCCAGTGAAAGGCTCATTCATCATGTCGAATAAACAACCCACCGTCAATGACAAGGGCCCTGAGCCTAACCCCAGGGAGGATCCTGGCACCCAAAGGGAGGACGTGGACGATAGCATGAACAGTGAGCATGGCCCCGAGCCCAACTTAAGACGTAACCTGCCTCACTCGCGACCGGCCGTGCCTCCAAATCGAGAACGTTTGCCCTCCCTGAGAAAAGACTTACCCCCTGTAGGACGAGTCTTACCCCCTCTGACACCAGCCGTGCTAGTGAAGAGAGACCCACCGCCTCCTACTCGACAAGCCGTGGGGACTCAAGCATCCCCCCTCAAGGGACAGGCATTGGCTCCGAAGGGACAAGCTGTACCCCCGAAGGGCCGAATCTTACTCCCTAAGGGACAAGCTCAGGGACAAGCACTACTCTCAAAGGTCCCTGAATTACTCCCTAACAGACAAGCCAAACCCAGGCCGGGCCAAATCTTCACCCCCATGGAACAAGTCTTTCTCCCCAGGGGCCCAAGATTAGCCCCCATGGGCCAAGCCAGCCCAGATCCCACGGGTCAACAACAACCAGCATCAGCATCATCATCAACACCACCACCACCCCTTACCCCATTCCAGCAAGCCGCGATGGGACAAAACTTACCAATCTTCAGCCAACCCATCCCCTCCATTGGCCCCGCCTTGTCCCTCGTGGGGATCGCCTGGAATCCCACCGAAGGCACCCCCCATTCTCTCACGGGCAGTCCGCTGGACACACACATTTCCATCACCACCCGGTTCGTCGACCCCGAGACCGGACGATACCTGGGGTATGTGGGCCTCTCCTCCAACCGGGGCACACCCACGGACTTCAGCAACCTCTTCACCGCCACCGCCCGCCTCCCGCCGGCCCACTGCCCGATACTGACCGTGAATGTCGAAGTGGACCTCGCGGCAATTGCCAAGGACTGGGCGCCCGTCGAGGAAGCGCTACGCAGGGCCTGGGCGGAGTACAAGCATGTGTATGCACCGCTGCGCGGGCGGCGGATGGGGGCGGCGGTGCTGTACCAGCGACAACGATTCCTGCGGTTCTATCTCGAGGAGCTGGATCCGGTGAATAATGGCCGGGCGTTCCTGTGGAAGTCCGAGGCGGAGAAGAAGGAGATTGTCTGGGATGAGAAGAATCTGAAGCAGATTAATCGGGCGACGCGGGCGTTTGAGGCGTTGTTGGTGGGGACGGATGGGATGTGATGGGGGTGTTTAGGGCTGCATTCAATTCTTGGAGAGACCTCTACTTTATCTGAGGACGAAGAAATTAGAAAAACCAAAAAAAGAAAGAAAGAAAGAAAGAAACAAAGAAAGAAAGAAATAACAAAAGACACTTGATTGTGACCGAGAGACTGGCGATTCTTTTACTGTACTGAATGAATCAATATTTTGACATTACTCTGTAACTCTCTTTTCCTGCCTACATAGAAACACGTACCATGCGATATGCTTCTTGTATGATCTCTGCCCTGAGTATCCCCTAGTAGTCTTTGTCGATCTTCCTACTATCCCTCAGCAGTGCTACGGATGAGCAGAAACATTATGTAGTATGTTGATGAAAACTCTCCATGATATCGGCTTTATGTGCAACAATCCCATCCTTCTCGTGCAAATCCCCTTTATGTTGTTATTCCAGTAAGTCATACACACCCACTTCCCTTTGATGTCTTTGGGATAAACTCCGCCCTGGACCCTTCCAATGCCAACCCACTGACAGTCTATAAATACAACTCCAGCCTCATCACAAACTCATCACTCATCCCGACACCTGAACGAACCATTTGCTCACCCAGCAATATCCTCCCCCGAAGCCATATCCTAACTAACCTAACTCAACCACTACAAAAATGTCCGGACCCCTCCTCACCAACGGAACCTTCCCCCCCACCGAGCTCATCATCACCGTCCTCAAAACCCAAAACTATGACTGGACCCGCAACGACTGGGCACTCGCCAAGCAAGCCGTGCGTGAGGCATGGCGCGAGAAACGCGTCGCCCACCCGCCGCTGTGCGACCAGCGACTGGGCGCCGTCGTGTTCCACGTGGACTTTGTGCGGTTCTATATTGAAGCGCCCGACGCGCGGGACGGGCGGCCGCTGCTGTGGGAGTATGCGGGCCGGGCCGAGTGGAGGTGCTGGGGCCAGTGGTGTTTCTGCGAGGGGGATTTTCGATTTGCGGTGGGGGAGTTTAAGCGGGTTCTGGGGGTGCAAATTGATCAATGATTCCGGGGGGGTTGGTTAGGGATGTAGTGTGAGTTTAGGGTGGTTTTTTTTTTTTTTGATCTTGAGAATGAAGTAAGCGCTTGGTCCTCTCTGTGTGTTTTACTACCACGGAGGAGATCGGGGATTCATCATATATGTAAGTATCCATTCGATTTAACTGCTTCCACCGGTGGTGGACCTGAGAGCTGTAAATTGTGTGGTCAGAGAATGTTATACCACTACCACATTGAGGTTTCTGAGAGATGCTGCTGACACTCCGTTGCTGGAGGGAGTCAAAATAGCCCCTGCTTTTTTTTTGTTCTTCATACTTTTGCCCAGTCGATGGAGTTTCTTGCGGCAATCTGTCTGGCACGGATAATTCAAAGCGGTAGTTCACCCAAATAAAACATGAAGTTTCTCATGCAATTGAATAACGAATCTCCCAAATACCGTCTATAGCTTGCTATGTTTCACTCCTTCTCCTAGTCCAGGCAGTCGTCTCGCGCCGACTCTAGCTCGAAACTTCGACAGGTTTCTGCACCCGAATCTGAAAGTCCAGTCCTACCTGCGTATTCCTACAACACGCCTTCGTAGACAAGCACTTCGAACCAGGACTCACTGCACCGGAAATTTGGCCATCAACCTGCCAATCCTCCATCCCCCAATGCTGCAATTCATCGACATCAATTAAATCTAGAGGTAAGACGTACAGTCTTTGCAGAACTCGCCAATCTTCACCACCTTCTCATCATCCACGCCCAGGCAGCACTTGGGAGATTACCATCCCCGCAGGAAGGAGAAGAGGGGACGACCATACGACCATTTCCTCGAAGTCATCCGGGACAGGTGATGCGACGGACGTGGTTGCTGCTGCGGCTAGGACTGCGAGGAGGTAGTGACTGAGACGCATTTTGTGTTTGCTTGACAGTAGGGGGGGGGATTCACCAAGAAACACCCATCAGTTTGAACTGACTTCGTGAGTTGAGGGTATTTCTGTCAGTTCCAGAGGAGTTGCTTTTTGCAGGGAGTTGGAGTTATCTACTGCACGCCCAGGCGAGAGACGGCTCCATGACTTGAGTTGGCTGGATTGGCGATCTGTGACTGACTGGACTGTAGTTAGCGAGGAGGATCATGCATTGGACCATCGAGAAGACCCTGTACTCAACAATGGCGGGCTTGCACCATGGGGTAGATGGTGATCACGGGTTCTCCCCATGGTTCGTTCCGGAGCTGCAATCACCGGACAGAGGCCATTCTAGGTACCTACCTTCATTACGGTAGTCCAGGGTATTGTACTGGACAGGGATAATTGCACCAGAGTATGGGCCAACCGTTGTCTAGCTAGAGGTCCGCTCGAATCATCTACTGTACCGCGGATGGTTTGGGACAGTACTAAGAACCATGGACCTCACTGGCGGGTATCATCTTCCTAGGGCCAGGCGAATCCTTCCGAGATGTCAGGACTTCATGCGGAAGAATATCCAGCAGTATCAGGATTTTCTGGAGAGGATTAAACGAGAAACCACGCTACGGGTGCCAGTCAAGAGAGGGAAAAAGTCAGTGATGAATTATGAAGAACACAACGCAGCATGATCTAAGCGTGGAACCAGCCTGACTAAGCACTGAATGCAATTATAAACTCGAAAGCAGGAGAGGTGACTCTTCCTCGGTTTATCAAGTATTTCAAAACCAAAACACTAGCTGAAAACAGAACGCAAACGCAGAACCCGAGATGCGCGCACTTCTAAGAAAAGTCCTCCTCTTGTGACTCGATGTTGTTCTTGATCCGCAGCAGAAGCGTCGTCTTCCACTTATCCAGCTTGCTGAGCTGGTCGTACTGAAATAGCTTGTCGGCGAACGCTTCCTGGTCGCCTGCCTCACAGGCCTGAACCAGGTCGACGAGAAGCTGGTGTTCACGGGTAGAGGCGAAGGTGGTGTCGATGTCGCGGTAGTTTTCGAGAGCGCGGTTGGTGGCGACAAGGTCCTGTTGGTATTGTTAGAAAGCGAAACTTGTGGAGGGCAAAGGTAAGACTGACATTCGACGCAAGGTGGCAGATACCAGCCTTGAGGAAGTAGTCCTTGACAGACCACTTCATGAGGTTGTTGTTGATGGAAGAGCGGCCAATGCGCTCGTAGTGCTCGATGGCCTTGTAGTAGTCACCCTCGAGGGCGGCCAGATCCGCAGCCTTGAGATAGTGCTTGTTCGCAAGGCTGAATTATGAGATTAGCTCTTGCGCAAATAATCACATGACTCATAAAGTGGTATAGCATACGCCTCAGCATTGTCACCCTCAAACCATTCCGCCGCCTTCTCGTAGGCTTCCAGAGCCTTCTTGTTGTCGCCCAGTTCCACCTCGTACACTTCGGCCAGATGTTGCTGTTGCGACGCCGCGCGACGAAGATTGCCCTTGAGCACGTAATGTTGGATGGCGCTGGAGAGTACACGGGCGGCGTCCTCGGGGTCAGACTTGCGGTAGACCTTGAAAGCCTCGGTCAGGGTGTTGGCCGCGTCATCGGGTTCGTTAAGGTTCTGCGACTGAATAGATGCGGCCTTTTCGAAGGCAAGACCGGCTTCTTTGTCTGTGCGAGAAGATTCGGTGTCAGAGGGCAGCTAAGCGATTTGAGAGCGATGCGGAGATTGCTTACTTTGCTTCTGAACGCGGAAGGCATTCGCAGCCTGTGAGTACAAGTCGGCAGCGTTTTCATACTTTTCTGTACGACCACCGAAGAAACTAAAGCCACCGGATGCGCGACTCAAAGCTTGGTCCGCCTAGAGAGTAGAGGGTTATATGGTCAGTGACCGTCGTTTCTGGAGTCGGGTTATGATAACGTGGAGGGACGGCGGGGCGGGATAGGGAATTCACCTTTTGGAGAAGAACACGGGGATCTTGAGCCATGTTGAGCAGCTAGTTTGAGATGTCACGAGAAGAAGAGATCAGATATCTCACAAGAAGTTTCAGAAGATACAAGGGGTATAAACCAGCCCAGCTAGAACGATGAGGAGGTGGAGGGCAAACCGAAGTGGCTGCCGTCACTCAATCGAGCGGAGAGCTTCACCTCCACATCAACGTAGGCGGTAAGCCATCCCGCCCTGCCATTGGACGGCAGCCCACTATTGTTGTGCTTTTCGCTGTTTTCCCTCCCAGTTTTCCATCGCATTTCCCCATCTCCAGCTGTCTTGCGTATCACCTTCTGGTTTTGGGCTATCAGTCGATAAAAGTGTACACTACATCAACAGGCGAAATTATTTCTCAGTATTTGCGCAAACCACAGCACTCTTACTTCTACCTCCAATATGTTCTTGCGCAGCAGCAGCTCACGGCTACCTGCCTTACTACGCCGGCAAGCCCCGTTGCGCACCGTCGCAAAATATCCGTCATATTCTACATCTCAGCTTCACGGAGAAGATGAAATTGACGCGCTCCTCGCGGAGCCGACTTGGTCTGTCCGCTCGTTGCTGCCCGACGAGAACGCAAAGCCGGCCACGCATTCGGTGACTCCCGAACAGCTTCGCCATCTGCTCCGTCTGTCCGCGTTGCCTCAACCTGCGAATGAGGAGGAAGAGAAGCAGATGCTGGATACCCTAGAGTCTCAAATCCATTTCGTGAAGGAAATCCAACGGGTGGACGCCAGCGGTGTTGAGCCCCTGCAAAGCATTCGCGACGAAACCCCAGAGGCCGTGAAGGAGAACACGATCGGTCTGGAAAAGCTCAAGGAGGCATTATCCAAGGAACGGGTCGTTGGACGCAACAAGAGGATTCAACGAATCGAGACGCCGAGGAACGAGCGACCGGACGGAGATATCTGGGATGGTAACGCTCTGGCTTATGCGCCCAAGACCAAAGGCAAATTCTTCGTTGTGGACACCAAGAAATGATTAGCGCTACTTGTCACCTGCCACTTGTTTACAGTGCATCGCAGTAGGCTGAAACGTGGAGCCTCGGTGCGACTTGTGGGCTCAACTGCAAATTACAGGGGCAGTCTGGGCGCTGAGTCAGCAGTGATCTCATCCAACACTGCAAGCGGCGGCAACCTCGGAATTTCTCCAGTCTCACTTCCTAATGCCTACGTGATTGCGGTTGGCAAGACACCTCCGAGCATCAATTGATGTACAAGACCATTGTGGCTATCCGCAACCATGTGGAAATCGCTCAAAGAGAAACATGCCAGCAAGTTCGGGTCTGGTCAGGCCACTCCGCCCGCTCCGTCTCCGAGCGACCGCGGAGCTGATCTGACGACCATACTGGACCGCCCGCAACGCGCCGACTTGACAGTGCTGGTTGGCGAGGCTATTGAGCAGATGCGAAATGGTATCGTCGCTGGCTTTCACGTCGCCCCTCCAGCCCTTCAGGCTACTGCACCTGACTTTTCTGCGCACGAAGAGGATGAGGAAGGCACGGACCCTTTGTTTGATCCTCTCGAGCATTTGGTCGACGAAGGCGAAGATGGAAGCCCAAATGAACGCGTCCCGTCGGAGGTCAAAAGCTCGGCCAAAGACCTTCAATTAGAGGCCAAGGCTCTCGCGGGCTTTGACGACTGGAGAGACACTGTCCTGCTTCGAATCGGGGAAGTAGTCAACCGGGACGACGAGGTACAGCAGGACTCTGTTGAAGGAACATTACCGCAGAAACTCCCTGAGCCTCGACTTGAGGAGGATGAGAAGTCCTTGGAGAAATTGCGGGAAGTGTATCCTCCGGTGGAAACGCCTCTCGTTCACCTAACCAGGGCCAAGAAGTTGCTCATTCTGCACTCCTTGCTGCTCTTGCTACTCAGTCTGGAACATTACAACGCTCGCTCGCGCGTGCTCATGTTGTATGTATCGTCTTCACTGAACCTTGACGTCAAGATCCTGAATGCAGACGAGGTCAAGGTTGCGCGTGGCCTGCTTGACACAGCTCTACAGCTTTCACAGGCTGAAGCCAAAGAACGGGGCAAGCCCCGCGACTCTTCAAGGAAATGGAAGGTTGGCATAGCCTCTGTGGCAGGAGCCGCGTTGATCGGGATTACGGGCGGGTTGGCGGCACCCCTCGTTGCGGCTGGTCTTGGCACTGTCTTGGGTGGTCTCGGTCTCGGCGCCACAGCCGCCGCCGGGTATTTGGGTGCCTTGGCCGGCAGTGGCGTCATCGTTGGAGGACTTTTTGGCGCCTACGGTGGCCGTATGACTGGCCGCATGGTTGACAAGTATGCACGGGAAGTGGACGACTTCGCCTTCTTGCCTATCCGTGGTAGCCATCGACGATCGGAAGACGAGAGGGAGGCAGCAGAAAACGATCATAGGTTAAGAGTCACAATCGGCATCTCAGGTTGGGTGACAGAAGAGGATAACTATCTTGTCCCATGGAAAGTCATCGGAAGCGAGTCCGAAGTGTTTGGCCTACGGTGGGAAAGAGTGCCATTGATGAAACTTGGCAATGCTATGGACTACCTTGTTACGAGTGCTGCTTGGGCTGCTGGAAGTCGGGTCTTATCTCGCACTATTTTCTCCCAAATTATGAGCGCCGTCATGCTTCCCCTGGGTCTTCTCAAGGTTGCCCGCGTCGCTGACAACCCCTTCAGTGTGGCCAAAGCTCGTGCAGATAAAACGGGCGAGGCACTTGCGGATGCCTTGATCAGCAAAGTGCAGGGTGAAAGATCGGTCACACTGATTGGCTACTCGATGGGTTCCCGCGTTATCTTCTCTTGTCTACAGACCCTGGCCAAGCGGCAAGCATTCGGATTAGTGGAGTCAGCGGTTCTCATGGGCTCACCAACTCCGTCCAATGCGCCCCACTGGCGTCGTCTAAGAAGCGTTGTTAGTGGTCGATTGGTAAATGTGTACTCTGAAAACGACGCCGTTCTTGCGTTACTCTATCGAACCAGCAGTCTTCAGCTTGGTGTCGCCGGTCTACAGCCTGTTCAAGGCGTATCCGGGGTTGAGAACGTGGACGCAAGCGATTTCATCAGCGGCCATCTACGTTACCAGCACCTGGTCGGACGCATTCTAGGCGTGGTAGGGCTCGAGAGCATTGATGCCGAGGAAGTCGCTCGAGAGGAGGCGGCGTTGGCGGCCAAGGACAAGAAGCAGGAACAAGAGCGTATGCACAATGAGCGTGCCGCTGGACTTGACGGTGATGAGTCTGCGCGGCGCCTGTTGGAGGACGGCGAAGTAGAGAGTGAAGACAAGATGCGGGATGATGTCGACCACCGGACCAGGGAGAGCTTGTCTCGCGAGCATGAAGTGCGCCCGGTCCAGGCGAAAAGTCCAATTAACCAGTGATGTATCTTGGATTCACAGGTTTGAGCAAGATCTAGTTAATACGCAGGCGTACTGATTCACCCAGCGCAATGCAAGAATATTCACACTGCCATATCCTTACTGCCTGCCGTTTTTGCCTTGATTTAATATAGAAACCGTAAGGATTGACATCCAACTTCTTCCACCCCATTTCTTCTCTCTCCCCAAATCATCCATCCAGATATAAATCAGCTTATCACTTTCAGACCAAATCCCCGGTTCTTGTGTTTACTACTCCGCCACACCGTGGAACTAGCAGTGGAACCATGCTTGATCAAGGCGTATATCGCCTCCAGCAAGGAAAAACTCGCCAGTCGAGCACTCGAGTAATAGGAAAGTCCATTTTCCAGCCTGACCATGATAGAGAGAACAGTATATTGCCGCAAGCACCGTCCACGAAGAAGAGATCCCGAACGCAGCCAACACGGGTGGCGAGAGAAGCAATAAAGGTCAACCGCGAGAGTGGCCAGGATCGCGTGGAGTGCAGCTACACCAATTCATGTTCCTGATATCTCTATCTTAAGGTCATTCAAAGCCGCCATGGCGTCGCCGCAGAAGGATAATTATACGGTCGGTGTGCAAATGGTTATGCAGTACCCCAGTCATCTTCGATACATGGTGAGGCGCTTGCAACATGTGTCATCCGGCACACTGACAGATGGCCTATTGATCCTTTGATTATCACAATCCACCGTGGTTCACCCTATATGCGTTTCGAAAATGGTATAGTAAGGATTCTCAGCCAAGACAACTACCACAGATTCCAATGATCGAGTCCACCGGCTCTTCAGTGATACTTGGCTGCCGGCATCATTTCGCCACGGGTGGAGAACCCACAGCCAATCCTGCCAGCTTCATCCTTGATGATCCTCTGCAGAATAAAATGATGAAGAAGATACAAACCAGCTCTGGCTTTGCGTCAACCGATAAGCTCCCTCCAGCTAGACGCAGAGCCTGTCGTCCTCCAAGAATAGACGAGTGAGATCGACATATTGTAGTCCGCTGCTACATAGAATAGACATGGCGCTCGCCCCGTGCATACTGTAGCCGATATACAACAAAGCCACAAATGAAACAGAACTTTCGCAACCAAAGCTGAACCCCGATTCTATCTGACACTTCGAGGCTTCTCTGACTCATGTGCAACGCCAAACATCATTTCTATTAACGTTGCTTACGGCTGTGTGATATGCAACTGCCGGGGTCTTTAGAAGCAGATGGCAGTTCTGAGAGCTGTCCTGTCGAGAACAATTCAATCATCTCAGCCACGACGACAATGCCTGCAGAACCCTTAGGCGGCGCTGTTCTAAGCGATGATGGCGACTAGTGCACGGGCAAACTAAACCCGCCGGTCGTGTATTGTATACATCTTACGTATACTCCACCCAGTATGATGTATATCCAGGACATATCAAAGCGGATTCACAAGCCAGAGCAAGACGATGTTATGACTCCGCAAGAATGGGCGGCTTATGAATCATGCAAGATGCAACCTATTTTATTTAATGGCTTCGTTATTCTCGGAGGGGATGGAAATCTCATAAGCTTGGTTGGTACAATCCCGGGCCCTGCCTCAATCCCCTCGTGAAGCTGGGCAAGCGTTTCCTCACACAAACACTAATATTGCAGACACTGATCGAGCAGACGCGAAGGAAGCTTTGCTTCTCAGAATAAAATTGATGGAAGAATTTGCAGACTAGACGGTGGCTCCCTCTCGATGCAAGAAACCGCCTATCTCGTCTCTGATAGCCACACCTTGAGAGTAGTAGTCTTATGATGGTTTGTGGAGTCGTACGCGCCGAGCAGAGAGCAAATGCACTTTGCGCGTACAAGTCGGGCTGTACGATATCAGGGTCACGTGACCCCGGACTTCTACACACCTCGCAGGCAACCGAGTATCCTCAGTAATAACAACACCAATAATACACACATATCTGTCACACGGGCCTTGACGGGGGTGGCGCCTCAGAAGAATTTAAATCTCTGGTTATACTTAATTGTACGATATCACGGGGTCACGTGACCTCGGACATTCTCAACACCTCGTAGTCATCCGAGCGTCTCACCAATAACAACACCTTAATAACAACATATCTGTCACAGGTTATGAGCCCTCGTGGCATCATTTTATCGCCAAAAAACACCACTTTCATCAGTTTTTCGATAAAACTCCCCTCACACACTGATATCCTTGATATCATCATCTTTTAAAGCTTCTTGTTCACTACACGGAAGGTAGGGAAGCCTCCGAGGCGTTCTCGCCGGCTTGGCACCCAAGCCCGACACCTATCATTCGTCCTCCCACCACGCGAGCGGCGTGGCACGCACCCCACGATGTCATCATCAAAAGACCCTTTTGACATCGACGTTTCCAAAGCCGTTCCAAAGCTCAAGGGCCAGTCCAATTGGCTATCCTGGCAGAGGAATCTACGCAATTATCTAAGATCTAAGACTCCGGAAGCCTGGGAATTGCTTCAGGGCAACCATCTGATTCCTGAGGAGCCTGGTCTATATCCGCACGACTGAGCAGGCCGCCGACGGTCTCACGAAACCGCTTGAACGCGTGGCGTACGCCCGCTTCATCAACCAGCTCGGTATGGTGGACTATGTAATCTGATTTCCCTGTATCTACACTTCATCTCCTTCCTGTTTCGGAAACGCGAGCAGCCTCACGTCTTCCTTATTTGTACGTAACTCGGTGTGTGACGTCCTCGGTCATGGGGGGTGTACGATATCACGGGGTCACGTGACCTCGGACCTTCTCAACACCTCTCAGTCATCCGAGCGTCTCACCAATAACAACACCTTAATAACAACATATCTGTCACATTAATGCTACGCTTGTCCTGCAAATGCGATGGTGGTGGTGGTGGTGGTGGTGGTGGTGGTGGTCTTTCTACAATGTAAATGCTACTTGAATGCCAGTGCACTTCCCTCCGTGATCACGTGAATGGTACCATTGTAGACTAGTTTCCTGCAAATATTTGACATTACTAGTATTAGAGTATTCAAAAGACATTAAACCCGAAACATAACGACATATCCTGCATCACTCGTTGATTACCATGCAGATAACAACATGTACATGCGATTGCTCATGCACAGAGCGAGGAATCGACTTCGGTGTAAGTCGCCGTGACGCGACCCAGCTGAACTGCCTGGCCGCCGGTCAGGCTGTTCATGGCAGCCTGGGCGATGTTGAAGCCACCGGGGGCGGCATCAATCGCCGTCACGTAGATGGAGGTGGTGCCGTAGGTTAGCTGGTAGCACTGGCCACAGTTGGGACTGCCGTAGCCCGAGACGGTGGGCGCACCCCCGATGTTGGGGAATCCCGGGATATCGGCGAATGTAGCGTAGTTCAGGTTGGAGCAGGAGACGGTGTCAATGGATTGGGTGCCGACATCGTAGACAGTATCGTAGGAGACCGACACGCTCACAGCCTCGGCGGCCTCGGTCGTAGCCTCGATAGGTGTGGCTAGAGCGGAGGACAAGAAGACGCTGATGACAGCGAGAGCAGAGGCGAAGGACTTCATGTTGAAGAGAAGAGTTTGATCTGGTGTAGGTACTTTGAAGAAGTGAGATGCTGGTTTGTCTCAGTAGGAGCGTGTTGGAATGCCAGTGATCTTGTTGACCGGCATTTGGGGCCGTCGAGCAAGCTGTTTATATAGTTTTTCTCTTCCTTTGGTCTGACCAAGCGGTGTAGTATTCCAAGTCAATCTTGCTCGATAACTGCCTTGAATATGACCTACCTGGTCAGAGTTGGGTATAATCCCGCAGCATCCGCTTCAGTGCTTGGGAGGCCTGATGCTGGGAATAGTAACATGATCGCATAGTATATCGTTCATGTCTTCCGAACTAGGACAGTGACAGGTATAGATCTGCAGACAAGGAGGGTGGAAGTTGGAAGTGAGACACTCCCCCTCATTTGGCGGAGAGAGTGACACCGCATCAGCTTCAGCGGGAGAGACATGCGGGGGTGGCAGGGTCCGCAGGTCAGACCGTCCGGACCAGTCAGAGCAGCCCAGCTCGGGCTTAGAATGAGACATGCAGCCGTCGAGGCATTTTGATTCCCTCACATCCGGTTGCCTCCGACGGGAAGTGAACAGGTGACTGGTCTTGGAGGCTGTGGTGTGGTTGGCACTGGGAGCTATTCATAGATCATTCAGGTGATACAACTGCAGCATAGTCAGGTCAGGCAACCCTATGCCAAGCAATCAGCATTCCTTCCTACATAAGCGAGAGAGACAGCCAAGGTGTAAAGTCCAACACAGGTGGGTCGATGATATTTTGGATATTTGGCATCTCAGACAGAAATCATTTTCTCTGCGAGGCTTGCCTACTTTGTAGTTACCTTAGTTAGCTTGATCAATCATGCCACTCAAACGGTCTCAATTTGCCAAGAGGGATCTTCGCATCCGGCGATGAACAAGCGCGAAGCCTCCCGCCGATCAATCCTACCAGATCCGATATTCGGAGTAACCCCAAGCCAGAACTTCGGGTACACACAGTGTGGGAGGAACAGGCGGATCTGTGTTGGGCTGCGACGGTGCGTCCAACATACAGTGGTGACAATGGAGGTAAATCTCACCACCGACTGATTCAAAATCACACCAGAAACGATTGTTGTGATTTGCTGAGAACATGGCTTAGTCCATACCCTTCACACAGAGTCAAAATACAAGGATCCGGCTGAAAACCCGCCTATAATACACTCTGAGTCTGACATCTACTATAGTCTGGTTCTGGCGGTATCAAGCAACTTGAAGCGAGGGTACCATGCTGGTACGGCACTTGCAGGGAATCCAGAGTTCCTTGGATCCAGCGTGTATGTCGCTACGATCTTTCGGTAGCCACGTTTTGGCATGGCTCACGAACCATGGATGGGTCATCATATGGCTGGTTCTGAAGATTGACTATGAGCCTCACACGATACTACTCGGCCGATCGGTTCAGCTTCATTCAGCAGGGGGAAATCCGAGCATTTAAGTTTCGAGACCATGGTTTTGTCCAGGCCGCTCATCCCTGAAGATCACTGCATAACCCCCAATGAGTCAAGCTTGGAGTCGAATGATGGTAGGATGCGATCGGAATGACTGGGTAAGACATTGATGTTGTGTTCACCACTGGTGCGAACTGGATAGAGAGAAACGAAAAAGTCACCTGGCTTGCCTCCAGCTCCTCCAATTCCTCAGCTTCTTACGCTTCCTCCACCTCCACCCTCTCCTCCTTCTCCTCCTCCTTCTTCCGCTGCACTCATCCATCTTTTTCATTGCCATGGCACTCAGGTTAGACCTCCAGGATCTCTATGATTGATGAAAAAAACTGTCAGACCCAGGAACCGTTTCTAGCTTCGACTAGTTCCACTGTCCCGGGCCACAATAGCCTTCTTCTGACTCTCAAGACCGAGAAGCTTTGTGTCGACGTAGACATCCGGACAGACAGATTACCATGGCGTGCTGAAAGATACTAGCATTATCACCGGCTGTGAGCTTGCGTCGACCTAACCCACCCACTTTAAACTCTGTCGCGCCAGCGGAGCGTGTGCACTCCAATCATGAAATTCAATGGCGCAACAGCCCGACCCCTATGCAGATTAGATCGATATACATCCCCCGTTCCTGCAGACGATCCTGCACGGAACTTTCTATCCCTCCCTCGAGGCCAGCACAAACTTCAGGCGAGCTGCTTTTCGGGTCTGGATCGGCTGTCTCCATTACTAAGGAGTATAGTGATTGATCCACAACGACGGCGACCTTCCTACTAAAGCCTGAGTACACAATCCTATACCAGTAGCATCAACGGCAGAAATTGAAGGCTGATGCTAATTTTCCTTTCAGCTGAGATCGATCATCTTTCTCTTAAATCATCTCCCAACTGGGGATCGTTCAGTGTCCGAGTGAAGAGGAGGCAACGGAAGCGAGTAATATGATGAATCTGTTAGCTACAGGGTGGACCCCGCGAACGAAGCCCGTGCAGGGCAACTACAGACTATTCCAGCTTAATTCCCACACTAGCAGCATGCGTGCTTAGCCTTTGGTGACTCGATCCCTGTGGTCCACTCGCCAACCCACAGTAAGAAAGACCCATTCTCCTGGAGATTTTCGGATGCTCCATACCAGATCTGTGTGGCCCCCTATCCCGGTCTCTCCAGTCAGAAGGGGCAAGACATGTGAGTGGCCAGAGCCTACTGCGCTTGCAGGATTCACCTAGAAAGGCGAGTGCAAAATTGAAGGATGCTTCGCGGAGAATTTAGACTAGACGTTGTCATGCAAGATAACCCAATTTCTAGTCTGCTTGTCCCTGAACACTGAACAACCTTCAGCTCCAGGATTTAAAGCCTGCATCTGTCACTCCTCTAGACTCGTGGGACCCTGGTACCTCTGTCTATCGAGTACTTTTTCTCCAGGTCATTTTGCACCAGGAGATGAACCATGCCTGCTCTGTCCCTACTGTCGCACCTGCTGTACCGCAGTGATGCTGGTCAAGCCTATCTGGCAGGTCGGTCGGCCACAGAGATCGGAGTCCTGACGGCCAGCGACAAAGCAGGCTTCGTCGCCATGGGTGTGATCGCTCTCTGTTCTTTCATTGCATCGTTTGGTCTGCTGTCGTTCCTTACTTATCGTTTCATCTTCTGGCGTCACTACTACAAGCGACCGCTGGCACAGAACCAGTACGTCGTCTTAATTTATAATCTCCTTCTCGTCGATATTCAGCAAGCAATGGCATTCTTGCTATGTCTTCACTGGGTGTCCCAAGGCCATGTCTACTATCCGAGTGCGCCCTGTGTTCTTCAGGGTTGGTGGATCCAGATCGGGGATCCCGGCAGTGGTCTGTTTGTGTTGGCGATTGCCATGCATACGGGTGCAGTGGTGATGCGAGGTCGACAGCTGCCATTTCCAATCTTTGTGGCCAGTGTCGTGGGTCTCTGGGTGTTCATCATTATCCTCGGTCTCATCCCGGTGGGCTTGTTTGGTTCCGACACCTTTGTAATCTCTGAAGCAGGCTGGGTAAGTGAACGGGAACTGCGATTTATATACCTCAAAAACTAATTTGCCTCCTGCAAACAGTGCTGGCTGGGTCCGCAACACGAGACTGAGCGACTATGGCTACATTATCTATGGATTTTCCTGGCCGAGTTCGGTACCGTGGTTCTCTACGGAATCATGTTCTTCTATCTCCGACGCCGTATGCAGGAAGCCGCCTCCCTCCGTCAGAACCACCAAGAGAACTTGAAGCGGTTGAACCGGGTGGTCATATACATGGTTATCTATCCTTTGGTGTACTTGGTGCTGTCGCTGCCTTTGGCTGCCGGGCGTATGTCCACGGCCCGGCATGTCGTGCCTAGTCGAGCGTACTTTGCGGTGGCCGGAACATTGATGGCTCTGTCGGGTCTGGTAGATGTGGTGGTCTATACTTTGACCCGTCGCCACTTGCTGCTGGAGACTGATCTCAGCGCTTCCGACCGGATGTATGCGTACACGGAGTCGGCCGCCTATCAAACGCACATTACCACCGGTCACGGCGACACGACTACGAAGAAGCCGCGCATGAAAACCCGATTCCGACGCGGTCTACAGAGCATCAACGACACGGTGGACGATCATCGAGATTCGTCGACCGAAGATATTGTGCGTAAGACGGACATGGAGCTGGCTGATCTGGGGCATGGCGTGTACCAGGAGACGACCATCGAAATTTCGCACGAGCCAGCCGAGCCCGAAGAATTTCAGAACCGAAATCGCCACAGCGGTTGATGCCGGTGGAGAATTCAGCCGGACTTCTACCCCCACCTGCCATCCAATCTTTTTACTAATTTTTTTTTTTCCCCTCTTTCTTTCTTATTTTCCCTCTCGATCCTCCGTGGATACAAGTCATTCTTTCCATCTCATCATCTGTCACGATCTTTCTTACGAGGATAACCATGATCACTATACCAATTGTTGTATCTATACTATATCACTCACTTCATCCCGCGAGGATAAAATCAATAATCACTTAATAATCTGCATTGCACGTTCAAATTGTCAACCCCACTGACCGGCTCAACCGGATACGAAGCCGTCGTGCCCTGGTCGACGGACCTCCGACCAATGAAAGGGGCGAAAAAGACAATCCGCATGAAGATCGACAGGCTGGCCCCACTCCGTTGAAGCTTGGAGCCAACGCGCTGCCATACCAGGCCAGATTGGGTATGATGCAGCCTGGCCGGAACCAAGCCTCGTTTTCCCCCTTCGGCAACTCCCTTCGGCCCCAGCTCCGACGCAAGAGTCTTTCAACTCAGTGAATCAGGGGCTGGATTGTCACCATCATCGAAAAGGATACGAAGGGTTTTTCTTGAAATCTCTGCGGCAGTTGAATACGTTGATACGAAGGGCACCGAATTTTCGGGGCAAGGGAAGGGCGCAGTAAACACGGCAGGAAGAAGCTTCTTCATCTACTTGATTATTATTAAGTTAGGATCAAACAGGCTGCATCTGCATCTGCATGTGAGTTTGCTACAAGACGAGGAGGATGGGCAGTTGCGTGCGCTGCTGACACAGCTCCTTGCGTAACAATTAACGACGGAGTAGCTAAGGTGGTGACGCTTGCCCCTCTCGTCTCCCACATTCGACGTTGAACCAGCATCTGTCCTTGTCGCTATCAACTTCTGCTCCCGACTCGCTGCCAACTCTCCGTCACTGTCTGTCTTCCTCTCGGGTGGGAGCTATTCCTAACCGGGGCATTTTTACCGATCTGCCATGCCATGATGGTCCATTGCTTCTGACAGCTTGCTGGGTCGCAGGCGGCTGTCGCTTAAATACTCTCTCCCCTCCTACACACCACTCCACCGTCTATGGCTGGGTAGGCAGCTGGCAAATGACAGCTTACGCAATTCCCGGGTTGGGCGTCAGTCGGAAGCCCGCCGGTGGGAGCTGGAGGTTCGTACCGGGATTGTGGGTGTGGCTTGGGTGGCTGATGGGGAACCGTGGGTGGTGTAATTGGGCCCAGATTTTGGTGTATACTCCGTACCTAGTTCGTTCTGGATTCTTTTGGCCGTGGACGAGTGGGAATGTTGAGATCTTCAAAATCCATGAGAGAGAGGAAAGATTGACTGGGCAATATGGTTCGGTGGAGCAGCGCAGCAGGACGCGTTCTGCGGTGATGGGATTCTTGCAGTGGCAGTGTGATCCGAGTGCTGTCAATGACTCGAAGCTCTCATCGCTAACCTCAGCTCAGGCCTGGGATGATCGAAGCTCTTGGCTCTACGCTGGGTTTCCGTGTGTGACTGTTTGTTTGACTGGTTTCTGTCAGGAAGGTATCTGATAGCGGTCTGTGTACTGCGATCGCGTTATAGACTCTTGTTGCATTGGGAATTATTGCTACCGGTGGTAGAGCCGTCGATTGACAATGAAAGAGAACCACAAGTAAGCATGGAGCAAGCCAGGCATGCTACGAGCCCCGTAAGTTACCACAAACTTCTACAAGCGTAGCATCTGCCTTGCAGATCTGCAGATTCTAATTACGTGGAGTTGGAGCGGCACAGATACTAGATTTAGGCGTTCGAGAGATTCTGATACTTGGGAACTGTTCCTTTCCAATGCGATGTCGATGTCGAGATAACCCGGTTAGTACAGCGTTAGTAGGGAGATGATTCTACTACCACTCGTGCTCGCTAGATACCGCGAGATGATATTCATTGCCAATACACTGTAGACATATATCATAGTTCAAAGGACACTACTGCAAGAAAACATGAACGTAGCCCAAACACACAACCAAGCAAGAGACCATTTTACCTTGCCACATTAGTAAAGATCTCAAAACCACCAGTCTCCCAACAAGAAACCTTTATCCACGGATAATACTAGGGGCATGTACATAAGTTGTCAAACCCTCTGATCCCACACCCGTACAGTCAGTAGCCACCACCTCTAAATCCCTCCCCGTGGTTACTCCCCGAGTCCCCCAGCCGTTGGCTCTAGCAGAATAACCTAACCCTGATTAAGTTGAGTCTGCATAAGTACTACCAGTAGACTAATTACTTATTTAGTAGTACTCCAATATATGAATACAGCAAAATCTCCGCCTCACCCTAAGTTTTTAGCTCCAAGGCCGGCGCTGATTCTTTTTCCTTGTAAGGGGTAAGGGGCATTCCGACTCCGGAATAATTGCCTACTCCAGAGGCCGCGAAGAGGGGAATATGAGTTTTGATATGGTAATTGGAAATTGTTCTTATTCATTATATTGCTGTGGGTATTTTATAGCGTATTTTACTTCTATTTGTATTCTTTCCACGGATAATTACTCACTGGCAATGTGAGCAGGAAGGTATGCGCTTGTTCAGTGGTCGTAGCATTATACTGAACATGCCGAGTATAGTTTCGTCGGCAGGAATCTTATACTGACTAACTACTTTTCCCTGCTTGAATATCTCTTCAGTTAGCAGGAGTGCTATACTGGTGGGTACCAGAGTCTTCTGGGGGGAAAGCTGAAGTTTCATGGGGGATATACGAATGGGAATGGGAATTGGTCTTGAATATGAGATGGAGAAGCAAGCCCCCTGGGGCGCAAGGTTCAATGGTCGGACCTTGTGCCAGGGGCTGGGATTGAAAGGCTTAAAAACCGGGCAAATGGGCAAACGGGTGGACGCAACAACAGTCAAGCAAAACGTTCGTGAGATTGTCGATTGCTTCATCTATCGTTGGTCTGCTATATCATCCAAACACCAAGGGGATTCTGTTCTATACACGATGCAAGTTCTGTTCTATCGTACAACTCTGACGTCTCATGCAAGAACGTCAAGCATCTCCTCCACACGTCCGAATTTATCGCGCACCTTGCCCTTCTCCTGACCGCGCGCGCGCTCGGCCTGGTCAATCCGTTGCCAGTCTTCCCACGTCGTGGGCCGCAGACCGCGCTTCTCGGCCTCCGGACGGACGCCCTCCCAGCCGAGACCGGTGCGTTGCTCGGGGGCGTTGAGCGAGGGTCGCGTCGTCACGTCTGCAGCGATTGCGTCCGCCGTGGTGAACGCGTCCGTCATGGTGGTGGCGATGACGCCCGTAGGTCCACGCTTGGCCCAGCCAGCGCAGTAGAGACCCGGGAGATGGGAAATGATCGAGCCATCGGGTAGCGCCTGACGATCGCCGGTGTCGGCGCGGCTGGTGATCCGTCCAAATCCGTCGTTGGGGATCACCCCGCGCCGCGCGTCGAACTGCACCCCCAGCTCTTCCATGCCCGGCAACGCCAGCGACTTGTACCCCACGCTGCGAAAGAAAGCGTCAGCGGGAAGATCGACCGTCGCCCGCTCCCCGCTCGGGAGGTATTGAGGGGTCACTTTGGCGCTGGGCAGGAACGGGTCGGAGGAATCCAGCTGGTTTCGAGCAAAGGTCACATGCGAAAGGCGATTCGGGTGTTGAGGCGAGGTGTGCAGGCTCTCCGGAGAGAGGAGGAAATCCAGCGACCATGATTTATGCGCCGTGGACGGGTCGTTCGTAGACCCCTTGGCCATGAGCTGGACCAGGCGTTTCTGGGCGCGAGGCAGTGCCGACATGACCTCTTCGGACGGGAGGAGGTCTGTGGGTATGGGGTCGAACGCGACGGATGGCAGCTGCAGAAGTTCGCGAAGCTCTTTGATGGTAAACGCGGCCTGAGGCAAGGGTTGTCAGTGAAAAGCCTCAAATACGCGGAAAAGGCAGTCGAGCGCAGCATACCTGCATCGGCCCTCGACGACCAACAACGCGAACCCTCTTGATCTTGCTCCTCCGTAGCGCCTCCACTGCATATTCCGCGATGTCCGTCTTGCGCAGAACATCGATATCCGACAGCAGAATCCTGGCAACATCCAACGCCACGTTGCCTTGTCCGACGATCACCGCATTCTCGCCAGTGGTCAAGTCCGGTGCCAGGTCCCGATGCTCGGGGAGGCCATTGTACCAGCCCACAAACTCCCGCGCCGAATAGACGTTCCGATTGGCCTTTTCGCCGGGGAGGCCGAGCTCTTTGTCCTTCGGGGCGCCGTATGCGAACAGTATGGCGTCGTAGTGGGGCTTCAGCGTACTCAGTGGGAGAGACACACCCAACTCGACGTTGCCAATGAAGTTGAATCGCGGGGATGTGGCAACCTCGGTGAATTTATCTTCGCAGTTCTATGCGACCCCCGACATCAGTGTTCGTCCTGGTTCGCAGGCGTCCTCGGTTGTTTCACGTACCTTGACCTCGGGATGATCGGGAGCGACGCCATATCGCGCCAACCCGAAAGGGACGGGCAGTTTCTCGTACATATCGACGACGGCATCGTCCACCTTGGCGAGGAGACGATAGGCAGCGTAGAAGCCGGCCGGGCCCGAACCTATGATGGCGACGCGGAAGGGTCGCTCATTTTGCACGAGCTGGCTGTATCGGCGGGACTGACGGACAAAATGCGTGCGCTGGTAGCGTAGGAAGGAAGTCTTCGGGCAGCGGGTGATCTGCGCCGTGCATTGGGCGCAGACATATGGAGCACGTTGCAGACTCATTGTGGTTAAGAAAAGGACGTGAATGAATCATGGCCGGGCAAAGCGGGCAATTCAGGGACCGATAAGGACCCATTGTCACGTGATATAGATCTTATCGACTCCGTTGCCCCGGCGACAATCGGGGCGTTCTTGTTGACAATCATTGGGTTGCAACTCATGGAATGGAGTGGAGAGATAGAGATGATGATGACGATGGTTGACAGATGCGCCTGGCTGCAGCTCCCGAGCCCAGCCCTGCAGCTCAGGCGCCGACCTTGGCTCGTGCGTTCTCTGAATTCCTGCTTTCTCCTCTTCCTCTCCCTCTCCCACTTTTTCTCATTCCACGGTTCCTACATTCCTCCTCTGTCAGCTGTCACTAACTGTCGTTCCCTTCCTGTTTCTCCCCTCGTCAACCTCTCGCTGGTGGTTGCGACGGGCATTCCTTCTTTTTGAGAAGCTTATCACCAGCATTCCACATTCCTCTCAATCGTCTCTCCACCTTCACCCCCCCGCCTATCGCGTGGGTCAATGCTCTAGTCTTTAGTTCGCGGCGTCATCGTCATCCATCGCGAACCATGGGCGAGTCCGATCCCCCATATCTGTATGATAGCCCAGTCCACCACCAAACAACTTCGCCGCGATTCTACAGCCAACCATTCAATCCCAAGGCCGTGACAGAGGCAAGCTGGGCTCAACCGGAACCACAACCGGAGGTCAAGGCTCCTTTGGTTGGTCTCAATCGGCACCCGGACTCGGTAAGCATGTCTATGGTTTGTCGTCGCAGTGAGGTGTCCTCGCGCTGATCCCTACAGTACTACAATGTTCCCGATCGGACGCGATGGACTCCCATGAGCCCCCACACAAAGAGTAGAGTCATCTACGGACGTCAAATACAATTGGGTCTCCGCGTCCTTGCTTTGATCGGCGCCTTAGGATCGTTGTTCTGCTCCATTGTGATCAAGAATGCAGCAACCACCGTGATCTGGATCGTACGCGTCGGGGTAAGTGCTGCTTGTGTCGCAGAAGTAGTTATGTACTGATCGTCCCTAAGCCCGCCGTAGCCATCCTGCATAATATATACAGCATCTGGTACTTGTGGCGGTCTGCGATCACTAGGCCTCCTGGATCCCAGGCCAGTTACATGCTGTTTGCGGGCACCCTCGATCTGGGATTGGTGCCATATTACATCTTTGCAGCTTTCCTGGGCTACAGACAATGGACCGACACTGCTTGGAATTGGCAAAACCTGCTTAGTTCGGAATTGGATGTGACAACTAAGATTGCGGAGTCTACCTTCTTGCTTAGTGTGGTCAATGGAGGATTGCATCTGATTTCGCTTGGTATTTGCATCTTCTTAGGTATCATCTTCCATAAGATCCGGAAGCTGCCGCCCGACATGAACCCACTGGAAGACAATCTCACTGCGCGTCCACTGAAGCGAAGCAAGTCGGAGATTATAGAGAAACACGCCAGTCTGTCTACACTGGACACGGACATCGGGTCAAGCGAAGAGCCCCTGATCACGGGTCCTCGGACGGTGCCTTTTATGCACACTCGGGACAACATGTATCTAGATGGCTTCAGTCGTTACCCGCCGAGTGCCTCCGACAAGAGACACTCTCAATATTCGCAGAATACTCAGCGGATGTCGCGGGCGGAGTCAGTCCCTCAGCTACCATTCCAGCAGCCCAATGATATTGCCGACGACGTCACGGTCAATTCGCCGATCGACAAAACCCCCGACATCTTCACTCGCCCCACAACGACGATCCCACATGGCTCTCCAGTCCGTGAACCGTCGCCTGCCATTCCTCCCCGCTCCCAATGCGTGAGCCCGGCATCAGACAATTGGATCGTGTATCCCTCCCGGTCGGCCACTCCAGCGGAAGACGAAAATGAACACCCGCTTCCTCGTGAACCGTCTTCTGCGTACAGCGCCGTCGAGACCCTCGCATCCGCCAAGAACGGGGTGATGGAATGGTTCAGCGGCCCGCAGCGCCACGGCCAGCCTGTCGGACAGGCTATTACAGAAGACGTCCGCGGTGAATATGAGTCGATCGCCGCCAATGAGTATTACAGCCACAACCATGACGATGTTCACGATTTCCTGTACCGCAACGGCCTCTACGACAGTGCGGAACAAGACCTCGGCGACCACCGCATCGACATCTTCCAGGACCATGACCAAGAACACGACTACCTGGATGAGGAAACCCGCAACTCCCTGCGGGTGAACCCGCTCGCCCTCAACCCTCCGACCCCGCAGCCTAAAGTCGAAGGTATCCGCGCCGTCGCCCGTAGCCCAAGCAACAGCGGCCGCATGGCTCTGACGGACATTCCGAACCTATCTCCGAACTTGCAACAAAACGAAGACGCCAGTGCTGTCGAACCCACCCCGAAGAAAAGCAAGACTTTCTACGGAGACGTCGCCTTGGCCAGAGCCGGCAGCGACCGCAGCAACAACAACAACAACAACATCAACCGCAAGCCCAGCCTAGGCCAGAAACTCGGAAAGTTCACCATGTCGCGCAGCCAGAAGCGCAGCGCCTACGGCGCGTTGAAGCAACACGATGACGATGCCAACGACTATCTTCAAGCCGACCCCGTGACTCTTGCCGGAGACCGCAAGGGCCGCGTGGTCAGCAATTCCGGCGCCGACTTTGGTGGTCGGGCGGTCCCAGACACACACCCCGCCGCAGATCCCAACGCTTCCTCTTCAATTTCCTACGGAAACTACCTCGCCGGGCTTGGGGTTGTCGGGGTCGGAAGACGCCGCGACGTCAGCGGGAAGATCGCGGAGGAGGGCCGGGCAGAGGCTAGCAAGAAACCGGGGGTGGAGGTTAATCCCGTCCGTGGCGACGAGAACGTGAAGCCTGTTCGTGCGGCTGGATGGGCGAGGTTTGCTGGGTTGTAGGTGTGGCGTGAAGGGTCGACGAGCATCGATACTCGGTACACGGCTATGTGATGTGGACGGTACTTGATGACCGAAGGGCTGACTGATGGATTTCTTTATGATTTGATGTTTATTGATTTGGATGGATTCTGATGATCTATGTGGATGATGATTGAGACTTGACTGGATTTGATGGATTGGGTCTCTCTCTTTACGCAGTGATACTCCTCTTTCGTCTCTGAATTTTATGTATTGTAGGTACTATTGTACTGTACAGAACGTACATAGTGGCTGATTTCTCAGCACGGTGCAAAATGAATGGAATTAAGGACATGTGTGATGAGGTGATCGGGTTTGAAGTGGTAGGCTAAAAATATGTGCAGGGTGATAGATACGACAAAAGATTGTACAAGACAAGATGTACTAAGGAAAACAAGAGCCTGGGTATGTACAGTATAACTCCAGTAAAATGAATGACACTCATCAACCAATAACACACCCCCAGCGAGATGTCAGGAAATGAAGGAAAGAAAACAAGCAAGCAGCACCTCCCCTCCCCACCCCCCCGCGTAGATGTCGCGAAATGACGTTAAAGAGCGAAACAACCCCACCCCGGCAGACTAAGAAGGCACCCCCTCATATTCCCACCCCTTAATGAGGCGCTTATTCCGGCGCGAATTCCGACGGTTCGCATTACACTTCACGAACAACGTCAACGCGGCAATAATACAGATGACGATGCTGGCGATGGCTGCCACCAGAACGGTGCGACGCTCCAGCTCACCGGGGTCGGCGGCGTAGGGGCAGCTGGCGTCAGGCCCGCCCGTCACCCAGCAGGAGGTGACATCGAGGGAGTTGAGGTCGAGCCAGACCTCGCGGCGCGATTCGGAAGTGGTGGTCGGGTCGAGGGTGTCGGTTTGGGTGAGGAGGTAGTGGTAGAGGAAGGAGTTCTCGATGCCGGTGCGCGGGACGGACAGCGAGGTGTTGGACGGGCAGGCGTGGTTGTAGGCGTCGGCGAAGGAGTGGGCGGAGGGCGAGAGGCGCCAGGTGAAGGGGCTGGTGCCGACGCGGCAGGCGGCGTGGCGGCTGACGCTGCAGTTCACGGCGCGCCAGTGGCCTCCGAGCGAAAGGTCCATCACGGCGCAGTGGTCGTTGGAGGCGAAGGCGCTGTCGTCGTCGTCATCGTCGTCGTCGTCGTCTTGGGTGTCCGCGTTGGCGTCTGCGGGCTGGCTGATGGACCAGGCCCAGGAGGTGGCCAGCGAGAGGTCCTCGTAGGGCTCAATGGTGTCGGCGGCGGTGGTGTTGAAGAGCGTGTCGTTGAGGGAAGGGGTGAGGCCGCACGCGGTGAGGTTGACGGACACGGCGGCCATGTCGCCGATGGTTGCGTTGCGATCTTGGGAGATGGCGGGTATAGGGATGTAGTCGGAGATTGCCCAGGAGGAGTTGGCTTCGGCGACGGTGGTCGCACCGGGTGTGTAGTAGCAGGTCGTGTCGAGTTGGCCGGCGGAGTCGACGGAGATGGAGATCGTCGAGGAGAGGTAGTAGGGCGGGAAGATGAGGCTGCTGCTGCCAGCCGGGAAGAGGTCGTACTCGGCCAGCTGGGGGTCGACTGCGGCGTACTCGACCAGTAGGCGTTTCTCACGCGCCAGTTGCACGAACTTCACGCACGGCCATCCGTCCGGCGTGCTTTGGATGCCCTTGGCGTCCTCATGGATGGTGAAGTAGTCCGTGATCGGCTTGTAGCTGTCGTCGACTTCGAACCAGGACTTGTTGAGGTTGGCACGCTCAGACACCAGCTCCGACGGGGTGTAGACGTACGATGAGAGTTGGTCGTCGAAGATGGCGCTGAGGGTCTCCGAGCCGGTGGGGAGCTGCGCGCCGGTCACGACCGAGCCGGCTTCGTCCGGATGGGCGGCGCTGGCGGCGGCGTGCAGGTTGAAGGAGACGAAACGAATGTATGCGGTCAGCTCCGTGTTGGTACGCTGGAAATGGCCCCGGAGCACGTCGATCAAGCCGTCCAGGTCGACTTTGGTGGTACATCGGTATGAGCCGAGCTCGTAGAGCAGCGAGCCCGATGAGCTAGCCACCGCGGTGACGGTCGCTTGCGCTGCGTTGGTCGCGGTCGCGGTCGCAGTTGCGCTCGAGGTGCCAGAGATGCTGATAACCGTCGCATCTTGGGGTATCGAGACTGGACAAAGCTGCCATTTCCGTGCGTCAGTCGACCAGTAGAGGTCCACGATCAAGCGACGATATCCAACCGTGAGCAAGTTGGAGATGCATCGGCCCGCCGCATCTTCGTCGTAAATGTTATTGCCGAAACAAGCTGCGCGAAGGGACACGGAGGAGGTGGTGACGAAATTCAACGGAATCTGGCCGGCGACATCTCTTTCGCTCTATGCGATACTTATTAGTGGCATGATGGGTGATTGGAGACGGTTGCGAACTCACTAGGAAGACAGCCGACTGCGTCGAATTGAGAACAATATCCGGGTCAAACTTCATTGACGTGGAGCTGTGAGCCGCAGGCAGCGGAGAGGCCGATTGAGCAATGAGAAACTCGGCATGACCGTTGTTTGCGAGATTAGATGCGACAGAGGCATGAGATGATGCAGTAAAGGAGGAAGAGATGAACGGAAATGCGCCGGGCGGCCGAGTGCGGAGAAGAAGGCGGTGGGAGCTTTTGGCCCAAACACCATCTGGCCTCTTCGGTCTTCGCTTTCACCTCACCATCTCAACTTCCCATACCAACTCACCTCAACTCATCCCGCTTTCTTTATTCTCCCCGACTGTCTGTCACTTCCAGTCTCTCTTCTGCTTTTTTTGCATGATAGGCGAACTCGAAAGATCAGCGTCGTTGATCCATTTCTTCATTATCTGCTAGCTCAGTCCTAGTTCCATCGCTCATCATGGCGGCGCCCGGTGGGCCATCTCCCCAGCAGATTGCGGCCATGCAGCAGCAGTTCGCTGCTGAGGCTGCCAGACGCGGATTGACCCCAGAACAATTTGCTCAGCAGCAGCGCGAACAACTCGCCGCAGAGGCCGCCAAGCACAACATGAGCACCGAGCAATATGTCCAGCAGCTAAGAGCGCGGGCGATGGCCGCACACCAGCAACAGATCGCACAAGCCCGGGCGCAGGCCCAAGCCCAGGCCCAAGCCCAAGCTCAAGCACAAGCTCAGGGAGGCCAGTCGCCCGCACAACCAGGTCAAAACCTGCCAGCGCCTCAACAACCTCAGCCCCAGCAGACGACACGTCAAGTGCCGGTCAACCCATCCAACCCCCCCGACCCGAAGGCCATCGCGGTGGCCCAGTTCCTGCAGTCGCAGAACCTCAAGACACGCACTTGCATCATGGATGGTCAACGAAAGGAGATGTTCAAAGGTGCGATGCTAAGGTAATGCATTCGATGAACCAGTGCTGACAGTGTACTCCAGTGAAACGCGCTATTCGCGCCCTCGAATCCCCCGCATACGCCAAAGCCGCCGCGAAGAAAAACTCCCTTCTCCCCCCCGTGACCGACCGCGCTTCTGCAGAGAATGTCTTCAAGCTTCTCCCCCTGTCTCTTCTGGCTCTCCGAGTCTCGAAAGTCGATCCCCATGCGGGTCACAATCACGCTAAGCCGAAGAACCGTGTCAAGGGGCTGTGGACGGTCAAGATCGAGCAGCACCAGGAAACCAACCCTATGATGCACTACGTTTGGTTGTATGAGGGGCCCCAGTTAAAGCAGAAGTTGATGGCTGGCGCCGTTGTTGCGGGTATCTTCGCCGTTGTCCTGTTTCCCCTCTGGCCCATGGTGATGCGGCAGGGTGTCTGGTACTTGAGTGTCGGCATGATGGGGTTGCTCGGGTTGTTCTTCGCGATGTCCATTTTCCGTCTGATCTTGTTCTGCATTACCGTTTTTGCAGTGCCGCCTGGACTCTGGCTCTTCCCTAACCTGTTTGAGGATGTCGGTTTCGTGGATAGTTTCAAGCCTTTGTGGGGCTGGCAAGAGGTATGCGAGATTTTACTTTCGATCCGGGATGATACTGACAGTCACACAGAACAAGAAGAAGAAGAAGAAGTCCAAGAAGGCGGTGGCTGGTGAGGAAGCATCTAAGCCTGCTACTGAGGTTGCAACTGATGCAGCTCCTGCCGCATCCACTACGGCAACAGAAGCACCGGATACTTCCAGCACGGTCAAGCGTGACTTGGCACCCCGAGTGGAGGAGCTTGGCGAGGAGTAATGTCGTTATTGAGTTGGTTGCGGAGGCGCCTTGTACTGGCTGGCACTGTTTCAATGGCATGGTTGGGTTAGGTATAACATCGCTTCGGCTTTCATGTTTCGATGCTTTCGGATTTACCGTGTGGGATAAAACAACTTGGATTTGGGTTTGCAAACAAATGGATTGCTTTTACATTATATTTTTCGAGTGTTGTATGGTGTTGAGTGATTTGGGGAGAGGGTGTCACGTGCCTGTATAAATTCATCAAGTCCACATCACAACTTGCCTATTTGTGGGTCCGTTTCTTATTGCTAACTAGCAAGACTGTCGATCGACTCTTCGAGACGATGGCTGGACCATGGCGCTGTTTGTCAAAGCCCTAGCGTGTGTTGTCTCTTTGCAGCCGAAGGGCAATGGTGAGTGTCTGACAATAGGGTGTCATGTTGATGCTGTGGATGCAAATGTCACTCTGCGGGGGATGTCTGCTTACGCACCCATTGTTCATCATTCCCTCTCTTGGCTTCTGCTGCGTGAGGCTTTCCATGTCATGTGATAAGAAGGGGCCATATATCCTCTTCGATCTCTTCCCTTTGTCCCGTCCATTCATCTCTGCAAGGTTCCTGAAAGGGGCTGGCTGTTCAGACGGTTGACATTGACATTGATATTATCTGTTTGAACACCTTATGTCTGACAGGGATTCATTCGAAGTCTCGATGATTAGAGTAACCATAACAATAACCAACCCCCTCCTAGCCTACAGAAACAAAACAATCCATCCATCTCTCAGTAAGAGTAAGTAACTTAATCAATTCACTGAACCAACTTGATCAAACAGCACAACTCCCCCAAACCAACAACCTCCCCCTCCGACACCTCCCCGTACAACAATCCCCATCCCTCCAACAACCACCCCCGACCTCCGTACAAACCCTCGGCTCCCCACAAACCGCCTCCCCATTCAACCCACAGTTCCCCGACGCACAATCCCCATCCTGCGCACAACCCGCCCCATACGCCCCCTCCGCCGGCTCCGTCTCACAAATCTTGACCCCCCGATCCTCGCTCCACAAACTAAACCCACACACCAACCCCGCCACGCACTGTTCCGTCGCGGTGCACACCGCCCCGTACGCCCCCCGCGGCCGCACACATACCCCGGCCTGACAAGCTCCGAACCCGCACTGCTCGTCCACGAGACACGAGGCCCCGACGGGGAGCACGGCTGGTAGGCAGGTGCGTGTTTCCGTGGCGCAGATCCAGCGCTCGGAGGTGTTCTCGTTGGTGTTGGTGGCACGGCAGTCGGCGACGGTACTGGCGCAGGGTTTGCCCCGCTGGGAAATGGCACAGCTGCCGGCGTGGCAGTAGTTGGTGGCGCATTCGTTGTGGGTGGCGCAGCAAGTGCCCGGGGCGAGGCGCGGGAGGCATTTGTGGGCTGCGGGGAAGCAGTAGTTGGGTTCCATGGCTGTGGTCTGGCAGTTTTCGTCGGTGGTGCACGCTGGGCGGGTGGTGAGGTATTCGGGGGTGGGGTCCGGGGGTGGGGTGCAGGCGTTGGTTAGGACGAAGAAGAGGAGAAGCAGGGGAGGGAGGATGCTGCGCATATTTGTGGTGGAGAGGGTGAGTGATGGCAGTGTGAGTAGTAGAAGACGGGGAGAGGACGACGCCAGAATTTATTGAACGGATCAGGGGGGTTTTTGTTGGTATATATATGGTACATGATACCTGCAGATATCCTGTTCCTTGATATGATGTTGGATGGTGCTGCAGGGTCGTACTGCAGAGCACTGCAGATGATCTGCAACTTTATTGATTTCCCTGCATGGGATTCGATAGCCCTACCTTTTATCGTGCGGCTGGTCTTGGCGGGCAGTAGGACTGGTCAGAGGGCGGTGCTTGTTTAGTCCTTGGCTTGGGATTTGTATGGTTTTTGAGGACCTGTTGCGTCCGCTATGTAGTAAATGGTTGTGAATTATCTCTGCCTGCATATACATCTACTCGGGGTTGTATCGGAGTGTTACTACCTTATTGACTTGATTTAGTTTGCGAACTGGATAGCGTGAGGATGCTATTACTATCGACTTCTGATACATAAGGTATCTATACTGCTGCTACTTGTACTGCTTTTGATACAACGGCAAGCCATACGATAAACGTGCTGAATGTCAACCCTGAGAGGTCTCGCGCACTCTTGCCTTTGGAGATGGGTCTTGGGAGATGCTTCGCTTGGCTGGGTCCTCGTTGCAAGCCTTGCATACCAGATCGGGTGAATTCTATGATGAACGGCGTAGAGATGAGGCTACGCCTTGAAGTCAGCAGCTCTTCTTGTCAATAAACCCTAACCCAACTAGGATTATCACCTATCCCACTAACACATAGTCTTTGCAATCACAGCCAGCCAGAATTAACGTGCTGACTAGTCATATCCGTGATGAAATAGTCGGAAAGGTTTCCGGTAACCAAGGGGTGATCGCTTCCACCTGAAGACACTCTTTGTCTTTAAGTCTGTGCAAACCGTCCACTCAACAACGTACAACATGCCCTTTCTCAGGGCCCTTGTCATTGCGTTCGTAACTGTCAACCTGATAAGTGTCGACGAGCTTCCTCTTTACATGTCATCCAGGAATTTCCCATGAACCATGACCATTTTCATCCGTTGGGCCCATTTGCTCCTACAACGGATCTATGGCTCACTCGATCGCGGAGGATTCTGAGGAACAGTGATAGCTATGAGAGGCGTGCCCCATCACTGTTCACTAGTGTATGAGTGCCTCTGCGTCCGCCAACCCGCTGCATTAAAGTCATTCACAACTGTCCACTGATTAGGTCAAAGACAGTTCCCTTCTGCCCCTATTCCCTCGATCCAATGATTTAGGTGTTCGTGAGCTTCGCTCCTGAGCCACACGAAGATGACGCCGCAGTGGGGATTACTCCCACAACGGTCTGAATGGGCGGACAAGTGGCATCTAAAGCTCTCACGGCCCGTAGAGGACCAAAAGTCCTCAGTCTGCTTCTTATTCCTGGTATGCAGTAGGTGTTCGCGTGGCTGCATACCCCGCATTTGATCCGAATATCCTCGCCAGTGTTGGACCTGAATACCTGATGGACGAGATTGTAATCAAGGTAACAATATTCCTCCCCGTTTCGTCGTCGATGCAACCGAAACGATGGAGGTGCTTCCAGAGCACTGAACACCTCGTTCTCCGCGCAACGAACCCGATCCTTGACTTGGATCTGTACAAGTATAAGCAAAGTTTGAAAACCTTCAACAGCACACTTACCGAGTCGCATTAGACAGTACTGTATTTCAACGCGTTGGTGTTCAACCTGTTCCATAACATAAGAGGGTAGGTAAGCCTTACAGAGTAAGAGCGCGATCAAGCGCGTTCAACCCCTCCACCCCACATAAAGAAGCACAAAACCCCATCGACTGTGGATCATTACAAGCATCAGCAGTGAGCATTTGCTGGTTAGATTGGAAAATGCAGGTCTGTAGTGAACGCTGAGAAGAGCCTGTCGTCTTCAAAGTAACATAGTGGAGTACTGTGTGTGGTATCCTCCGGACTACTGATGAAGAAGCCGCAGTTGACCGAGTGTGCTTTGTGCACTCAACTACCACAGGTCTGGCCTCGGTCCATATTGCGCGAGTATAAAAGGTATCTTGGCGGACGGATCCACACTAAGCTGGTCTCGCGTCGGGTATCTCGTATAGTTTCATTCTAAACTCGATGCGATGCTAGTCTCTGCATCGGGTGGATAGATCGAATGCCAACTGAGCCAAGGCGAACAGCACAGAGCAATGTGATCCTGGGTTCGACTGGAGCGGACCCGTCAATGCTTTGAGAAATTAATGAGATCACAGCGGACGACATAGCAATGGATAGACCCCTTCGAGGCCTTGTTGCGAGTCGTGCTTATCTCCTAGTGAGGATTGCTCTGGATTGATCACCACCGAGTGATATCCAGTAACAATAGAGGTGTAGCGCTCATTGCATCTTGCACAGCACATATAAGCCTGAGTAACGACCTGAGAACGTAATGTTGTCGTCTGTATCGAGTCTTTAGGGTGTCGAGAATATCACCATCCAGCCAGTCAACCTAGGTTTATATGTCGAGGTGAGCAAAAGGGAGAGCGTCAACAGTGTAGTCGGTAGAATGTCCTTGCGAAAGACTCAAATCGATTGCATGATTTCACCCCAAAAGAAGATCGGGAAAATGGTTGAGACAACAGGGCCGAGTCGCGGGGGCATAAAAAACCTGATTGAAAATCAAGAAAAAGCCAGAACTCAATACAAACGGCGAGCTACCCGCGACCACCCACCCCACACACCCAACGCGAGCTACAGCACTTACTCGCGGAGGACAGAAGCCGGGATATGTGGAGGCGCAGCCTACTCTGCAAGAGAGTAGTGCTTACTACCTAGAGTCCAACCACCCGATATACAGTATAGACCGTATAATAGGCTTCTAGATCCAGGCCCGCTCACGACCCGACAGGGGCTGCGAATCTGTCTAGGGAGGGAGGCTGGGTACCACGGCGGGTGCTGCCTCCGTGTGATCTGCAAACCAGGCCGCGGGAGGCAGCTCGACGAAGAGGGAGACACCCTACTCTTGAGTCGTCGTTAGCCCGCACGTGGGGCGCCGGCTGGTCCCAGTCGGCCCTGGGTGTGCCCGCTGGAGGCGCGGGAGGTCCAGGGATTATGGGGCCGGGGATCGCGGGGGCCGCGACGATGTTGGTCATCGTCAACCGAAGGACCGGCGTCTTTTCTGTGTTCTTCTGGCCATTTGGTGGTGCCAGGAAAGCATCCTGAAGCGTGTCTTTTGACAGAGAAGAAGACTCTTGTTCCTTGCGAGACCTCTTCTTCTTGCCTTTGTCGGTCCGTGGAGCCTTAGCAACCCTTGAAGAGGACTCCAGTGGTGAGGCATTCGATGGTAGAGCTTGTCATCGCCGTAGATGTTCACATGCTCGCAACACAAGACGGATACGAATAGATCAGCTAGGGACGGAGAGCTCGCTTTACTGGGCAGCTTCGCGTTGCTGGACGACGTCTGTATCGGTTTTGAGAAGTGCGATCGATATCATCTAATCTTCCTGCATGAAAGTAGTGACTCAGATCCTGAGATTTGTCAGTGGTTGTCCACCAAAACCCTGGACTGACTGGTCGCCGCTGTGAGCAGAAGCACGCGTCATTCGACGGTGCGCCGGCCTTCCTAGGCACAGACTCGCGACACCGGCGATCGTGACTGGAAAATGTCTTCCAGTCTATTCAGAAGAGATTGGGGTCTCAATTGTTGTGAAAAGACTCCATAGCCGGACAAGAATAAGGGTATAGCTGGTGACCTTGAAGTAGCAGCCTTTATTTCGTAAGAGAACAGTCGACCACCAGCTGCGTGCAATCAATTGTTGCACTTCTGCTCTATCCCTTCACATGTACAGTCGCGGAATGCCTTTCCGACGGAAGCATCGCAACAGCAGAAACACCCTCAGCAGCTCAAATCACTGGGATACCCTCGCGGAGCTGGATTGGGACAGCCAGCTATGATGGCTTGCTTGACTCAACGTACAGTACAGGCCGCACAATGGGGTCGCAGATCCACATCTGCTTGCGGCCTGACAGAGACTGCGTTCCTGTCCAGTGGAATAGAAAACCAAAGGGCTTCATCGTCGTTAACTGTACTGCAATGTGCGCTCTGTGACGGACAAAGGTTATGGTGGGCGCGGGGAGGGACGAAGACTTTCCATAGTTCTCCCATGTACCAGAGGGCGTTGGGAAGAAGTTGTTGGCATGATCCCAAGGGTAAGAGGAGCACTGGTCGCGGCGACACTCGGAAGCAACCGGCGAACTCAGTAACTGGCTCATGAGAGACGGATTGGAGACTTGACCCTCAATATCCCCTAGAGGTCAAATGGCAGGTCCGATAGTAGAGCCGTAGATGTCTCTTGGTACCGAGGAGAAGTCGCCTAAGATGCACAGTCGAGAAGGAATATTAATACAAGCTCCAATTCCCCCCTGTTCCCCATCTCCTTGCGTAAAACTCGTCAATCGAGCATTCGAGTCTCACCAACTCCAGCGCAACAGATTCCATGATAGGGATCACAAAGACAATCATACTGAAAGTTTCCAACTTCAGTCACAAACCCCCGAGGCTGTGGAGGTTGCCGAACAAACAGGTGATTGCATCCCATTCATAGCTGCGCATGAGCTTCGCAGGGGATTTCAAGTCCTCCGGCAACATGGGGAGGGGCAGAGACGGGCCGTGTCTATCGACACGCTCCGTATGCCCGGCGCAACTTTGTCCTTGAGCACCGCATGATCAACAAGCCGCGCACAGGATCAAAGCTATGACTTTTCTGGAAGGGCGTCTGCACGACTTTCCAGTATGGATCTCCAGAATCGAATCCTGTCCTACTCAGCTCGAAGTCGAGGTTTCAAACAGGTTGCTGTGCGTCACTCTTAAGAGACTGGTAGGTAGCATGGCCGGGAAAATTGTGTTAAAAAGTTCGGCTATCGATGTTTGAGTTGGCCTTCCTCGTCGAGTGTCCAAATTTCAGCAGCAGAATACGTTAGTGGGCGGGGACGGGGGCAACAACGCGCCGGCCGACAAGGAACTTGGCCAGCAGGTCCCCCAGAGACTTGCGGACCGCGGAGGCCTCCTCCTCCTCGTCGTCGTCATCGTCCGAGTGAGTTGAAATGGCAGTTCGCGCACGAACCGCCCAGGAAGCCGGGCAAAACAACTGTCTAATCGAGCACTTCGTAAACCATTCTTCATATCCTCGAGACGATAGGTGTATGTCTCCGACCAGCCTGCTCTGAGCACAATAACTAGTACTGGCTTATCACCGACGCTGAGACGGCCATCGGCTAGTTCTCTGCTTTTTTAGTACTCTCCTTCAGTCAGGCATTTTCGAGAACTTGAAGAAAAGACTTGAGAGATGTTGCTTGTCAATAAATGTCGAGGCTTTCACGTGCTTTTAATATCAGTGAGCTTTGTATGAAACGTGAGACTGCGCGACTCGACATTAACGGAAGACATTGTTGTTGGATAGCAACCATTAGCGACTCTGGCTGTGTAGAATATAAGAACTGTTGAAGACCCAGCGGTGAGATAGTGGACAGTGTAGAGATGTTCGAAATGGTTTAAATGTCAAAGCCCCTGAACCGCATCGAGTTGTATTGGTGGCTCTGGTATTGGCGAGGATGATGATTGATTCCTCCTGTAGCGCCTTTAGCTCCCGCCAAAGGCGATGCCTGGCGGCAGAACGTCACACTTGTGACAACAGGACTGAAATTGAACGGCTCATTTTGTTGATGTGACAGATGTGATGATTGATTGGTGTTCTGTTGGTGAGACGCTCGGATCACTGAGAGGTGTTGTGAGGTCCGAGGTCACGTGACCTCGTGATATCGTACAGTTGACCTGCTCAGCTTGATGGACCCCAGAATGCATCTGCTGGCCTAACCCTTGGGCATGGTTTAGATATGAGGCGAAGCATGGAACAAGACGAGATTTAGTCTTCTGCAAGCCGTATACTGGCGACGCATTCATAGTTCCTGATGACGATCGATGGCCGACTCGGTGGTGGCTGCAAAAGAGCTCCAGACGTAGCATCCCGCCTTTATCATCTTGAAGTTCACTCCCGTTCTGAGGATTGTTTGAATCCTGGATGCTGGTTTGGGGGTCTTGGATGAACTTTCTCTCCTGCTCGGAGCACATGTGCTTCTCGTTGCCTGATTGAACTGTAACCAAGAACTTCTGACGGCGATTCTATTGTGTCTGGCGTGATGAAGTATCTTGACTTCGGGATCGCAGATGACCAGCCCCTTAGGTGTAGGCCACCTATCATATTTGATCCTCGTTGCGGCCTCACGCGCCCACACATGAACTGGAGCCAGACTCCTCGTCTCCTCCGGACCAGAATCTGATCACGTGCTCTCAAGAACCCTAGCCATGCTTGCATCGTGCTTTTTTTTAATAGGACGATGTCAAGAGACCTTTATGCCCGCAGGCCGAGCCGCAGAATCCAACTTTAAGCAGCAGGATGCCACTTTGACGGTCCAACTGGGCGTTGTTATTGCGGTAGGGATGGTGGTAATGGTGTGGTGCTCACTAGCTTGGTGGTATTGACTTGTGAAAGCCACGCATATTGAATCTAGCGGCGCAGATTCTCCACAAAAGATGGCTGGTCAGGAGAATATCTATTTCCACCGGCCATGAGGTATGTTATCTGTACCAGAGAGTTCTATGTCAGCTGTCTCGCTGACCTGTTTCCGCCGATCAGGCCTGAGTGGACCCTTACGCCTGCAATCGGCTTCTCGAGCGGTGGTCACCGGCTTCCCATTCTGCGCTTGCGTCCGAACCTTGGTCTCAGCTGTCTTCGCAGCGATTGGGGTCTTGCGGGAAGGCTTGCTACTCCTCGCAGATCAATGCGTTATAATCGGGGTGATTCAGCGAGCAAAGGCCCCGGGACCGCGGGGGTCATGTTGTTCTGATCTCTTGGTGATGTTTCTTGACGGAGACACAACTGGGTTAGGCTTATACTTCGCCTGAGTGGCATCAAAGTAGCGGCAACGCCACGAACCTCCAACGTAGAACTAGCACAGCAACCTCACACCATCCATGGAAGCCTTTTTTGGTAGAAAATATCAACCAATATTCCGCGTTGATAGCCTTGTTTGCTGCCTGAAGACGTACGGTTGCCGGAATCGTTCGCCTTGGGCATATGGATTTCCATAACCTGTCCCCGTGAAGCGATTGGAAGTATACTGATTCGATGGTGTCTTCCAGATATCGGCTGGAATTCTATCAGCATATGGTACGGTAATCAGGCCTGTCTCTCTGTTGCCGCGTGTAGTGCATTGGACGGCAATCGACGTCTCAGCTGTTCAAGGATGTAGCATGGACTTGTGCGACACTGGTCAGAGAATGATCCGACAGGTTGACTCCGAACTTCCGATCCAACTTATTCTGACAGTACTGTTACAGGCCCAGAACTAAGCATAGGAGATTTAGAATGGAGACTTTCAATCGAACAGCCTGAAGGCTTCGGGTGTGCTGGGTAAATGATCCCAGAGACCAGGCCATTATTGTCAAATGGTTCTCCTTGTCACCACTGTTACCCCTCTGCCATCGGCCTCAATCACACGATCGACAATTTCATAGTCGAAAGACCTCTGTCCATGTTTCGGTGAATATATCCCCGGAAATGTGTCTTTCTGTAGCCCCATGCAAGCACAGCGTATCTCTCCGTGGCAAAGGCGTCTATTAATCTGATGCCATCCCTGGTTGTTGGATTTTCATCTAACTGGGAGCTGGAATTGGCGGCTTTCTGTTCACCCCTTCGACGAACCACCTCAACTTCAGGTGGGCAAAATAAGGACTTCCCCGAATGAAGGATGTTTTTCAAGACGTCCCAGAACTGAGCGTCCGGGACTGGCTTAGGCTTCTTCGGTTTTTATTTCGCAATATGAGGGAGTTGATTTTTCAGATCTGCGCGTACTTGTCTCTTATCATTGAAGGGGTGCGCTTGAGTGGCCGTGAATGTAGCCTTATCCGCGATTGGTCTGCGAACCTCTCTTGCACAGCGCCCCAGCGTTCGGGGGTACGAGAGCATGATGAGAGTATTATAAGGCAAGGGCAACCTGCAGAAAGGGTCGAAATGATCCGAAATATCGAGGCTTTCGGACACGACCCGTGGGGCCTCTGGGATGGCGTAGGAGTTGTCCTCTCTAAGAATGAGCTTAGAAGATAACCAAGGGCGAATGAAAAGACCAATCGCTCCGTACTTCTGAATTGTCATTGTTTTCGCGACCTTGCTCAATTTGATGAGCAGCCCTGTTTCCCACCCATGAAAAGCAGAGGAATCCGCAACGATAGACAAGACGGTCATCGGTCTTCGTCGTATTCTTTCAGTTGTTGTTGGCATGCCATCATGTATCCTCAACTATCGATAAACCTGTCATAGAGAGAGGTTGGCAATGAGTAAGAGCCGATCTGATTTAGGCAAACCATCCTCCCAGGTAACTGTCATAGGCTTATTTGCAAGACTAGGTCGTGTTTGACTGTATGGCTCTGTCCCTTTGGCAGAGCTCCAGAGCTGTCTGGAAGAGCTTCAGAAATGTCGTTTCAGTTGGTGCTTGGACGGAGTTCAAAATAGACTTGAGAGTTGCTGTTTCTTCCGGAGCGGGGATGGTAAAACGCTGGCCCTTACAGACGGGGGATGTCGGTTTGATAGACCGTCTGTCGAAGGTATCGATGTGGATGGTGGCGAGTGTGATCTGATCAGCACAGAACAGCCTATTCGTTCCTTCTAGGTTGATATAACGGTTCTTCCCAGAGTAACTGAGGAGGAACTTGTCCGGAAAGTCCGACAATCGCTTCACTGTAACCATACTGCAGTACTTATCACTATTCATGCCGACCATTTCGAATAAACCAGGCGGCGGGAGGCACGTGTGGGGCGCTGGTCGGTCCCAGGTCGCCCTGAATGTGCTCGCAGGCGCCAAGGGAGATCCTGGGATTATGGAGCCGGAGACCGCAGAGGCCGATAAGTCCTGGTGGCTTAGCGAAATCCACCTGCCTCTTCGGCCCGACGGTACCTCCCAGTGCCTGCTTTGCAAGGTCGAATTCTATCCCGGGGACGTTGGTCGCAATGAGTCCGATTAGGTCGTCATCGTCTATCGCTCCCACTGAGTCGGTAACGAACCGCTTGGGGCCGCCGGTGTAGTATTTTTCGAAGATGCCTTTGTGCACATGTCCCTTATAGTTGAATTCCACAGTGCCCCCGATGATCTGGTTGGCTTTAGATGCGTCCTTGATTCCAACTAGCCAAAGCCCCTTCCTGGGGGCGACCGATTTCGCCCCGGTGCCCAGGGGTCCCCGGTCTTCGGGAGCATGTTTCGATTTCGGGCGGCCTGCCAGACCTCCTCCCTGGTAGCCCTTGCTTGGCCACAGTGGTTAGCAACGACTCGCAGGATGGGGTCGACACGGCTACTGAGATCCGAGTCCTTCTGTTTCCATCTCAGGCATGCTTCATACGCTTTAGTGAAGGTGACCTGGGGGAGGCCACGATGTGCACTAAGATGAAAGATTGTAGGCGACCCCCTCGGGCGTAGATGCGGGTGCGCGGCGGGAGTGGAGAGAGAGAGAGAAAGTTGAAGGGAAAAGCCTTCAGCTGAGGGGGGGAAGGGGAGCCTTCTTATCTAGAAGCAGGCCCTACTTATTCGAAGAAATCGCCTAAGCGTTCCCATGAGGCCCCGTTTCTCTGGCTGCACGAGCGTTAGCAAGGCCAGAATACGAATACCGCGACGGTGTACTTACCATTCAGATTTTGCCAGCGTTTCGAAACTTCGCAGATTTGGATTTATATCCAGAGCTTTCAATGTCAATGAATGATACATTCACAAATCAACGCATGAGGTCTTAGATTGGATTCCCGTGAACTCAATCTAAGTCCTTGTCAGAGGTCTTTTCGGCCTGTACCCAAGCGAAGGGGCATATACTCATCTGTGATAGGGAGGTCACCTATCTCAGTAGATAATGAATGCAGAGGCGAATCTTCTCGTCTGGTGGGATGTCCTCATGCGATAGGGCTATAGCACATGAATAAAAGTGTGTAATAATAGAATAATATTTGTCGTTGTTAGGATGGCGGAGGATCTCATGCAACCGCAACTCCGGAGAGGGCTGATATCAGCAACAAAGCTAGGCGTGTCGGCGCGTCGCTGCTGGATTGCCTGTCGCTCCAAATCAGGGATAAAGCATGATTCCTACAGAGATAGGTGACGTGCACGAGTCAGTTGGAGGAGTCAGTTGTAGGCCAGTCCCCAGTATGCGAACCACCCCAACCAAGATCCGAGGAGCTGAAACATGCTTATGCTTCGCTCACTGGGATTGCAGTATTGAAACTCTCTGAGCGAAAGCTACCCAGACTGAGTTTTCCCTGGGCGAAGGAGTAGATCTCCTGTCTCTTTCGAAACTTTCGATCACTTCTCTTGCCAGTCATATTTTGACAATATAGAAGACTGTCGTAGAGGTAATGGCCACTCGGGTACATAGCCCACTATTAAAAGGCAACGAATTTGTATCCTGGGTGACCTCTGTCTCGGCGTTCGTTTCATCCTGTTATGTCCGAGAATAGTTCCATAACAGTGTATCATTCGGTGTGATAACCACAAGGACAGGCTGTTCTGTCTGCGGTGCACAGCTCGGATTCTTCGAGCACCTCAAATTCAACAGCCTTGAACTAGTCGATGACATCAACTATGTTCAGAAGGGCTATCTAAGGTCTCATCAATTTCACCTTTAGTGTCGGTGTCAACTTCAGCTTCGCTGACGTCCGTTCACTGGCGTCTATTTCATCGATGTCCAGTTCACCGATGTCCAGTTCACTGATATCCAGTTCGCTGACGTCCGTCCACTGGCGTTTATTTCACCGATGTCCAGTTCACTGATGTCTATTTCACTGATATCCAGTTCGCTGACGTCCGTCCACTGGCGTTTATTTCACCGATGTCCAGTTCACTGATGTCCATTTCACTGATATCCAGTTCGCTGACGTCCGTCCACTGGCGTTTATTTCACTGATGTCCAGTTCACTGATGTCCATTCCACTGTCCGCGTCGGTTGCAGTCTCGGTTCCAAAAGACAAATCGGTCTCTTGACCAGGATTCAGCGAAAGGATAGAGACACGATGCAGGCATCAGTGACATAATCAAGTACGACGCGACTTGCCGACTTTTCTTTCTTTATGCGCGTGTAGTGCTGTCCATCCCACTCTCTAGCAGCCGAGAAGAAGATCCATAGAAGCATTTCTTCGTTGATTGACCATGTATGAATCAGTTCATGTATGATAGCTCAGAACTAGGCACCATACACTTCTCAGAACACAGGCAAAAGTCGAATAAGCGGACGGAGAAACAGTTGAGAACTGTGAAGAGAATGTTGCCTCCTCCCTGGTGGGACAAGTGGATTCCCCCCTCCAAGCCATCGACATCCTCGCCGTACATACACCTCAGGGCTGGCTTGTATGTCTTGCCACAGATATCGTTGTTGTCGAAGCGCTTCAAACACACTCGCAGCTCCCCCCCCCCCCAACCTGGTAGATAGTTGTTGTTGTGGTCAGAGTACCTTGCATGGTGTTTCTGCACAGAGTTGTGCTGCTGGGAGCTTGATTGCACAGCAGGCGTGATTGGAGGGGTCATTTGGCCGAAGGATGGCTCCAGCAGATCGGGTGGTCGCTCTTGGAACCCTGGCTTGTTCGCGGAGGAAAGATCTGTATCGCCTTTGAGAACGCGACGGTGGGAAAAGCAAAAAGATAACAGAGGAAATTCGCTGGTGGTCACCCACCCAGGTACTATGAAGTCCCGGGGAGAGGGCGGGGGGCAAATGAATGAAGCTTGTGGATGATGCCTCAAACTTCTTCTTCAGCTTCCACTTCCCTCCTCACCACCACCATCATCCGCAAGGATTATCCATAAGAGGATGAGAAATAGAAAGGATAAGGGTAGCTGTATGATGGGGAGGGAAGTGGAAGCTGAAGAGGAAAAAAGGAAGAGGAAGGGGGAGGACCAGAGGACGTATTTATAGCATTCCCTCGCCGTCGATTACAGCTTCATGGAGGCGGTGATTACCCTAACTATCACTCAGAGAAGGAGACATTTCATTCTTCATTTCATAAAGCCGGACTTCTTCACTCAGAAGTAAAGTAATTCATTCATGTGCTCATGAGAACCTCCAATATAGAAATTAGGAATATATCGTAGGCAAAAAAGCAACTTCCACTGAAAAGTGCCATATAATTTACTATCCTAACTAGATTCTATTACGTACTCCTTTCTTCATTATCGCAGGTGATCACCATTGAGCGAGACAGAAGGTGAATTGCATTAATGAAACACCGGTCATATGAACAAAAATCCAACTCTCACCTTCACAATCGACCCCCGACCCCCCCTCCTTCCCAGAGACTATTCACCACCCCTCGATCATCAACCCTCACGATGATGCTGCCCTGCATCCCCATGATACTCATTCGGATGAAAATCCGGATGCCCCGGAACCCTCCCGGTAGCCTTATACTCCTTCTCGGGGAACGACGGCCCTAGAGAAACCCCACAGTCAGCCACACCCCCATTTCCACCTTGCTATTTGAGTCTACAAGCGAATGACGAACCTAAGGTAGGATGCACCAGCGTCGTCTCATCAAAAATATCAAAGGCATGCTCCTCCGCCCAATTATCCATCATCTCCCAGTTGGCGCACTCGTGCTCGACGACGAAGTTCGGCTTCGGGGCGCGGTCGTTGGGGTCCCAGGTGAAGGTCAGGAGGGCGACGTCGGCCTTGCACATGATATTTTGGCGGAGGTTGTCGATACAATGCTCTTGGGTTGGAATTAGTATGGATGGGTGCATAGGGTGTGGATTCGGGGGAAATATACCGATATGCACCGGCGTAGTGGGTTTGCCGATATGATAGTAGTTCTGGTAGACTACCTGGCGGAGGAATTTCTAGCTGGTGTCAACATATTCCCCTTCCCCCCTTTCCTTGGTCCGATTCTTCAGCAGACCGAGTCAAAATCCGGGGATCTTTACCAAGCAATGAAGCTGATGATACACATCTAGACCCGTCTCTTAAACATCCGCACAACATACCAACCAGGGCGGCGACGTACGTACCAGGAATAGCATAGAACCCCCCCTTTTCATCATGAATCGGCACCGAAGTCCGATTAATCCTCGCCAGATCCTCGGCCGTGACCCGGATGTTCGAGTTGATGAACAACTGGTGCCAGGCGTGGTCGAGTTCTTCGGACGGGGCGCCCTTGAACGGGTTCTCGCTTTCAATGGAGGCGTAGATGGTTTTGCGTTCCATCTGAATGGCTTCGTGGAGGGGGGCTTTGATGGGGTTAGTCTTGTTGCTGGGATTTACTGGATGTGTGTTTGTTGCTTAGATTGCAGGGGGGTGGGGGGGGGGGTTCGTACATTCAATCAAATGCTTCCGCGGTACCTCCTCCCACCGAGTCGACGGTCTCGTCTTCGACATGGCGAGTAAGAATACCGCACCGTAGAGCGAGGCAAGCAGGAGGTGGAGGCAGAGGCTCTGCCATCGGACGAACGAGGCAGCTGATCGTCGGGTCCGAAGAGGGCGGTCGATGTAGCACGCTCCCTCTTCGTTTCTGTCTCTCTCTTCATCTTTTATGAGCTGCTCGTCGTGGTAGTCCGATAGATCTAGGCTCTCGGATGATGTGCTGCTTCTACTGCCTGGTTTGAGGGTGGCGTACATGTTGGTGGTGGTGAATCTGAAGGGGAGACGTTAGGGGGGTGGGAGGTATAGAGTAGATGACTGACCAAGTGCTATAACTCAGAGATGACTGACCAAGTGCTTTAACTCAGAGATGGCGTACAACCTCGCATGTAGCATCATCGTGAGGCGTGCATGGATCTTGCAACCATCCCGTTGACGAGGGCAAGAAACCTGATTTCGCTGTGGCACACGCAGGCATCCTTTGGCTACCAGTTAAAGCTGGAAATCAGTGTCGTTTCCAGCAGTTACGCGTGCAATCCGCGTCATCCTGCTTCAATAATCGATCTGCGCTGAGATCAGCTGCGTCAGCGAGCTCGGATAATGTCTGTCGGGGGGAATATTGGGCGATATTGAGATACTTGTCACCACCGCGTTCAGATGTTCGATATTTGGGGTAAAGGCCTTGACTCTGATATGAAGGAAGTCACTTCTCAATCTCTTTAAACTGATGGACATGCACAAGCAGATGAAAAGAACGATAAAATCCATGCTAAGCCCAACTCAACACCCAGAAACCCATTCAAACCCAGTCCAAATATTCTCCTACGCATTGCAATCCGGCCGGTTCATTTCTCAATCTGACGCCATGACCCTACTACAGTAGTGTACATCTCGGACGACAGCAAGCTAACTGGCACAAAGCCAGCCGGGAAATTAGTCTCTGCCATCAGTGCGCAAAAGAAGTATACCTCGCAACAAGCATAGTTACACTCCTCCAGCCAACCCCAAGATAAGAACCACCTCTTCCCTCTCCTCACCACCAACGCAGCTACCACCAACGCATCTCATCCCTCAAAATCATCACCAGACTATAACCCCCATCACTCAACAACCGGACAACCCAAAAAGAAAATGATGTACTCGTCCAAATTCCTCCTTGCCCTCTGCCTTACGGTGGGTCTGGCTACTGCCTTGCCCAGTAAGTTATGTTCGTTCTTTTTTTCCTGTGGAGCGAGCGGAACACAATCGGTGTTGTACTGGTGACCGTTTCAAGGCGGGTTAGTTGGGGTTATATGGAAGGAGGAGGGATTGTTTTCCAGAGTGCTGACAATCTGGGGTGTTAAGAGGTGGGATCGACCAGCGAGTTGGATGGCGATCTCTACAATTACAAGCGGGCTGAGGCTGAGCTCGACGGGGATCTGTACAACTACAAGAAACGCGATGGGGCGGAGTTAGACGGGGACTTGTATAACTACAAGAAACGGGATGGAGCAGAACTTGACGGGGACTTGTATAATTACAAGAAGCGGGACGGAGCGGAGCTCGATGGGGATCTCTACAATTACTAGTGCACGAAACTCACGCGCCTCGACGAGACGCGACAGAGACAAGCAGTACGATGGAGAAGTGCTGGAGGGGAGACAGTGGTGGTAGATGTCGGACAATTCAATGAAGATTTGTTATACCGATGGAGACTTTGTCTTGCAGATAGTAGCAGTCGACGGATCCCAGTCCTGTTTGAACCACCAACTATCAGGATGAGTTTGGCCAGGAAGCTGAAAGAAAAGGGGGGTCCGGGGGTTCTCCCCCGGAACGCCTTCTCTGTACCTCTTACGAAAAAGATGGAGGTGCCATAGTTCCAAGTGTTACAACCTCCGACTGGGCGCTATAAGGCCTATTGACAACTGAAACGGCACATCTCCTGTAGAATCAGACAGCCCATAACTCGGTAGCTCAACACCCCTCCCCCTCCCCCTCCCCGTCAGCCACATCCTCTCCCGAAACAACACTCTCGTCCTCCAACCGCACAAACCAAGTCTGCACCGCCGCCAGCACGGCAATCACGCCGGACCCCCACCACGCCAACGCACTACAATGCGCGTGCTCGCCCACACTCTGCAACAAGCCCGCCAGCGCGGGGGAGAATGTCCGACACGCGGCGCCCGCACTCGTCACCAGCCCGTTCACCCTGCCCAGGATCAACGGGTCCGGCGTGCCCCGCTTGATGAACAGCAGCAGGGCCGGGTAAGTGAACGACGAGAGGACATTGCGCGCCACGAGCCAGACCCAGAGGCCGGCGGAGCGCCAGCCCCCGTGCGCAGGGAGGAAGGGCAGGTAGGGCAGAGAGAAGTAGGCGAGGGGGTGGAGATAAGTGGCGACTAACAAGGTGCGGCGGAGGCCAAAGTACTCTGTGCACACGGGGAACAGGAGCTGGATGGCGAGGCCGACGGTGCCGTTCAGCCCCATGACGAGGCCGACAGTCGACAGGCTCATGTCGAGGCCGCCGACGCCGCCGGGGGAGTACGGCGGCACGGCAGGGTCGCGCGGGGTGCGCAGGAAGATTGGGAGGAGCTGGATGTAGGTGACGGTATGGGCGGAGAGGAGGCAGACGGCGCTGATCAGCATTTTGACGTTGCGGTTGAGGTTCCAGAGGGAGGTCGGTGCGTTCCCGGGGGTAGCACTGGGTTTAGCACTGGCCGTAAACGGGCAGTTGAGAGTAGAATTTGATGATTGCGTGAGGAGGGGTGAGCTTTCGTCTTGGTCTGGCGGCTGCTGTTGCTGCTGTTGCTGCTGCTTCTGCCGTCCCACAACCACCCCCCGTCTGCACTCCGGATGTGTCTCCTCCAAAGCACACCAAGCCAACACCATCGTCAACAGCACCATCCCGGCGCACGCCAGGTTCGGCAATAAGTAGGGAAAGCGACGCAGCAACGACCCCCACACACCCTCACCCCCCGCCTGCTGCGCCAACAAACCCCCCAGCGCCGGCCCGATTGTGCATCCGATACTAAAAAAGAACGGTATGACAGCATACGCCCGTGCTACATGCAGTAGTCAGTCAGAAGCAGAGTAAGCAGACAGGAGATAGTAAGCCGGTAGCACATTGGCATGAAACAATGCAATGCAAACCCGACCTCCAACAGCACCGCACAGCACCGCACCGCACAACAAACCCAGTGACATAACGTACCTTCAAAACCCTCCCACCCAACCATCTCCCCCACCATAGTCTGCACAACGCCCACATTCCCATTCAACGCGCCCCCGAGCGCCCGCCCCAGAATCGCCGTCCAGAGACTCTGCGCAAACCCCAGTACAAACAGGGACAGAATCGTGCCCGCGCAGCCGAGGAGTAAGACCGGTTTCCGGCCGATGCGGTCAGATAGATATCCCCACCAGAAGGCTGTGAGGGTTTCGGCCAACGAGAAGGCGGCGACGAATATTCCTGCGTAAAAGGCTGCAGCACTGCGAGTTGGATTGCTGTTGCCGTTGTTGTTGTTGTCACCATCCACCAAGAGGTAGATCATCAGGTCGTAGGCGTAGGGGAGGGGGGAGGTGAGGGCGACGGGTTCGGCGATGCGGCATAGTCCTTAGTACCACCATGCATGGTAAATCATTTGTTCAGTTGACGGGGTCGAACAGGGGTGGAGTAAGGTGGGATGTCTCAGTTACTGACCTAAGAGGAATAGTTGGTAGGTGGGGAAGGATTTCGGCTCCATAGTTTCAGTTGGATGGATGGGTAAGTACTCGTATAACTAGTAGGGAGGATCTGGACCTTGCACCCCTGGGTGTTCATCGTGGATGATATACCGGTTCGTCGCAGTGAGAGAGTCACGTGTTACGCCATGGGGTGAATCCTGGCCAGTACTACCTCAGTTAGTAGTCGCAGTTACAGGTTTTCAGCGGGAGAACAGAACTGCCCGTTAGTTGCTACTCCTTACTCCCTACTCCGTGGGATTTACTCCAATCGGCCCGTCATGGCGCAGGAACAAACTTCCCAATTAGGCTAATCATTCAGCTCAGCTGGCAAATTATACAAATGTCCCCCATATGTAGGAATCCGATTCAGTCACTATAGTACTTACAAGCACACCTCGCTCTATCCTTCGGTACACCCGATATCCAGTATATATGAACAAGTAGACTCGGCCTGCTGATAGCCAACAGTGCAAACAGAGTCAGAGGTATCAATGAAACAAAAAGAAATCGCTGATCGCTATGTGATGATGCAGGATCAATGCATCGACTATTCAAAGCCGTATGTGCAAGTGTATCGTGCCGTGGCGACGTGAAATGCATAAGAAAAATTAGCTGGTGGCCGTCCAGGCCAGAAACGAAAGTGGCGGCGAGGTCATGGTGCTATCCTCGACTGACGCGAGACGCTGCGGCGCCCACTCGAGCCATACGGGCCTGGAGCCAGACTTTTCCGCTGCTCGTGGATCGGCTGCAATGGCACCATGAATTGTCCCGGGTCCATGGGCGATTCGCACCAGCCATCCGGTTGCGGGTCGATGGGAGAGGGGATTTTCGGCAAGGGACAGTTGGGTGGCGGGGCAGCAGGCGGCCCGATCAGTCCGGGCATGCTCTTGCGTCGGCCCATCCCGGCCGGCGGCAGGCGTGCATTGGGATCGTTGGGGTACATCACCGATCCCCGCGCGCGGGGTGGCTCATGGCGGTTCGGTGGCTCTTCAGCCAGCAGATGCAAGTCTGAAGGAGGCTTTCCGCCAACAGCAGTGGTAGGACGCACAGTATTAGCCGCAGACTGCAACGGATCGCGAGGCAGACGGGAGAGACGATGAGCCTTGGATTCGCCGCCCCGAGCTGTTGGATCTACCAGAGAATCCTGCGAACTAGACACCCGCAGTGGCTTGGGAGGAGCCAGTCCGTGGACAGGTCGAGCCGGTTGCGGCTCGTGCATCTCATGCACAAGACCGTTGGGGATCTTGCCCGGGGAATGCGGGGGAGATGGAAATGCAGACAGGGTATCCACAGACGAGTCGTTATTGACGACCTCGAGAGCCGGCGGGGTCTGTGCGAACTGCGGCACTTGCAGGGGCCCGAACCGAGCCGTGAACCGTTTGCTGAAGGACGGAACGCTGAAATTTGGCGCAGGTGGGGAGGTGCTGCGATAGATCTGGTCGGGCTGGGTCGACTGAGCTCGGGGAATTTCGGCCGCCATCTCGGCAGCCGTGGGCATCGCTTGCGTCGGCGATGCATGCATCGATCGGCGCTTAGTCGAAGTCGAAGAGGTTGGGCTGGCCACATCCGAGGATGTAGGCACGTGATCTGCAGAAGGCATACTCGGGACACTGGACGCTGCCATAGAGTAAAAGCGACCGGAATTGCTGGCCGGGGACGTCACTTCGGTATGGGTGGTGGAGATGGACCCAGAACGAGACTCGGATGCCGGGGGTAACACTATCGAACGGTGATTGATCGAGACGTACGAATCTCGACGAGACTGATCACTCAGGCTTGACTCCCTTTCCTCGCCGGCGGGCAGCGGGGGCGGAATCAGCGTGGAATAGCGCTTCGTATCCTTTGTAATCATCTGACGAACACTAGGTTTATTATGCAGCTGGTGTCCCGGTTCATCGTCAGTTCTCTCGGAGATATACTTCTTGCCGCCACGCGCTTCGATCTGGGCCCGGACAGCGAGAAGCCAGGTATTCATGTCCTCGGGATGGTCAAACACCAGCAAGAATGTGCGCTCCATCCGCCGAGCATGTGAACGATGAAACCCAAAGCGGAATCGAGGTTTAGTGCTCTCTATGCCCTCCTCTTCTGAAGACTGTGTCACCTGTAGGACGTAATGCTTTCCTGGGATTGCATCACTGGCAAATGCCACGGATTTCGGTCCCAATTGGAGCATTTTCTCCGGTAAACGGTCGTGCTTGCCCGAGCCCGCATATTGTAGGATGTAACCGGCAGTAGCGAGCACGAAGACCTTCTGAGACCACTCAGTCTTGTTGATGGTCTCGGAGAGGGTGCGCAAGTGCCTCTTTCTCTCCTTCTCCTCCTTTTTCTTTTTGGTGCTGTCCTCCGTGGCGTCTCCGTTCTGTGACGATTTGCTGGAGGGATTATCATCGCGGGACACGATTCCCTTCGCTTTCGCTGTGGCCTGCATGCGCAGAATGGACTCGACGGAGAGAGCGGGAACTGGCAATGAATCATGCTTGATCGACTGTGGGTAAGCCTGGAACAGTGGCGGTGGTTTCCAGCCTAGGTCCCCGGCCGGAGGTTGCTCGTCGCTCGACTTCCCGCGCGACTTTGCAGGTAGTCTCGAGCGTTGGGAGGCAACTGTGGTGGGAGAAGTAGGGAGAGTCGCAGCAGAGGCATTGGTCCTCGGAGTCGCGACCAAGGTGGGCGATAAGGACGCTGACCCCGCGTTGGGGGCCGGTTGTTCGATGGCGGGTTTCTGTTCGTCGATACCGGACAGCTTGACATCGGGAGCTGGCTTACGGGCCGACTTGTCGCGCCCGAAAATGTTGCGTAGACTGGATTTGGATGTCTGGCGTTTCACCGGCGCGGGTTGTAAAGGCACTCGCTCTCCGCCCTCCTCATCAGTCTGATAATCGGACGGTCGGGGTCGCTGTGGTCGGGAAGCCGTCACTTGTATGGGGCGCGCGGTGGGACGGCTGAAGTTGGTTTGTAGCGGCGCCAGTCGCTGGCCTCTGCGCTCGTTGACCGATTGTTGCGGGGAATGGATTTCCAGCGTCATTCTCTGCGCGTCTTTCCCGGTTGCGCAGATTTCGGTGTTGAAGGTTGGGAGTTCGGGTTGGAGTTGAGGTTAAAGTCAATTGGAACCAGTATAGCCCTCAGCATTCGTCCCGCGTTATGTGATAATGATGAGGGCGTCAGAAGTTTAGAGATTCAGGTAAAGATTTGTGGCCAAGAGGGCTGGATGACTTCATTGACAGACAATGCGAGACAACGGGCGGATTGGAGCGCTGATCGGACCACTAGACGTGGATCATTCCTGGGCGGATTGTGGAGGCACGGTGTCGCATCCACTAGGACAGAGCTCAAAGCGACACAAACGAGTGAACGAGATCGAGATAACAAGCAGTGGATACAGACGAGGACAGACAGGGGTGATGATCGAAAGTGGGCAACTGGGTCAACAGATCATCGGGTTGGGAGATCAGATCAGGAGAACTCCATTGCCGTGCGCGAGCGAGAGCTATAAAAGAGTCGCAACTAAAGGTCGGTGGGCGAGGAAACTGTCGCGAGCAGTAAGGCACAAGACAAGAAAATGAATGAGAACAGGGCGCAAAGAAGGGAAATGAAGCGGCAAGAGAGTGTGAGGCCCAGCACGGAGGGAGGGAGGTGAGGGCAAGGAAGAATAGCGACGATGACTCGAGGATTGGCAACAATGAAAGGCAGGACTCGAGAGGGAATTGGGGGGAGGGGGGGGGAGGAGGCAGAAAATATGAAAATAAGTTGATTTCAGAGAGAGAGAGAGAGAGAGCGAGAATAATTGAAACTAAAAATGAAACTAAAGCAGATGGACGCAAACCCGCGTGAAACGGGCTGCAGGCAAGGATTCCAAAGTTTCCCCAACTCCTCCCTACAAAAAAACTAACGAAACTAACAAGCAACTTCCGATCCGAAACGGTTTGGCAACGATGGAGCTGAGATCCTCCACCCCCTGAAAAAGAGTCCAATGATTTAAGTTTTATGGTCTCCTTCTGGAAGAATCAATATTGAAGGCAAGTTGCAACGGAAAGGAGAGAAGCGGCGGGGGGAGGGGGGGGAGGAGGGAGTGAATGAGGGGGAAATGCAGGCAGATCGAGAGAGACTGGAACAGATTCCAAAAAAAAAAAACAATGGTTGCTGCTGCCCCTGAATTGACCCAGCCTTGCAGGGCTCCACTTTCCACCCCATCGCGTGTTAGAAGTTGAGGTTTGAAGCTAAAGTTTTGGAGTTGGGGGGAAGTGAGAGAGACGATGTTGACATGAATAACTATACAGTCATTACTGAGCGAGAATAAGAAGACTAAGATCCAGCCTCTGTATGGATCTGGTGGTTGTCATTGCTGCAATGCATGCCTCCACATTCCGGCCATCTTATCTCCAAGACTCTCAAAGAATTGAATCATTCAACCTGTCCGCTGACTCAGCCCCCCTGCCTCTTTCTCTTAAATGAAGTAGTCCAGACTGTTTGTTTGGAGCTCCTCTCTCCACCGAAAGCTCATCCCGAGTACAATCTCCCCATTTAATCAACATTGACTGTTCCGGGGGCAATTCAATGACACTTTCTTCCTTGCCCGGCCTCCACCGCCCCCATCAACTCCGCCGCCTCGTCACAATACTGCGCCATATCCACATCCTTACCCGTTAAACCTCGCGGGTGGTGCGTCGTCCAGTGGATATCCACCGATCCAATGCGCTATATTAACAACAGAAAAAGAAAAGAGCCATAATTAGCTTTTTTTCACTTCAAAGTCCAGACAAATGAGCCGAATCGTTGTCGATACGTGCAATTATGCGCACATCACTCTCTCCCTCCTCCTCCTCCCTTTTTCTCATTGTCCTGATCCCATCGTTTTCCCCACCCTCCAACGCAAACCACCTCTAGCTTACCTCCGACCCCTCCATCTCAAACACCAAAAAAGCAATGGCCCAAATGGAAAACAAAAAGAAAGGGAAAAACTCACAACAGTCATAGTAGGATGATGCTTCACGCTCGCACTTTGCGAAGCAATCACATTCACGAAACTCTGTACATCATACGCCCGCCCCCCCAGCGCGGATCGAATCAGCCATTTCTCACTCACTCACTCACTCGCTCGCTCGCTCGCTTATCCACACCAGCACTCATCCCATCGACCAAAAAAACGAAAAAAAAAAGGAAAGGAAAAACCCACCACAGCCTTAAAATAGGTCTTGAAAAAATACGTCTTCTGCATTCCCCGCCCCTCCGCATCCAGTGTCCACCCTTGCTCCGCCTGCAACAGCCCGGCCAGGCGCGGCCGGAGCACTTCCGCGTCGACACCCTCGGCGAACTGCGGTTCAACAGCCGACGAGGCCATGTTCGTGGGTGTAGATGAAAAGAGGCGGCGTGGGGTCGCACTCGCTGGTGTGGTGGTGGAAGAGAGGTGGTTGAGTGCTTGCGTAGTCGGCCGGAGGAGGTGTTGTGTAGTTCGGAGAGCGGGACGAGATCCCCAAACAGAAGAAGGAATGGAAGAATAACCCCGGGAAAGATCAGAGCGAACGCAGTGACGCGGTTGCACCAGAGACAGAAATGCTCGAGGCCGTGAACTTGCCCGGATGATGTGGTCCATGCTGGATGGGCAAGGGGAGTGTTGGACCCAGAGTTGCCGTCGGGATGTGCGCGCTGCGCCGCGCTGCTGCTGCTGCGTTGCGCGGGTGGAGGTGAGACGCTTCGGCCACCCGCGTAAGATCACGTGATCGATCTGATTCCGCGGGGCGGGCGGGTCGATCTCCCGCCGCGCTGAACAGAAAGTGACGGGCCAGTCAGCCAGCCAGCCAGCCAATCTAACCTACGATAGTCACCCTTCCTCAAGGGGGCAGACCATGACTTCAAGGGTACTGGTATGTGACATGCTTAGACGGCGAAAGCTTAACCACAACATCCAATCTTCCCAATGTCAGTCCAGGAAGCTAGACCTCATCTCTCACGTGAGCACAGGTCTCAGCGATTATAGTAACAGCTGAGCACCTATCGAAACACGGCAGAAACAGCCTAGCACTTGGTCTGGATCTACAGAGAACGAATCGAAAGAACATATCTAGCTGGCTTGCGATGTTCCTCGCTGCCCGGTTCTCCACTTCATGCAGCAGAAAGAGATAAACATAAAGGCAGTGAGAAATTCTACCTAGGCTACCTCCTACTCGGTGAGTCCAGAATCCGGGTAACAGGAGCAAACAAACAGTATCAGGCTAAATTGGATTTCCAACACTACAAACAAGATGGCTGAAGCCCTTCGCCCAACAAAGGGGGTATCAACGCTCGTTAATCATTCACGGATATCATGGGAGTAGAAAAGCTTTCCTCGTCGCGTACCCAGCTCTATCGCGAGAAACTGTTCTTGCGCGACTGCACTCGCGAGTTGGCTCCTGAGGCTGGGCGCGAGGCCACATAACTGCCAGCACGGCTGCCAAGAGCCTGGCGAATGCGCAGATTTTGCTGGGACCGAGCAAAAGAGTTCGCACGCGATCCAGATGGGATCCGAGAGAGTCTCCGACCATGGGTTTGGAGTTCGACTCGTGCATCGGACAACTGTTGGGCGAAAGGTGACCGCTTCCGGAGAGCAGGTCCATACCAGTAGATGACGTAGACAGCAATGACAAGCAGGAACGAAATGCAGAACAAGATAGTCGAGGCGTACTCAAGATGGTATTTGCCACCAATGTCTGCATGACAAACAGTCAGAATCTGTTCTCTGAACCACTGAATGGAGAAACTTACTCTGGAAGAAAGGTGTAGCTGGGATGGTAAGAACACCGGCCAAGAAGTCACGCGCCCATCCGTTACCTCCAGTGGCAGAGGCCGAATAAGGTCCATAGGCACAGATCATGTAGTCGATAGTAGCCATGTAAATACTGTAGTTGGCAATACCGACGATCGCGGAAAAAATCATCGTGCCAATCCAATGCACAGGGGGTCCAAGACTGGTCCAAGCGAACCCAATCAAACCAATCGGCAAACAAGGCGCGGTGTACAGTAGCCACCAAAGTCGGGATTCGTACTGGGCACGCTCATCGTCGGGCTTGTTCCGGCGCTCCTGAGTGTTTCGCTTTATGACCGGGAAAAACGAGAACCAGGCGATGAAATATCCCACCAGAATTGGGAGGAAGGAAAGACCCAGTGCCACAGTGCTGAAGTTCCACTGGTCATAGACTAAGCTGAACGACTGGATAAACATAAAGATCAGCGCATCACTGAATCCACTCAGAAGAGAAAGGGTGAGGACGATCGGCTCGGTCAAGAACATCTTGAAGGGGCGGACCCAGGTGACGAGGACCTCGCGCATCGAGAAGCGTTCCCTGAAGGGAACCAGTTCGTTGGGACCATAGATGTTGGGGTCTTCGCCGCTCTTTCTTCTCTTCTTCGCAATGCGATCCATCATAATTGTAGTTCGTGTCTCAGGCACAAGGAGGAGGTGTGCCACCTGAACGAATCCTCCAAAGATAAGCTGGATCCAGATATTCCAGCGCCAAGGCAAGTACGCTTCGACAAATCCACCCACAACGGGTCCGATCACGGAGCCACCAACTGACGAGAACACAACACAGGCAACCGCGTATTGCTGGTCATCGGCTTCCCAGAGATCAGCAATCATACCCAAGGTAACCGATCCACCAGCTGAGCTAAGACCTCCCAGAGCACGTCCGACCATAATCGTCGCAAAATTGGGAGCGAGGGCCACTGGCAGTTGCCAGATATTGACCAAGAACAAACTCAGCTGTAGAATCGGTTTCCGCCCGAGTTCCTCACTCCAAGGAGCCCACAGCTCACAGCCAAAAGCATACAGCACTAGGAAAATCATGGCACCACAGCGAGCGGCCTGCATGCTGACGCCGAATTCTTCTGATATGCCAGTCAAAGCATTTGAATACAGACTGGTGTTGAAATTCATTGATGTCTGGACAAGGAAGATGACAGTGATGATCATCCACTTCCGCCAAGAGGGAAATGAATAGCCTAGCTCGTCATAACAGTCGTCCTCGGTAAGTTCAATTTTATCGTAGGGTCCCTCCTCGTGATGTTGTAAGATAGCTCCAGAGTCACGGTTGCCAGTCAGATCAGGCTTCTGCTCCTTAAGAGCCTTTTCGGTTGCTGGATCCAAAACGACATCGTTGTGAGTCGAAGAAGAAGCCTCGGATCCATGATGTTTCTCGCTGTCGCTTAGATTGCGTTTGGCAAGTTCCGGTTCTGCTCCCATGGCGCCCTGTAGAAGGTGTCACTTAGTACATAGAACAGGATCTCGAAGGGTAAGAACACGAGACAGACAGCGGCCCAAAGCCGACAAAGAACAGTCCCGACACAATACACGGGAAGGAAAAGATAGTATGTAATGCGAGCAACAAATCGCCGGGGAAGTGGAAGGTAGTTGTCGAGCCGAACAATGAAGCTCTGAACACGTAGAAGGTAATATTCCAGCCAACCAAGGAAGCGCCAGGGACGTAAGAGATTATATTCAAGCCAAACAACAACTTTTAAGGGAGTCAAAAGCCCGTGCAAAAGCCAGGTAACAAAGTGCCGGGGGCGAGCGACGAGGTACACCATGTAAGCACCGATCCGACGGTAATGCTCAGCAAATCCAAGGACTATGACAGCAGGCAAGATGAAGATAAGGAGAAATAGGCGAAACAAAAGGTTTATGACCTCTTGAAGCATCGAATATGACGAAAAAAGCAAAGATGGATGGATCTAATGCGGTGGAAAGAATAATGGGCTCAAAGAACAGTGATACTTACAAGGTGAGTCAATCCACCTGGGATCGATGGCTAATGAATAACGAAATGAAGTGGTTGATTCCCGTTAGGAAGGAATGATACTAGGTTGATCTTGCTCAAAGCTGATCAGCCCGGTATAGATGGGAAGGAAGGAGGCTTGACAGGCGGAGAAAGAGAAGAGAGCAGGAGGATATGAGAATTGGAAATTGGAGGATTGAAGAAAGAGAAGAAGAAGAAGGTGAAGAGTAAAACCTGAGGACAGTAAACCCAAAAAGGGAAGGAGTGAAGATTGCAATAGAACCGAATGCTTCTTCCGGCTAACAGTCCCGATTAGGCAAATACTTGGTTGCAATCAGATCCGGTGGATCTCACAATCATCCATCCTTGCAAAGAGCGGAGGGAATCCTCTGCCTTTAATAATCATGCAGCCAGGCCTCCTCCCACTGCCACTACCACTGCCACTGCCACTAAACATTGCGCGTTGAATAAGGTTCAGTGAGGGCCACGAGAGAGATGGGGGGGAAATGGATCCATGCAAGTTGTGTACTTCACTCTCTCCTCCGCCCCTCAACGTTACCCTACCCTTTTGTGGCTTGCACTCCAGTCACATTCTCATCTTGGATCAAATTCAATCTGATCCAGATTTTCCTCTATTTCCCTTCGCATACCATTCAGTCATTGCCACCCCTCATTATACTACACAGTATACAGAAATGCAGTGCCCTCGTGGACTAGCGGAGCGGGCACGTTGATGCAGCAGCGGGTTGCCAGATCAGGCCGCACGCTATACTCCTCCGTACTCAATACCTCATTCAAATTACAGGCAGAGAGTTCCACTTGCCACGCTACCTGAATCAAGTCAAAAGGCCAGTCGTGTCCATTCGATTCCTGGGCCGAATGGATCCGTTGCTCACCTCATTACCTAAACCGTGCGCTGACCTGGGAGGCAAACGGACAACCCCCGGAAATGAAAGAACTTGTAAGAAGAGTGGCCGGACACAAGGATACCGTCCCCACTCCGGGGTCGAGACGTTACTACGCTTGAATACCACTAAGAATTGAACATACACCATGACCGCTGCCGGAGTTGTTCTGGCCCGAAAAATTCTCAACATTAGGAATGCCCGCTTCGGGAAAGTCTACCACGGCACGGCCGTCCCGTGAGGGCGACGCCAATTATGAATGCACTCTTGCTATCGGGATGGTGCAGGTAGAGCTACGGGTGAGGTCGCGACTGTCCATGATGCTCTGGCAAAGCGTGTACGACGCAAGGGGATTCCAAGTGGCCATAAGGCGTACGGTATGCGCTTTGCCGGGTGATCGGATTGGTTGCCAGCCTCAACTCCCGAATATCATTACAGCACTGATACAGCCAAGCAAATGCACCAATACAGCATAGACCGAAAGTGTTAGATAAATCATCAAAGGATGATGAATACTCTGTAGGATTATGATGATGATGATGATGATGATGAAAGTGGTGGGATGATTTGGACTAATTCTTGATTTTTTTTTTGGTTGCTGACTAGTTCGGTCGGTTTCCCACGGGGTTGTTGGTTGTTTGGTTCGGGGTAGCCGTGCGTGTGACGTCAACTGGACCGGGTCTGTGCCGATCTTATCCCCGACTTTCTTCTCGATCACCTGAATGTCTTCCCCTGCGCAGCATTGGCTTCTCTCTTCCATGAGTATGACATTTGTCCATCGTATTTCAGCCGGATTACACATGCTCATATAAATTCCAGACATTCGTCTCGAAGCCTGTCAGGCCTCCGGGGGCTTTTGTGCTGCACAACACGCGGTCAACCGCTCATTGATATCCCACGATCTTCCCCACACTGTATCTCAGCCACCGGTGACGGGACCCTCTGGAGGAGACATCGACCTTCGGCACCTTAGTTAGACCTAGCGCATACTACGTATACCACTACACTAGGAGGGGGCCACTTGGATTCATCCTTCATAGGAGCAAAGTACGGCAGTCTTTGTTCGACCATCGACCTTGGTGATTATGTTCAGCGTACCATGTAACAGGCAGCATGTGTCACAGGTTTTAGGACGTAGCTTGAGGTCTGGCAAAGCCTAGCGATGAGCAAGGTCGTAGCACAGTCACTGACAACCAAGGAAGCCGGATAAAGAGTGGAAAAGGCCACTGACGCCAATCAGTCTAGAAGTCGGCTAGTGCCGACAGCCACCCTTCGGGGTTAAGCTACGGCGCAACCTGCCAAGGCGATGTGGCGGACAATCCCCTGGCTTAGCTGGGTTTTTTTCGATCGGGCCTCTCGAGCCTATGTAGACTGCAGCGTTTGCATTGTGTCTTTTCTGTGTTCTCAAGTCTAGACATTCCTCAACGGACAGTAGGGGAATGTTCGATGAGAGGTATGTGAGTGGCACTTTAAGGGGAACAGCACATGTGACAATTCAGAAAGGCGAGACCGGCCGGTGAGGAAGCTGGGGAAGCTCAGGAGTTGGCCGAGTGTTCATGATACTTGATACTCCGTGGATGTTTCCAGACAGAGAAGGTCAATGGAGGATCCGTTTGCGGAATCAGGAGGTGGGGGGGGGAAGAAATTGGAGAATGCGGACGGGAGCGTCAAAGGAGCGTCCAAGAAGCGTCCAAGGATCCAGATGTAAGAGAGGGACCTTCTTCGCTCACCGCCTGCCCGCTACGATCCACCCCCGCCATCGCCATCGTTTCCTCCCAATTGCAGCCATGGCTTTTTAGTTACTCCGTTCTCTCTCCACCGAATCAACACAAACATTGAATCCATCCTCCAATCCTTCAGTCAAGTTATGATCCAACTCATTCAATAACCTGGAACAGACAGTATCCACCTCAACAACCCACATCATCCATAATCCCTCTCTCTCTCATATGATCACGGTCCACTTGTGATGTGTCCTGATATCAATTCCCTTCCTGCATCCCCATCTACTACTTCCCCTTCCCCGCATCAGCAACGGGCTGTGCACCACCCCTTGCATTCGCAACACTCTCCGTCGGGTTCCTCCTTTCTGGGTCTGGCCACCATGAATAACCACACTGCCACCCCGTTGGGCGACTCCAGTCACTCCGTGGCCACTGACCTGCCTCATCGGCCTGCTCCGGTTGCCAGCGCTCGTTCGGCACTCCCAGCTCCCGAACGTCGCCGGTCCGCCGCCGGGTCCAACTCAATCCTGAACATCAGCAATGGCAGCGCTAGTGAGTCGGTGTCTGGTGAAACTCCGCTTGCCCCTCACGACCATCGCTCGTCCTTGAGCCATAACGCACTGCGCACCTCTAGCTCCTCCAGTCTCGGGGGCAGTCCAATCATCGCCATGGGGGACCCACACCACCAGCGGGCTCCCTCGTTGGGGGAACTCCATCAGGAACTAGAGCAAGAGCAAGAAGCACAAGTGGTATGATTGCGAAACCTTTTGGGTGTCGCGTGTTACCATGTACTGACCGCTGCGTGTTCATACGATCTAGAATCGGCTGCTGCTACTGATTCGCAGCCAGCAAACACAATTGCAGCAACTGCAACAGCAACAGCAGCAGCTGTCCGGCGGCACGGCAGTGCTCGACGATGCCAGCCCTCCGTCGGAGCGCACAGTCCCATTTCCCCCGGTTCCTCCACACCCCGCCTCCGGTGGTCGGTCGTCAACCCAACTAGCGTCGTCGTTGTCAAGTCGGCGCCCCTCCCGGCCCTCCAGTCAAGTCGGCTCACCCAGCCTGCGACCCCGCGCTGATTCGTCACGCGGCCCGGAGGCACTGGAGTGGATTGGGGGCACCGGGGAAAGTCCTGCTCGGCGGGGAAGCAGGGACGAGAGTGCATACTATCAGGCCGAGGCGACTATGCTGGCCCGGGAGAATCAGATGTTGCGGCAGCGCATCCGCGAACTGGGTAAGTCCTGTGCCGGAGCAGCGTCAATTTCCCATCCGCTCTGCATGGTAACCGCAAAGTCTAACTCATGCTGTACAGAACGCCAAGTCAGCGACTTCACCCTGGGGGCCCAATCCTCTCAGAGCTCTGTACCCTCCAGCAGACCCGAGACCGACGTTGCCAGTCCCCAGGAGCCCGCGGGACGGGGATCGGCAAGCGACCTGTCGGACAAGACCTAATTGACTTTCGGGCGCCAGAGTCTCGGTGACTCTTGGGGCATCAAGTTTGAGGACGATTCTGCAGATCGGCGGTGATCGGCACAGTCTGATGGACTTTTACCGGCCGGCACTACAGACCAGACCGTATTTATCCGGGGAAAGGGGGTTGCCTGCCAGACGGGACGATAACTTAGAACAAGAAACAAGTACCGGTGGTATAAGTTGTCCGTGCATGTCTGTCTCTGTCAGCCTTTTTTTCCCGATCTCTTTCTTTTCCACATCACTGAAAGCGGACACGAAGAACGCCATCGCCGGCCGTGTATCTTCTCCTTGTACACACTTAGTGAGCGACATCATAATTGAACAGTTCAGTCCTGGTGACCTACTATGATGACAAGTCCGGTGTTACTTTGACTTATCCTCACCGTGGTGAAGACCATCAACAGAGGTGAAACTTGTAATTAGTTAGTGGCGGAGCTGCCAGACTGACCCAAGGGATTCTACTAAACCGACTCCAATTCTTAATAAAAACTCAATGCCAGCCTCTCCTCCGTTTTTTACCCAACTTCCAAAGTGAGCAGTATATATCATCTGCTTGGAGTTGCGTACACCCGGGCCAGTAACCAGTTGCAGTCCATAGCGCCCCACCCACCAACACAACCAAATGCAGCAAACACCCAGGGGACGGTCCACTATGGTAAACCACTAGTTCAGGAGTATATCGGTATCCTCCGTACACGATGAAGGACACAAACCCTTTTCCACAAAGATCGAGTGATCGATTCCCCTTCATACTACTCTTCTAATTCTTCGTCGTGGTAGGGTGGACAGTTTCTTACAGGAAAAATATATATACTTCGTGCAGCTAAGTACTAGCTTAGTACCGAGACTTGAAGCCACCTCCTTGAGAAAGCTAAGCGATAAGTACTATAGACAAAATGAATGACAGCGTGACTTGTGATCTGAGCTGCGTCATCCTGGAAGCTTTGTGCAATCAGACTCAAGTCAAAAGAAAAGACACTACCACAGATGCACTACATCACGATCATGTAGCCAACAAATCCCGATTATTATCGCTGAGATTACCTATGAACAATGAACAATGAAAGAAAAAAAAAACTCAAAACTCGACTCAATCTGTCAGGAAGAAAGAAAAGCCCACGCCTCGCTAATTAAGACCTCGACAGTACGAAGATCCCATTCCCACAACGCCGTTTACATACACAAACAAACTGACGTAGACAAACAAGTCGAACAAAGTGCCTGACGAGCTAGTACATCGAATCTCTCTCTTCCAGTCGAGTCTCATGAAACAGTCTGCATCGGCGACGACTGTCCTCGACTCGATTCGATCTTCTTTCGGCGCGGCACCTGCACCCCATTGCGCAGCTGATCCAACTTGATCACGCCCGGTCCCGTGCAGATACGGCCGGTCCGAATCAGAGTGCGCAGCCGCTTACGTCGGGCGGCTCCACCCCGTTCCTCACCGCGACCGACTCCTTCATCCACCCATTCGGTGCGCAGGACCTTGAAGCTCATGCCGTCGTGGCTGCCTTCCCACGCGCGAGACCGGAGGCCAAACAACACGCTCGATTCGTACTGCTCCAGACGAGGGAGGATCAAGATGGTAATGTGGAGGTCTTTGTCGGACGGGGGCACGGGAGGCTCCCGGGGTCGCTCGCCCTCGTCGAGCCCAATATCTTGCGCGGACTGCGGGGCGTGCTGATAGGTGTCTCTGATCTCCAGATCAAGCAGATCCACATCGACGTCCTCGCTCCAGGCGCCACGAATGAAGCCCGAATGGATGGCTGCCGCAACGGGGTCGGAGTCATCGGTATAAACACCGGTACCCCAGAGGGCACGACGCGCACAAATCTCCTCGCGATGGCTGCTGTCGATTCGGAAGCGCGGCACGCGAATGGTGAACGTGCAATTCTCCTTGCCTTCGAAGCGGGGCAAAGGAACTGGTGTGGTGGTGTACCCAAACTTGGCACTTTCGAGGGACGCCTTCTCCGTCGGAACTCCGATCCGAGGAGCATACAGAGTAGAGCCCAGATGGTGACGAGGGAGATGGGCGACACTAGTCAAAAGCGGCTCAATGGTCACCACCGTACGAGGTTCGCGAACAGGGGTGACAGAGGACGTAGGGGCAGCGGATCCAGCCGGCCGAGGAGCATGATGATGGTGGTGGTGATGGTGGTGGGGATGATGGTGATGATGATGAGCGAGCGTAGCTGCCGCCGCCGAGGCTGGCCCGTCTGCAGGGGTCGCCGTCCGAGGGAAGAAGTTCATTGACGACAGGGGTCGATTCTGGCCGAGTGCAGCCGCTTCTTCCTCGGGTTTGTGGCGGTGATGGTGGCTGCATAACAATTAGCATACGTCATTCACAACAAGGTTCATGGAAGCTTACTGATGGTGGTGGTGATGAACGTGCCGACGCCGCCCGCGGGACAAGGGTGCGGGAACGGCCTCGGTTTCAACGCGTGTATCTTCGTCGCGCGATTTACGCGGTCGCTTTCCGTTGGCGGAGGCCGGCCGGGGAATCTTGGATTCGTCCGGTGCAGTTTCGCTGTTGGTAGAGCGGGCGGTGGCACTGTCCCGCTTGAAGGGACTAGCTGAGGTCATGGGAGTCGATGGTCCGCTGCCGGCCGTGGCTCCTGTCACGCCGCCCACTCCACTTCCGATGCCTGAAAACACACGGCCCAGTTCATTCTTGATGCCAGACTCCCCAGCGGGGCCCAGGATCTGTGCCTGCGCTCCCTGAACCGCCTGGGGCAGCGGCGATGCTCGCCCGCCCCGTTTCGCGTCCAACCCGACACCGAGTAAATTCCGATGGGCCAGGAGCTCATCGCTGCCTTTACGGCGCTGTTCATCCGAGGCGGCGGAGAGAATCATACCCGCGGATGCGGCAGCGGTGGTGACGGGAAAGGCGCGTGTATCGGTTTGTAGCTTGAGGTACGGCGTTGGCTCGTGCGACGGGGGCGTGGGCTGACCGGGTTGCGGGTGAACGGAGAGCGATGGCGCACGCGATCCACCGAGCTGGGACCCCAACGACTTGGTGTAGCTTTGGATCGCACCAAAGCCAAAGCCTGCGCCCGGCTCCGGCGCGGGAAACCGCTTGATCTCGGGAGATCCGGGCTGCGAGCGCGGTAGCTCCCAGGCCGATGACCCCTGAGGACGAGGAGCGGCAGCGTCGCGGTCGCCATACTGTGGGCCAAAGCGGGGAACAGCGTGCGCCGCGGCCTTGGACTCGGCTTCGTGTGCCGCTGCGCGCTCCCGCTCCCGGATGGCTTGTTCCTCCGCGTGGCGATCTGTATAAAGTCCACCGTAACGGCTGTGTGGTAGCTCGTGGCCCATGTAGGACGAGGCTCTCTGATGGGTCGACCCAAAGGAGCCTTCTCCCATGCCACTCGTTGTGGGCACGGCGATCGGCCGTGACAAAGGGCTGTAGCCGGCTGTGCGGGGGGGTGGTTCGAGATGCTGCGGCTGACTGTTGGGGCGAGGCACCGGTCCACTGAAGCTGGTGCGACGTCGTTCATTGTACGGGGCGTCGGCCGAGGAAATCTGAGGCGATGGGTGTGTGGAATGGGGTTTCTCGGGGAATTGTGTGGCTGGATGGCCGCGTGGCAGACCGCCGAACTTCGCCTGCTCCGGGATTGCTTGAGGCACACCTCCGGAGCCGGACCGGTAGGGACGCGAGGCCTGATTCTTTGCATATGACTTTTCAGGCGTTTGCGATCGTCGGAATCCAGAGTATTCCAGCGGCGACGGGCGGGCGGGCGCGGTTGGCGGAGACATGGCGCCGGGAGCCGACGGCGGATGGGCGTTGCCAAACGAGGCGGACGTGACGGGCAGACGGCCAAAGATGGAGGAGCCTACATCCCGACCGGGTCGGTCAGCGTCCGCGCCTAGCATGGACGATATCGACATGCTGCTCCCGGGACGGTGGTGAGTCGGATTGCTGGGCGGCTCACGCGACAAGAAAGGGGTGGGAAGAGAGTGTGTGGTGCCGGGAGGAGCGCGTGCGGGATAGTGTTGCGGCGATGAGGGAGGAGGCATGCGGCGGGTACCCAGCGGGGGTGCAGTTGAGGCATCTTGCACACCTGTAGGAAAGGAAGAATTCGGAGTTAGTCCAAGTATGTCCGAGGGTGAAAGACGCAAGAAGCCAGATAGTAGTCAAGGGAGGTAGATTGGCGCCCGCTACAGAATGCGACAAGACACGCTGCGAGCCAGATGATCTGGCACTCACCGGGATATCCGGGACTACCATTGCCGCCCAAGGACCTCCGACGGCCTTGGTCATGCGACGGGGGTGGATTCATATCGCATGCACAGACAACGGGTTTGGAGGAGCGCTGACGAAACGCGAAAGAGGGCAGGAGGGAAACAAGGGGGAGGGATAGAGATGAAGGGAAAAATGATTAAGGACCCAAGCGCCACAACAAGGGGGAAAAAAAAAGGAGATAGGGAAGGAGAGGATGAAGGGCGAGAGAGAAAAGGAGGATGGAGGGTGGGTGATGAAGCTGATGGGTGATGATGATGATGACCGGGGGGGGAAAGAGAGGCGCGCGACAATCCAAGACACTCGCTCGCTCGGCTCTCACTCTTTCTCGGTCTTTCGCACTCAGCAAAGCAAAGCAAAGCGAGTTCCACAACCGGGGGCTGAACCCGTGACTCTGGGCGGGCCTGGACCACTAGTCTCAATCAGGTAAGGATGCCCTGGCAGTCGAGGCTAGACCCAAAGAGAACTAGCTCTCCCGAGGCTTCCTGGGCTGGAAGGCGATCAGGCGCCACAGACGCGGCTGATGCTCCTTCGCTAATTGGTCCGGCTGCCCCAGTGCTTCTCCCCCCTCTGTCTCTCCCCGTTTGTAGGAGTAGTGTTAAGTTTGCAGTGTCCGTAGAATAAACAAACCAGACCAAACTGTGCAGGAGGGGGGCAGGAAATGTGTCACCAGGAGAGGTGGAAGGATTTTTCCAAGCTGCTACCAGGGATTGTGCTCACACAGCATGTTCATGCTTAGCATCGGTCATGGCTGGCTGGCATCTATTGCCTTCCCATCCATGATCTGGCCTTCCGAGATGCTGTCTAGTCTGGCTCAGGCACCCGAGTATCATAGTTGCTCAAAATACACAATGCGAAGGGGTAGAAACGAATAGCCAGCGCGAGGATCTCAAGACAATAAAAAATCGATCGCTCTTACCTTCACGATACATCATCCGTCGGTCCGGGTGATTGAGGTAATTATGATCATAGGGAGGGTCATGCCGATTGTCAGAGTCTCGCGGTCCAGTCGGAGGATTCTGCTTCTTCGAGGAACCATGGCCCGTTGGTGCGAGGTGATACCCGGTGGTTTCTGCCCGTAATGACGCATAGGCGGGTTCATGGGCGTACGCGACAGAGGAAACCGGGGTGGGAGCGGACGACGGGGTCGGATACTTGTACCCGGAGTTCGCGGGGGCCGATCGAGGCATCTCGGACTCTCGTCGGTGAAGCATATCGTAGTATGGTCGCGGTGATGGTGGTCGAGGAGGGCCGTAGGCGCGCGCGGAGGGCGGCGCTGGAGGCGCCGCTCGAGGGTCGTGGGCCACCGCTCCGAGCAGCGACGGGTGGGGGTGGTATGGTGGCGGCGGGGGATGTTTTTGGAAATCCATCATCATGATCAGTGAGCAGAGCAGAGATCGAAACGAACAGCGATGAGGAAGAAGGTGTGTTGGGTTGCGTTCGGGCGCGGATTGGGGGAGGGGGGTTTCAGCGAAATGGCGGTGGAAGCTGAGTTTCAGCACGGAAGCAACAGCGGCAGCAGCAGCAGCAGCAGTCGGTAGCTTGTATTCTCGGACAAAACTCGATTTATTCACCCTCTCCAGAAATCTCTGGGTTGAGTGAGGCCACCGATGCGAACCACCCAGCACTGGACAACTGGAATGGTGGTGGAGGGAAAACAAGAACAGCTGGGTAGGCAGATAGGAGGTGAAGAGATGAAGAAAGGAGCAAGTGTGGAGAGAGAGGAGAGGAGGGGAGAGGAGAGGAGGGGAGAGGAGAAAAGGGCAGGCAGGAGAAAAAGCAACACGAAGAAAAACGGTGAGTAATGGGATGAATGGGTGGATGATGGATGGATGGATGGATGGATGGATTAATGGAATGGATCTCTCTCCGACTAGTAGTAAAGTAGAGATAGTCAGTTAAGGTGAGTGGCTGTACCAATCACGCTGGATACCAAACCAGGCTAGGAGAGATTTTCTGGAGAAGGAAGAAAAAAGGAAAAAGGCACGGAAAGGCTATGAGTGAGTGGAAAACGAGTTGCAAGTCAGGACCAGGCAGGACCAGGGAATGCGAGGGAAACTAAGAGGATGGGGCCGTCGTGGCAGCGGGGAAAAACGGGGTGGACCCATGCAAGAAAAGAAAATAAATAATAATAAAAAAATAATAACTAAATAGAAAAAAGTATACATACTGTGTGTGTACTGTCTAGAGTGTAGTAGACAAGAAACAGTTTGTGATGTACTTTTACCCCTCTCCTTCTTTTCTTCCAATGCCCAATATTCCCTTTGGGTCTTAATCGGCCATGCAGTCAGCGACGTGTCATGCGTCCTGCCAATGAAATCACATTCAATTAAGAAAGCATTCATGTCATGGAAGAGTAACCCGTGGACTAATAGCAAGTAGGAAAGATATAGATAGATGTAAGGTATATGATGATACAGTTTAAAGTCAGTAGTAAATGACAAGGTTTTGAATTTGATCTGATATCTACAATATATGTATGTTATGTTTATGTATGTATCTACTCCATCTAAACGATTCTGCCTCCCGCCCGCAGGCTGTAAGGAAGGTCTCCACCCTGCAGTGCGTGACAATCTGCCGATCTCAAACCCCCCCTCCCCTTCCACGGATGGACCCTCTGGAGGATCGCCCTGCGACCCTCATTGCTTAAGTAGCAGCTGGGGCCTTCAGCTATCATTCCTGAGAGGATGTTTCAAGCGACATGCTGGCCCCGGTTGCCACATTTCTCGCTACACAGCAGACAGAAGAAGGAGGAGGGGTCAGAAGAGAGACGAGCTCTCCCCTTGCGTCACGCCTAATTACAGGATGAGATTATTCTGCTTGCGACAGGAGATTGGCTCGTCCTTCCTTCCTTCTTTTTTTCCTCCGTGTACCGGCAGTGTCACGGTCTGGTTGGAATTAATGGTCAACGGTCCGTGCACCAGTAAGTCATTGAAGTACGAGTAGTATTCAATTCATCGGCCGAGGTAGAAATCGGCCCCGAGCAGACCATTATGTACGCACACATTCAATACTTTCAACCAGTCCGGATGAAAATCGGCTTTATATCTCCTCACGACGACCCGATCGTCAAGAAGTGTCGCCATCTTTGGCGAGGACAGCCCGTCCAATCCACATCGATGAAATCCGCGCCCGCCTTGACCAAAATCCTCCAGATCAAGCGGGACATCCCCTGCGAACCGCATGGGATCCCTTCAAATCGCGCCTGGAGCCCGCGCGCATGAGCTGCATCTATATGAGCTCGGACCAAATCGAGCTGCTGTCGAGAGAATCGTCCTCGGTGCGGAGTGCCAACCTCGTGTCCAAAGTGCATTGTCGTGCTCAACAAAGGCAGTCTCGTGTGTTGTACCGCTTTCGCAGTGGTGGTATTCTTCCACTCTTTCCAGGACGGCCGGGGCTGGCTTCCTCTGCCTTCGTACGGTTGGGCCATGGTGTCTGGATGTTTGCTCGCTGAGTCTGGTCCCTTCGACACGTTCGCTCCATCCATAAAGATACTGGGGCTGAGGGGATGTTGCTGATACTCTTCGTAAACATGTTCGACATGGTCATCCCCCACGACAGCAATTCTGACAGCTTTTGAGGTGATTTGACTGCCATTGCGCTGGGCCAGATACCCTCTGTCGTTCAGGCTTTGAAGTTCGGTGAGAAGATAAGGCCAGCCAGCTCGAACTGGAGATCTAAACTCCAGGAAAAGAACAAACTGGTCCGTTGCGGCAGCCTGGGAAGAGCCTCCCAGAGACTCTTTTGCCTCCAGATGCTGCAAGAGCGGATCGAGGTACGTCTTGCGCAGGGTGAGGTGCGGTCTCAAGGTAGCATTGGAGGTACCGACATACAACTCCTCGCCCTGGAGCCAGATGTCTGCTTTAATTCCCTTACAGCGGGCTGCAATTGCGTATCGAATGGCGTCCGGATGCGAGCGCGGATTGTAGGCAATACAAGCAGCGGATTGGCCATCGAACTCTGCAGGCCAATGAACGAACCCCGCCTGAGCCGAATAGTGCTCACGAAAAAAGATATAGGAGATCCCATTGGGTAGTAGCGAGAGGAATTGGACCATTACTCTAGATTTGGGGTCAGTATGATTCTTCTGGATTATTGCATCGACGAAAACATACCCGAACATCAGTAAAAGGCAGGTGAAGGAGAAAATGCGATCGCCCCATTGGTCCCGAACAGAGACATAACACTGCTGGAGCATTGTCCAGAGTCCTGGGCGGCATTCGGTGGGATGAGACCGGAGTGGATGGTCGTCCAGCAGCAACGAGGAGTCAGAGTCATATTCTTCAACGACCTCCAAGAGGGGTTGCGTGCCATCATGAGCATGGATAGAGACAGTCATGATTCCCAGACGGCGTGCTAAGCAGGCAATTGCACATCAATATTATGCTAGCAGTGAGTTCACTTGCGTGAAGTAGTTTGAATCTCCGAGCTTTCATGTAAAAACCAACTTGAAGGTTGCGGTGGGGCACAATATCGAAAATCGAAGTTATAGCTCAAATTGAAGGGACAATGGGTGACACGGGCTGAGCGTCGGACCAAGAGAGAGCCATGATCCTGTGCGACCCGACGCAGGAACAAGGGAAAGACCTATGCTGATGCAGAGAGGTTAAATAAACTGGGAGGGTTCCTTGAAAGGGGGTGGAGGACGAGGGGAAAACACTGGCGGAGAGAGAATGGCTCCAAAGCACGCAATTATTGGTTGCGATGATTTCACATCTTCAAGGCGATCAGCATCCATTGGTCGGTCAGCGAAGTAATTTATCAATTGCCCAGCGGCTTGGCACTTACAGTCCAATATTTTTCGATGGACAAGGCGGAGGAATTGCGAGGGTAAGAGATGTATGCATTGGAACCACAATGGGAAGTGAGGAGGAGATGAGATGGAGGGAAGGGAAGGCAAAATGTTCATTGGTGCGGGATCCCAATTCCATCATCCTCTCCAATTCTACTCACTCACCATTCACTCCACACTCCACACTCCACTTGACCGACACAGTATTGCACACCCACTCCGTCACTTTCCTCATATCTCCATCAAATTATCAATAAGACGATCGGAATGGTGTGCGGACCATCCGCGGAATGATCCCACCCAATCAATACTAAAAGTCCTCATGTGACCGTCAAATCAGCGCCCGTCAGCCCATGCGCTGCCGTGCGCCTTCGTGTCAATAGCGCCGCTCTCCTCACCGAATTCCCATTTTACCATGGCTTAAATGGAGCTTTTACACTGTACGAAGCATCGAAGAGCATTGGGTAGCATCGTGGCGCCAACTCAGATTGTGCAGTATACATCTACGCCTCCACGTGATAAATAAATTCCAGCGGCACAAGCCTCGCTACTCGCATGGCAGTCGTCTGTGCTGAAGGGTCCCGCTACTATAAATGCGATAAATGCGATAGGATGTGAAGATTTGCATGAGCAGAGATCTTCAATTCAGGCGGCCAAAACAACCACAACTGACTCGTGTGTTGTCTAACTAAGCATACTACCATACAGAGTGATCTGATGGGTCCTCTGCTTCGGTTGTGCTCTGCTTGTAAGTGAAAAGAAACATGGTCAAGGGATCATACGTACGGCAATCCGACCCAATAGATATCCAGTCCGATCAGGAAACACTCACGGGGACTACTTTTGCTACCAGCACTGACACTCCTTTACTAGTACATATGGCCAAACTCGTGTTCGTGACCTCACAACAGGGATACTAGAATCGTCTGAGGGCACGATCGTCGACAAAGCTCATCGCTTCTTGTTCAATTTAATTTGAGCTAGCCGAATTCTCCCTGCGACAGACACCTATGGGAGTCTGCTTTTCACAAGGCCAACCACGTCAGATACTCAACCTGTTTCGAGGTGCGAGAAAGGGCAATGGAAGATGATTGACGAGTGCTACCATGTAAAGGTCTCGGTTCCGTCGTCGACAAGAATATACGGATTTGCTGATTCAACCTTTGTATCCCATTTGACTAGCGTTAGTTGTACTGAGTGATTCTTGAGCATTTCCTACTTTTGTGACCGCCATACCTTTAGGGCGTACAGTCTTCATGTCCCTCAGCCACTCATCTACAGGTTTCCGAGAGGACAAACGAGCGACAAGCTACACCCGACCCGTCCTCCGTGAAACGGCTAGAATTGACCGCGTCAATGTTCGTTGAATCAGCTGCATTGAAGACGATACAGGACCTTATTCTCATTTACGACAGCCGGGAGGACAAGGATATCCAGCTGGTACAGGTGTTTCGGTAACCCCTGCAGCAAATAGGATCGTTCGAGTACCCTGTGCAGATGCATGCAAACGAGATGGAGTAGATGTGTTTCGATGCGGCTTCATTAATGCAGCAATGGCAAATCCGTCCCGCCCGCCGAATCTCGTTTAGCTTGAGTCTCTCCTCCTGAGACAAATACTCCCATTGATCATCCTTCATCTACACAGTAAATAACTGAATTTGTTATCGCCTTACGCTTACTCGCGGGTCCGAGTACTTCCCGACTGTGATTTGCTGGTACCTCTGTACAGCACACTAAGAGCCGCTGTGCAGACCGATGATCCACAATCTGGTCACCTCAGTCGGGGCTCCGACGGGGGCCCCCCCTTCCCGGTGCTTATGAGCTTGTCTCCCACGCCAACACCGAACCCAGTCTTCATCTCGGCAAGTGATGATGCTCGGCCCATGACGTGGGACTAGCGGGGACAATGTCGCTCAATTGTGACCCCTCACAGACTCCACACAGACCTATAAGTAGGTCGTCAAGGACCGTACGATTGAGATGGTGTCAAGTCAGGTCAATCACTCAGGAGCAGAGATGCGCTTGACAACAGCCATTGCGTCGCTGCTGCTGGTGGGCTCTGCCCTCAGCCTGCAGAACCCTCACCGTCTCGCTGCGAATGCCCGCCCGCGCAAAGCATTGGCTCCACGAGCTGCAGCGGGCCTCGTCAGTAGTACTGCCGACTACACGTACCTGACCAATAAGACCGCCAGTGAGTGTGACGTTCGTTTGCGTTCAGGATCTTTCACTCACCAAGCTAGGGTTTTTGGTCAACGGCACCGGTATCCCGGAGGTCGACTTCGACGTAGGCGAATCCTACGCGGGTCTGCTGCCGAATTCCCCGGCGGGCAACAGCAGTCTCTTCTTCTGGTTCTTCCCTTCGCAAAATACCAACGCTACCGACGAGGTATGTGGCTCGGTCCGCTCGTGCGACAAGGGACTAACGTAAAAACCCTGTAGATTCTGGTTTGGCTCAACGGCGGCCCCGGCTGCAGCTCTCTCGACGGCCTGCTGCAGGAGAACGGCCCATTCCTGTGGCAATCCGGCACCTACAAGCCGGTCCCCAACCCGTACTCGTGGACCAACTTGACGAACGTGGTGTACGTCGACCAGCCCGCGGGCACGGGCTTCTCGCCCGGCCCGTCGACGGTCAACAACGAAGAGGACGTGGCGGCGCAGTTCAAGAGCTGGTTCAAGCACTTTGTGGATGTGTTCGGCCTGCACGGACGGAAGGTGTATCTGACGGGGGAGAGCTACGCGGGGATGTACGTTCCGTACATCGCGTCGGCGATGCTCGACGAGAAGGACACGACGTATTTCAACGTGAAGGGGGTGCAGATCAACGACCCCTCCATCAACGACGACTCCGTCATGATCTACGGTACCCTTCCCAGACCCCGCCCCCAATCCCCAAACTAATCCGCCTGTGAACAGCCCCGGCAGCGCGCCACCTGAACCACTACACCAACATCTTCGCCCTCAACACCACCTTCCTGACCCACATCAACCACCTCGCCGACACCTGCGGCTACAACGCCTTCCTCGACGCCGCCATCCAATACCCACCCCGATCCCCCTTCCCCCCGCTCCCCAACATCACGACTGACTGCCTCGTCTGGGACGAGATCGTCGAAGCCGCCTACAACACCAACCCGTGCTTCAACTTCTACCACCTCACCGACTTCTGCCCCTACCTGTGGGACGTGATGGGCTTCCCCTCGCTCGGCTTCGGCCCCAACAACTACTTCAACCGCTCCGACGTCCAACGCGCCCTGCACGTGCCCCCAACCGACTACAGTGTCTGCAGCGAGACCACTATCTTCGCCCAGGGCGACGGCTCCGAACCCAGCTCCTGGACCGTCCTCCCCTCCGTCATCGAGCGCACGAACAACACGCTGATCGGGCAGGGTTGGCTCGATTTCCTGCTCATCTTGAATGGCACCCTGGCCACGATCCAGAATATGACCTGGAATGGTGCGCAGGGGTTCCAGACCGATCCGCTCGCGCAGCCCCTGTTTGTCCCCTATCATTATGGCTTGAGTGAGCTGTATGATGGGGATGAGCCGGACCCGTTTAACTTGGATGCCGGGGCGGGATTCTTGGGCACAGCCCATACGGAGAGGGGGTTGACGTTTAGTTCCGTCTTTGGGGCGGGCCATGGTATGTTCTTTCAACTCTTTTCATTAGCTTTTTTTTTTCTTGGGTTGGTTAAAGCGAGGCAGAAGCTAACAACCGGGTGTCTGGTTTCTAGAAATCCCGCAGTATGTGCCTGGCGCGGCGTATCGGCAGTTGGAGTTCCTGTTAGGTCGGATTGGGAGTTTGCAGCAGCGAGGTGGGTATACTGCTTAGTTTGGTCCGGTACAGTAGGTACTAGGTATAGGGTGGGTGTTGGGGGAAGACTTATGGGACTGTGTATAAGTGTACAGTGTAAATGAGATGGATTATGCATGCTGTATGCTAGTAGGACAATCTATTCGATGTGTCAAGTATATGCAAATACCTTCCTACCAATTTACATCGAGAGACTTTACGTACGAACCGACCAGCAGCATCACGGCGTTTGCGCCCCCTCGCCAATTCCCATCAACCCCCCCGCCAACCCACTCATTCGCCGATCCAGCAGATCCTCCTCACTCGCCAGGCTATTCATACTGCGGTTTCTCTCCGGCAGAGGGAGAATCGCCACAGCGTGCTCAAAGTAGTCCGAGACATACCCCTCTTCATCGTCCCCCCAATCCTCGGGGGGAAGAGTCAGTTTGGCAGGCACGCGGTGCTGCTTTTGCTTCCGGCTTGCGGCGAAGGAGGATCTCACTGAGCGGCCGCGGGAGACGCTGCGGACGCGACTCGGAGTAGTGCTTCCGTTCTCGGGGTGTAGTTCTGACGGGGTGTGCGGCTCCTTCACTACCTTACCACCCGATATGAATTCGCTGCCTACTGGGGTAAGCGGCGTGAGCTTGCTGATGCTCATCTCCAGGGGTTTGTCTTCGTCGGCGGAAGAATCACCCGTGAGACGCCGTTGGTGGTTGCGCGTCCGGTGACGGTGGTTGTGCGGGGGGTGGAGGAGGAGGAGGTGCTGCAGGCTGTGGAGAGGCGGCGGTTTTCTCTGGCTGGTGGACTGGTTGGGGTTCTTCCGCAACTGCACACCCGAGGAAGAAGTCTTGGTTTCGGCCAAGGCCAACAGCTCACTGATCCAGCTGGCGCACCGGTTGATGTGCTTCCAGCTCTCGGGGAAGAAGCCGGCCATCAACATGAAGCCGTGCGAGATACCCGGGATCAATGACACCTCGACGTGGTCCTTGTCGTTGAACCCACGACGGGAGTTCTCCAGCCCCAGCTCCTGTCGTTCGCGGAACTGGTGCAGTTTCGCCTGACGGAGACGGCCCGCGAAAATCACCGTGTCATCCACCAGGGGATCGCGCTCGCCGGTGATGATATAGGTCTTGGGGAAGCGCGCCAGCAAGGCCTCCGGCGCGAGGGTCGGCGAGAGGAGGTAGTCGGTGTTGAAATCGGGGCGGTTATGCGGGCCAATGTACAAGATAATCATGGCTCGCATCATCTCCGGGGTGAGGATGCGATCCTGCACGTACGAAATGATCGACGAGGTCGCCAGGCGCGTGCGAATTTGCTTCGGCTGGTGCTCCGCGATGGCAGCAGCCTCAGATTCATGGGTCGGGCGCGTGGTCGGACGTCGGTGCTGGTCGAGCTTGCGCGCCGTCTTTTCGCCGATATCGTTCGCTTCGAGGTCCAGCTCGGAGCACGAGTCTTGCTGCAGATCGGCAAAGGATGCGCCGGGGGAGGTGAAAGGGGTGAGACGCTGGTAATCCAGGCTCTTGCGCTGCAAAATGTGCTGGTTGGTGCGTCGCGTGCTTTTCTCCTGGATCAGCGCCATCTGCTCCTCCGTCATCCAGCTTTCTATCTTCATGTTCAACGCGGGATAGGCCAGAACTACCCCGTCCGGGGGTGGAAGCACGTGCTGTCCTTGCCAGTGTGATGCATCCGCCCTGCCCGACTGCAGAATCATCAGCGTCATGCCGACAGCCAGGTTGGCGCCTGCGCTATCACCGGTCACGACGATGCGCGGAGGTGTTCGTCCATTGAGTCCAATACAGCGACCCCGCGTAGACACAATCGTCTGGTACACGTCGTAGCATTCATTTAAGGCATAAGGGTAGGGAAACTCCGGCGCCTTCTTATAATCCAGACTCAGGATGGGGACTTTGGCGCGAGCAGCCCAACTCAAGAGTCTATCCTCGGCATGCCTAGGGCTCATCGAGACAAACCCGCCGCCGGGGATGTCGAGCACAATGCCGGTCTGGTCCCGCAAGGCACTCAAAGGCCCATCAAAGTACAGCCACGCATTCGTGGGTTGGTCATAGATTGACGACGACGGTCGCGGAATGCGAATGGCCCGCGGAGCGTATTGGGTGAGTCGGGGACGCGTCAGGCGCGCTAAGGCCCAGAGATACGGCGTGGTGGCCTTGTTCCACGAGACACGCATGTGGTCCAGCGTGAGGGTCGCCCGGACGCGACGGACCTTCTCGTCGGCGCGCTCCGCGGCGATGAGATAGTAGACGGTGAAGACCAGCGAGGCTATATCCCGCAGCCATTTCGGTTTGACCTTCATCGCGGTCCAGAACCCAGCATCCAAAGCGGTGGCGATCCATGTGGCGCGGAAGAAGGAGCGGGAGTAGAGGTTGGCCAGGGGCTCCGGACATTCCAGGCCGACAATCTTCGCAAAGTTGCGGCTGACATAGAGCCACAGGAAGACAATGACGGTGGTCTGCCAGACGCTGAGCTTTTCCGTGAGGCGGGCGGAGACTTTGCGAACCCCGGGAGGGCCATGCTTGTTTCCTCTACCTCGGTTTAGAGAACCCGGAAGCAATCCGGTGTATGGGATGCGTCATACCTGGAAAGATATAGCGACCAGAAGGCGAAGACGGCCAGGACTTGGATCTTTCGGAACTTGGTGGAGGGTCTTCCCAAGAGGTGATCTAGTGGCTGTGAGGCAGTACTCCCAGGAAGTTGTTGACCCAAGACTACTACTCACCTATCATATTTACTTTACCCCGGAGGATGAGGCTAATAAGCGAGACACGGTTCTAGTAGTGATGCATAGATTCATGCAGTCGAAAGCAGGGAATGCGAGCAGGGGATGCGAGCAGGTTCAGACCAGACCCTGAACATAGCATACGACCAAATGAATGAAAGGAGAGAAGGACAACTGAAGGGGAATCATTGAAGTCGACGCAAGTGAAAGACTGAAAGGCGGGTGAACAATAAGTATGGGGGAATGCCTTGGATTCTTTGGTAGGGGGGGGGGGGGGGTGTCCCAGCAGCCGAGCATGTGAAATCCCCACCAAGGGACCCTTGCCTGCTGGCTGGTCCAGTGACGTCGAGCTGATTCATTATCGCACTGGATCTGCACTTTATGCCGGGGAAGAAAGAAAGTACTAAGTAGTAGTAGTGCAGAAAAGTGCTGCCGAAAGTGTGGTAAAGTAGAGAAAAGATGCAGTCAAAAGATGAATAATGAGTTGGTGTCAGCAGCCCCTGGTGTCTGTCACATGTCAAACCCCTCAGTCCCGTGACCCTCGCAGCAGCAAGAGATCAGCTGCGCCGCCCTCATCTCTCAGTAAGATTGAATCTACTCGATTACTCTCGTATACTCCGTATCATGATTAAGTGGTACCTATAGTCTATAACCTCCGACAATAGTCTCGTCCCCGCGCCACCTGCCAATCACAGAGCCAGACCTCAAATACCATGCTGAGGAACCCCGCAATGCAGACACCCCCCGAATCACTCGCCGTCGTCGCCCCCAGCGAGAACTCCCGATCCTCCACCGGCACCCGGTCGGCGATCTCTGCAAATGTGCTGACATAGACGAGCCCGCCCAGAAGCCCCTCCCAGAAGACAATCGCAAACACCAGCCACACACTGGGGATGAAGTTGAAGAGCGACTGGAGCGTCAAGAGGATCAGATTGACAAACTGCAGGCACGACGGGATGTAGAGGCTGTGCACGCGGATGAAGGGGGTCGACGAGCGCGAGATGAAGACCCCCACTTGGTAGATCGCGTTGTAGGCCGGGTAGAAGGCGCGATAGTGGTCGAACGGGGACTCCTGCACCGGGAACAGCAAAGTCGGCGCGATTCCTTGATTGATCGTATATTCGGCCACGTAGACCAGCAAGAGGGGCAGCATACTATAGGATGCGGTCTGAGTTATGCATGCACTCGCGTGTGGAATCAACCGAAGGGAGAGGGGGGACTCACAATGGGAGGAAAAGGCCCTGGGTGCGCTGGAGATTCTCTTTGAACGCCTGCCATCCCAGCCCGCGACCTTTCGGTTCCTTGGTGGTCTGAACCAAGGCCTCATCGCTCGATGTCTCCAGCAACTGCTCCCGTTCATCAAGGTCTTCATCTCCATCCGCTTCTCGAGACCGGCCAGTTCGCCCGGCCGAGAAGGAGCGCACCGATGACTGCGGGAGAACCGTGAAGAAGCTGAGGACCATCACCGCCGGCAAGCAGGCCGATGCAAGGAGGGTCGCCTTGACGCTGAAGCCAAACGAGGTGGTGGCCAGAGCGTATGCGCCAGCCCCCACCAGACCGGCGGCCCCCGTGCCGCTGCCCCAGGAAGCCAGACTAAACGGCCCATAGTGATGAGTGAGAGCGATGAAGGAGAGCTCGCCCCCTCCGCTTGAAATACTGGACAGGATGATGCCGGCGATCTTAGTGGATATGGAACCGCCCGCAGTATAGGCCGGACTCAGAGCAACGAGCAGCATGCCGGTGGTTGATAAGGTGACGAAGACGAGCACACGCACGGGATACGGCACGACCTGGATGAAGTACGGAGCCACCAGCTTGGTAGTGAACGAGGGGATCACATCGGCGAGCAGCACCACGCCTTTGGGTAGGTCCGGCCCCACGAGATCCAGGGCAGCCGATAGAATAATCACATAGAGGACATTGTTGATCAGCCCTGGCGCGAGGCGATCAGTACGGCCGGTTCTCCCGGGGCAGGGGGCGGGGGGTCAAAGAAGCTAGTTACCAAAGAGCCAAAATGCCACACAGACTCGTGGATCAGCCCCGTGGAAGAGAGCCGCCAGACGTGCTCGAAATTGGGCCCATGACGAAGATGGCGCGCCGGGAAGAGGCAACATTGATGGTCCGCCTTCTCTAGAGGGGGAAGACATAACCATGATCGAGAAGGGGGGGGGGGCTACAGAGAGAGTTGAGTCGAGGTGAAGCAGACAGCAGCAAAAGCAGCAGTCTGTGCCTCAGAGATACGAAAGGGACATTGATGAGTTATAGTAAAATAATCCTATTCTGGCGCAACGGGCATGTCATCGACTGGACATGACGTTGACGATTCAGGGCAGTCGGTGATCCTTGCTGTGCTGCTCCTCCGCACGGGGTCTAGTGTCCACGTGACCAGATAGAGTGTCTTTATAGTAAGGTAGTCCTGAGGATATAAGTTGAAGCCATCGCTGACCATCCAGTATAGACAGTACCGAGTGACAAACTTATCAACTAGAATAGTATACTCAGGCAGGCACACGACCCAGCTATACTAGCACAAGCACTGCAGTACACCATATACACCCACTTACCTGGTCCTACAACCCAGCCAACCAACCAACCAGCCACAGCCCGGCGCTACCGCCACCGCATCACGGGGCATAAGCCGAGTCTCCGAGCCCCGGCTATCGGGACAATCAGGCCTGGCCTTATCGGGAGTTCCATCTCCTTGAATTTCTCTCCGCCTCCGCCTTCCGCCACTCCGCAATCTTCACCTCTACACAGTACGTACACAACTGTGAGGACAGCCACTATTTACTCAATTCCATTGTCTCAAGCCTCCGAGTACTTCTTCTACTATCCTCCAAAGCACAACAATCGCCCTCAAATCCAGCAGACAATCAAAACCACAATGTCCACCATGACCACTCGCCGCCTCCTCTCCAAACTCACGACCACAACCCCAAAACTCGCCTCGAGACGTAACCTCACCAGCACCTCCGCCCTCCTCAACAACATCAACGATTCCCCCTCCTTTCCTTTCAGCCGCGGCCCCTCGCCCCCCCGCCTCCCCAAAGAACAACAAGAGATTTTCGAAGACCTCCAGCGCAAATCCACCGGCGCATTCAGCACCCCGCGCGTGAACCAGTCGCCGGACAGCACTACCACCGCAGAAATCAAAGCGACGGGCAAAGGCGAGGAACTCCACCCGGATATCAAGGCCGGGCTGAAGCCGGAGTTCGAGGGGGAGAAGAATCCCAAGACGGGGGAGATCGGGGGGCCGAAGAATGAGCCGCTGCGGTGGGGGGCGGGGGGCGATTGGAGTTACGGAGGGAGGGTTACGGATTTCTAGTTGGGGAAATCTGTTCTGTGAATGTGGGGGGGAAACGGATATGATGGGAGGAATGCTTGTACAGTAGTGATTATCCTCATATATTGAGTGGGTTGTATGATATTGGAATTGAATTGAAAAGACGTTTGGCCTTGGCGTTGGGTCTGTTTCCTTTTACTAACTCTTGTTGATAATATATGAATTCCTAGCGGTCTGACTTACAATAAAATCCCCCCCCCCCCTCTCTTCAGACTGTTTTCTCTCGAGGCTGAGGCTAGATTCCAAGCAAAAAACCGCTATTTCCCCTCCTCCTTCTCCTTCTCCTCACTCCTCGCCAAAATCGCCTTCCCAGCCCGACTCTCATTGAACCGCCCCAACTCCCCACTAATCCACGCCCCAATCCTCGCCATCTCTTCCAGATCCACCCCGGTATGCATCCCCAGACTATGCACCGTATGCACCAGATCCTCCGTCGAGACATTCCCCGTCGCCCCCTTCGAGTACGGGCAACCCCCGAGTCCACCCACACTACTATCAAAGATCCGGATCCCATGCTCCAGCCCCACAATCGTATTCACCAGCGCCTGCCCGTAGGTGTCATGGAAATGCAGCGCCAAATCCGAGCTGGCGATGCCCGCCGCGCGCAGCGCCTGCAGCAGCTCCATCGTGCGGGGGGCCGTCCCCATGCCCGTCGTGTCCGCGACAGAGACCTCGTCGGCCCCCATCTCCAGCAGCGAGCGCGTGATGTCCGCCACCTTGACAGGGGAGACATCGGGCCCTTCGTACGGGCATCCCAGCGCCACCGAGACGTACCCGCGCACCCGAATGTTGCGCGTCTTGGCCAGCGCCACGACCGGCCGGATGCGCTCCAGCGACTCGTCGATCGTGCAGTTGGTGTTGGCCTTGGAGAAGGCCTCGGTTGCGGCCGCAAACAAGGAGATTTCGGTCGTAGTGGAGGTCTTGGTGGGCGTGTCGGCGGGGACGCCGGTCGTGTCGAGCACTTTGATTAGGTTCTCCAGACCCCGGACGTTGGGGACCAGGTAGTTGTAGGCGATGACGTGCGGGGATGCGGGGGGGGTCTGTAGGAGGTGTTCGCAGATTTCGGCTGTGCTGGCCATCTGGGTCATCACTGTCATCAGATTTGAACCATGATTATCTTTCAGGTCTGGGGGGGGGGGATGCTGGAGTTGGATGTCTCTCCCTGGTGAGCAGAGCGACTGAGTCTTTCTTCCCCTCTGCATTGCACTACTCGGCATACTACCATGTATAAGGACTAAGAAAATACAGCTACATACCTGAGGCACCCATTTAGCAGGGACAAACGATCCCGCCTCGATGGTCGTCACGCCCGTCTTGGCCAGTTTCCCAATCAACTGCAGTTTCGTCTCCAACGGGATGGACTTCTTCTCGTTCTGGAGGCCGTCGCGAGGGCCGACTTCGACGATGCGGACATGGTCCGAGGTTAACCGCGCCTCGGTCGCGAAGCGGCGGCGGCAGGCCGCTGCTGGAGCAGAGCGCAGGACGGAAAAGAGACGCATTCTCGGCGTGAGGACCATGATAGTGATGCTCAGGATGTCAGCAAGTTGTAAACTTGATAAGATGCATTCAGTAGAGGCAAGTGGGAGGAAGTGGGTGTGGTAAGTTACGTTAATAACTATTCCAGAGAAGATGGGGTGATCGCCGATCAAATGCGGAGAAGACGCCGCCCGCTGAAAAGCCCGTGACTGCCCCCCCACTTAGTCAGAATTAAATTATCCTCACCATGCATCGCATCCCATTTGAATGCGAACTAACGGTTGGAACTACAACGTGCGATACTTACAACCACTCCCACATTCATCGGTGTCTGCCCAGCATGGAGGACACGTCTCAACCACCCCCTTCTACCGCGCCTCTGCGCCAACCCAAGAAAAGATTCGTCGGACGACGCACCGCAGACGCCCAAGCACAGAAAGAGGGGTCCAACCCAAGTCCCCAAGATGTCGAATCGACAAGCATACAGAAAGGTACATATATATCCCTGCAACTACCGTCCCCTCCCTTATCTAACAATGTAATCCGCGCGCAAAGCCACCCCCCGCCGTACCCCCCGAACTCTCAACCAAGTGCCCCCCGAGATCCTCGAAGACCCCGACATCCAAGCAGCCATCGCCCTGCTCCCGCGCAACTACTCCTTCGAAATTCCCAAGACAATCCACCGGATCCGCAGCAGCAACGCCAAGCGCATCGCGCTGCAATTCCCCGAGGGTCTCCTCATCTTCGCCACCACCATCTCCGACATCCTCACGCAATTCTGTCCGGGGATCGAAACCCTGATTATGGGCGACGTGACCTACGGCGCCTGCTGCATCGACGACTACACCGCGCGGGCGCTGGGGTGCGATCTGCTCGTGCACTACGCGCACAGCTGCCTGATCCCCGTCGACGTCACGAAGATCAAAACCCTGTACATCTTCGTGGACATCAGCATCGACACCACGCATCTGCTGGCGACCCTGGAGCGCAACTTTCAGCCCGGCAAGACCATCGCCACTGTCGGCACCATCCAGTTCAACGCGACGCTGCACGGTTTGAAACCCGTGCTCGAGAAGGCCGGCTTCCGCGTCCTCATCCCGCAGATCACCCCGCTCTCGAAAGGCGAGATCCTGGGGTGCACGTCCCCGACCCTGGTGGCGGGCGAGGTCGATTATCTGTTGTACTTGGGGGATGGGCGGTTTCATCTCGAGTCGGCGATGATTCATAATCCGGACATTCCGGCGTATCGCTATGATCCGTACTCTCGGGTGCTGTCGCGCGAGAGTTATGAGCATGAGGAGATGCATACTTTGCGCCGTGACGCGATCGCCTCGGCCAGGTCGGCGAAGAAATGGGGAATTATCTTGGGGTCGCTGGGTCGGCAGGGAAATCCAAATACGATGGCGATGATTGAGAATCATTTGAAGAGCAAGGATATTCCCTTCGTGAATCTCCTGCTGAGTGAAATCTTCCCGGGCAAGTTGGGCGCCATGGCCGATGTGGAGTGCTGGGTGCAGATCGCGTGTCCCAGGCTGAGTATTGATTGGGGGTATGCGTTCCCGCGGCCGCTGCTGACGCCGTATGAGGCGTTGATTGCGCTCGGCATCAAAGAGAGTTGGGATACCGCGAATGGTGGCGTGTATCCGATGGACTTTTATGCGAAGGAGGGCTTGGGGAGAACGAAACCCAGTCAGGCGATTATGGCAGGATCGGCGTGATTTTTTCTCCTTTCGGCGTTGTTTTGCATGGTTGCCGATGAGCACTCACGGAGATCTGCTCCTGGCTACAAACCAAAACTCATGATGTATATGAACTAATCTTTGTTGTTGATTTTTGTGCATATTGTTCCTCACAGGAACAACCAAAAGCTTATGATTATAGATAGGATTTTAGAAAGCCAACTTGATATATCACTTTGGGTAAAAAGTCTACATATCGCTCCGTTGGGTGTCTAACATTACATAGAATTCTTTAGGTCGTCATTCGGCACATCATGAGCCTTTGATCTCATCGGCGCTGTCCGTCAAGGGATCGCTGGCACTGCCGCGTCGAAGCGAGAGGATGCTCTTGCTAGCCAGCTCGTCGGCGGTTCGCTCCGCTGCCCGCCATCGTGTAACCGCTTGCTCGACATCTTCAAACATCTCCAATGTGTCCTTGATGATGCCGCCTTCGTCCGGCTCGGGCACCTGTGTGCTTGCGCGGGAGCCATTGTCGCTGATCATGGGGAACCCCGGTCCGAATCCCCGCTGCGGAACAGGGTTGAACATGACCGCGTTCGCAAACATGCGGATCAGCTCCTTCTCCAGCTGAGCCGAGTTGACGATGCCCTTGGGAGGGATGACATCCTCTGTCTTCTGTAGCATCAAGACGGTGTTTTTGGAAGGAGTCCCGGTGCCAGGGGCTGGGGACTCCCCATCGCCCGCCGGTGTGCTAGCAGCTTCAGTAGCCGCAGCGACGGCCTTGCTACCCTGGTACATTACGGACTTGATGGACTTAAGATCCTGCGGTCGATAGATTAGGTCTCGATACCCGGGAGCATCGCGTTCCGCTAATGGCTTGGCAAAGATAGAAGCATGTTTGTGCATGGTAACATCGTTCATGATGGGTGCACCAGTTCGTGGAAAACTGCGCGCACACAGCACATAAGGAGTCGACTGATTAGAGTCGACGCGGCTTAGTTGATTGACTTCAGCCTGTGGAGTATCAGCCTCTTCGCTGGGGGCACGCTTGCGTTTCGGGCGTCCTCGTCCGGGTCGGCTGATGGACGGGCGTTCTGGCTCTGCGCTCTCAGGGAGGCCAGCAGGTGTACTGGGCATCTCATGCTTGACTTTGGCCTGAGATCCGCTTTCCGTGGTTGACTCGTCATCCCGCGACAACACGGACCGCCCGCGACTCCTTGATGATGCCGTACTGCGGTCTCGATCCTTCGGGGTGGGTGGTGTCAACTTGTCCCCCTTTCTCTTCCATCCAACCTTGGTGTCGGTATCGACGGCAGGTTGGCTTGGCTCTGAGCTTGTTGAATGACCCTTGCGATCCGTCCGACGTTTTAAACGACGTGGTTCCGGTTCTTCAGGGGTGGCTTCGCGGGATCCAGGCGGAGAAGGAGCCTTTTCGCTGATGGGACTGATCTCCTCCGGCCGTGGTCGATCTGGTGACCGAGGAGAATCGGGTATGCTCAGACTCAAACGCGGAGTCCTCTTCCAGGGCGTGAGTGAGCCAGTGGTGTCGATGGATGGCCGCAAAGGACGTGAGCCAGGTGGACCTGGGGCCAATGCAGCTCGCCCAGCCCCTACTGGCGTTTGGAAGCCAAGAGCTGGGGCACCCAGAGCGGGTGAGGACGCTGCTACAGGTACTGGGCCCGGAGTTGATAGGAAGGGAGCCGGTGATTGGCCTTGTTGCGTCTTGCTCTCAACGCTTGGTATAGGTTGCTGGAATGATGGAATAGGCTTCTCGAGAGGCTTATTTGACGGCTCAGGCTTGGGCTTGATAAATGAAGGTGTCGGCTGAGGCTGAGGTGTCTGGGGCGGTTGATGTATAGACCATTGTTGGAAGCTCGGCTGAGGTGGAAGACGCTGAGGAGCTGGAGTAGACGCTGTTGCTGACGAGCCCACTCTGGCAGCAGGCTTGCCAGTCGGTGTGAGTTGCTTTGGAGTAGAGACAACGTTTGGTGCGAGGTGTGGCGGCATAGGACTAGACGGTTGTCCAGGACCGAGATTTGAAGGGGTAGTGGTTGGAGTTGAGGGTGGCATTTGTGGCGGTACAAATGATACACCAACTGGCCCGGCCTTCGCAGGAGTGTTCCGGGGCCCGGTGTTGACATGCGCCGCCGGGAATGCCTTGCCATTCGGTGTTTGCGGTTGGGATGGCCGGCCCGTCGCCATCTGCGGGATGGGAGGAGGCTGATGCACTTTCTGCTGCAGTTGTGGTGGAAGCGGCTGGATTGTTCTGGCCGGGTCTTTAGGTGTCTGCCCAGTTGGTTGAGCGGGCAATGACGATGTCTGAGGTGGGTGCGACATAGCTTTTGGCGGTTGCGTAGCCGACTGCAGGTCTTTGGGTTGCGGCGCGGACTGGAGTTGAATCCTGTCCATGCCCGGCAACGGAGCCTTTGCCTGGGTTGAGATGAAAGGAGGTTGCTGAATCGGTCTTTCTTCCTTCCCATCCAGGTCCATTGGTTCTGGCGCAGGTTCCTGCTTCTTCGGGGGTGCAGTTGGCTGCTGTGGTGGGCGCATCACAGGCTCCAACTGTGCTTCACGTTCCTCCTTCTGTAACCGCTCAATCTCATTTCGGATCTCCGTGTATCTCTTCTCCTCGTTCCTGATTTCCCTCGTCACCAGCTCCTTGTACCTAGCGTACAAATGCGACACCAGAGTGGGCATCACACTGGTATGGCTCGAACCCTTCTCGGACACCCCATCTGGCTGTGGACTCATTATTTTACGCTTTTTCGGATTGGTGGGACTTTCGACATGGCGACCATTAGGCTCCTGAGCCGCGCCCGCGCCGGTTGAGTCGACACCATCTCGCATCAGCGTCGCATAGAGGTCCTCGAGGGCTTCCGGGGCGAGTCTCCCGGCATCGAAGTCGGCATTCTGGCGAATGAACGGGTTGTTGCGGAGAACATCGGATATGGACGCGAAACTCGCAGGCCGAGCATCTAAGGTAGCGAGCGACTGGAAGAAGAGAAGCGATTCAAAGGGAGTGTAAGCTGATAGAGGAGGCATCCCCCATTGCCCGTCAGATCGGCCGCCGGGGGAGAGGGATTTGGGAATGGGGGCCACGGTGATAGAGAGCTCGTTGCGTGACAGGTTGGCTCGGCAGGTTAATCCGAACGTTCACAGTCGACCGCGTTGGTAGCTTAGCCCTGTAATAAAGGGCTCTGGGTGGGTGGTACCGAACCCAGATTGATTGGTGCCTTATAAACCAGGCCAGAAATCGTGTGAGCAGGATTGGGGGGGAAGGAAAGAATTAGGGGTGCGGATTGAGACCATCCGCGCAAGGAAGGGAAAGGGGGGGAGAGGGAAGGGAGGAAAGAGTCGAAAAAATTAGGCAGAAAATCCGAGATGGAGACGCGACCGTGTCCAGTCGGGATAGGAAAAGCGTGGAACACGTAGGATTTGGGGGAGAATTTTCGATATATCCTCGACGGATGAGGTACCAAAAAGGCAGCTGGGAAGGAAAAAGGATGACAACGATGGTGGATAAAAAGGAACGGGGATGGAAGGGTTGGTGAGTGGGTGGGTGGGTGGGTGGGATGGTAGGATGGGATGGATGGATGGATGGATGCAATGGAAGGATGTCGCATCACTCACTGCACTCTCTGGTTGTCTGTCTGTCCGTCTTGTCTGTCTTTCTGCCCTCGGACTGAGGCATGCACTGCTGCTCTCCAACCAGGACTCCCGGAGATGGTGTGTGGGTCACGTGGTTCTCGGGAATGGAAGACCTGTTACGTATTGTCGGGGCAACCTACCTGCCACTGTTCAACCTCCAACAATTGTTCAATGGCAACTGCGTTATCGTTGTTCTGATCTTCATCTCAGAGATATGCCTTCCCTGCATCTTTGAAACAGAAGTGTAGTAGACAGAGCATACCAGTAGTGAGGCGTCAACAGCACAACGGATACTCATATACCTTGGATACTTAGGTAGTTCCTCCCCAGTTATACTATCGATAAGACATTTCGATTGGACCAGGCATTTGCTGGCTTATCAACTCTATCGCGCATGAGTTCACAGTAAGATCTTGAGTATACTTACTACTTACCTATCAGTATCAATATCCAGATGTACCAAGCAGTGCACGGTACCTGGCCTGGGCTTCGTAGCGCCCGCCCTGCGATACTAGCGTCGGCCCAGCCCGGGACTCTGCCCTGCACTGCTTCTTCTGGTGAACTGCTTGAAGTCATTCACATACCCTTGCACAGCTACGAGTCTTTCTCAAAGATGGCCTCTATGAATTAGTTGATCTACTGCCATGAGCTTATATTGGCACGAATCAGGTCTCCCCAGCAAACAAAGCCATGCAAGTTTGATCGAGAAGGACGCCATATTCGCTGAAGAGAACACTAGAAAGTGAGACGAATTCGTTGGGTCTATGCACTCGGATACATGCCAATCGTGCTTAGCAGAATATTGGAACCATGATGCCACTTGATCGATCCATCATCAACCATGCACAGGATACAGGTTCGCGGTCTGTTATCGTTCAGCTCTCATCTCTCATCTCTTGAGGAACAAAAAATTTCACGACTTTTCAAGCACAGTGTCACGAACCATCTGACTGAGAAGGATTCCTTACCATCTGATCAAGGACACTGTCCGCAATCACTTCTGAGTGATTTGTACTGACTGACTGAAATGTGAGTATACCCTGATAGTTGACATGCAGCAACCAATATGAAGCCAAGCAAACTCAATCTGCATATGAGTAATAGATACTATGGCAATAGCGGTTCTTCTTGATCCATGCTAGGTTTCTTTCAGGACACTGGTCGGGAAAATGACACCGGTTGTCTTCCATGATCTCAGTCGAACAACGCCGAAGAGCTCTAGATTTCCATGATCTATTTTGAGCATTGCCAACCGGACACTCTAGCGGTCTCCATATCCCAGAGTAAAAGGGGCTGTCACTTCAAGTCTAATCACTATATGTCAATACCGCTGCTTCTCCCCTTGCGAGATGCAGAAGCAACTGTGCGAGCATGGCTGGTAAAGGGGTTGGCGGGGTTGAAGCTGCCGGAAAACTTTCTCATATGGAAGCCAGTATGGGGAAGTTATTTTTACGGCCAGGAGTGACACCGGTTGTAGCATCCAGGAAGATCATCACACACATGCCGCCAACTCCGAGTTTGACCGCTGTCAGGAAGACCGCTTTGTACTGATAGTAGTTGATAGTGTGTGTAGTGATTTGAGAGGAAGTTGTGGCGGTGGCATTAAACTCAAATGGTGGGTGGCAGTACACGCAGGTTAGGGGGGAGGGAGGGGGGAGGAGTAGAGGTCACGTGAAAGGTACGAGCGGGTACAGTCTCCCGCAGTTTCAGGGGAAACTCCATCGCAATCCAACCCGTACGGAGCAATAATGAAACTAAAATTATCAAATCTCACCAACCAGACGCTCAAGACCGACTAGTGGCGAAGACCAACAGGACTATTTACTCACCTTAGTAGTTACCGGTGCCGACCATGCTAACCTTATCCGATCCAACAGAGCACTTCCCAGTCTCATCCAAGCGACTCCTCCTCTGGGTAACTATAGACTGGGGATGAACAGATGAATATCCAGCCCATCCTGGGTGATTCTTGCATGCACCACCACCACCACCACCAATAACTACTGCTTTTGGGAGTATTCCGACGTGCAGAGAGGGTCTTGCATCAGATCGCCTCTCGGACCTCCCTCTCCAGTGCCAGCCATCGTCATGCTGCCGATCGTGCTGTGTGCCCCTGTCAAGTACTTCTATGGTCACTGGATCACTCAAAACTGGTCCTTCCCCCTCCTTCATCCTGCTGACAGTGGGTAGCAAGAGAGGATTCAGCGCTTACAACTTATCTGACCGACTCTTACCTTCCTGGTCAACTGCCCGTCTCGTTCATAGCTCTCTCCCCCATTGGAGAAATTCTTTTGTTCTTCGCCGCTTCTTCGACTCCTCTTTTCTTCTCCCCTCCCCCCCATAATTTAAGGCGCAAGGCCCACCCCGTCCGTGCTATCATATCCACTTCAAACACCCCCTGTCCCGCTCTCGACGCGCGCGCTTTCCAAATAACTCTCCCCTCCAAGGCTCAGCTGCGTTTCGCATACTCCTTTTTCCTTACTTCTCCCACCCTACCCTCCAGTTGCCACAGCCCTCTCGTATCTCGCTCTTCGCAGCAACACCTCCAGCCGATCAGTCGAAACACTCGTATCCAAACCACCAACAATGTCATCGGACTCCGAACAAGAATGGAAGCCCAGCGGTCGCCCTCAGTCGTGCGTACTGCTTTGCGCTCCCCTTTTTGGTCGTAGAATATGGGCGTTAACCCAGCTATCGCAGGACCATGGCACAAGCCTTTTCGACCGCGCTGGATAGCGCCTTCTCCCTGGACACCGATGTCAACCATCTCTCCCAGACAATCGACCAAAAGTAGGTGCCACTCCAGCTCTCGATCGATGTTCATCTCGGGATCTCCTTGATTTGCAGGGGCTCGATTTGAAAACATGACTTCCCAAAAACGTAGGCTGACTGAGCGACGCCACTAGGAAGCTGCAAATGATGATCCAGACCCGCGAGCTCGAACAACTGCAAGCCAAGATCCGCGAAGCCGAAGAACGCCTCAAAGCTCGACAGTCCATGATTATGGAAACCAGAAACCCTGCAGCGCAAAGAGACGGTCGGTTTTACGGAGGCTCAGGTAAATCGAGCCTCTCGATTTATTCTCGGCAAGTCCAACGTCGCTAACATTCATCTTCGCCGATCAGGAAACACATCAGCATCGTCGTCACCCACAGAATCAGCACAGTACTCGAGTGGTGATGAACAGCCGCGACACAGCCAGGGCCGCAGTTCATGACGGGCGACTGGATGAGCCAGCATTGGTACATTAGCATCATATAATTTGGATTATGGTTTCAAGGACAGGAGAACTTGGTGGGGTTTGACTTCACTGCTACAATATTTTATATATCCTTATCGGGCGAGCATGTTTGGGAGAAATTGGGTTTTTCATGTTGCTTTTTTTTTTTTTTATTTCTTTTCTTTTCTGAACTTTGAAGTTCATTTGCACCGGCTACCAAGCTGCTGTTCTGTGCATACTTCGTCGCATGGCGGGGTCCAGCCGATGTCGGGTGCAGTATCTCTTGTTGCTTTGAGTCTATTTTCGCGCTGGGTAGCGTCGATGACCGAGCTGAGCGTGCATGCCACGATCTCACAAGGCTAGTGAGTGAGATGGATGTTTTATATTCTTCTGTGGCGGCGTCAGCTATTTGCTTTTAGCATACTTTGATAGTCAAGAAGTGGGATTTCTTCATGATCTGAATGGTTTGAGAGAGGACGGTTGAGACAGTAGAACCGGATGCTGTGGGATGCAGTTCGTCTTTGAGGGTTACAGCAGGATGGTCTATTTTTAGCCCCAACTGGTTGCACGACATTCGATCGATCAATCGGAAGAATGTGCACCTGGCTAGAATGGAGATTTGCTGTCCTTGTGCGTACTTGGACCATGTAGTTGTACATCTCTTGGAGAATGGAGACTGAGTGAGTGGTCCATGCCTGATGCGATGCGATGCCCGTGTCGATGGATGTCGATCGAGTGCCGCGCCCGACCCGACCGACAGCGCCGATCCACCGCGACAGGAGCGCTTGAACGAGTATTTCTCCCCCAACTCCTCCCTTGTCCTCTAGTCCTTGTTTTTGCTGTGCCTCACTGCCTTATCGCTTCGATATCGCCACATGTTGCCATGCTCGCCAATCATCGAATTTCTCCTTCCCACACGGCACCGTTGATCGTCACGGCGGACTTTTGAACCGTACGGCCCGGTTTTGTCATGGAGAATCCCGATCCTGAGAATATGAGGAGGTGCCTGTGCGTACAGAGTCTAGATGAGAAAGGGGATCTGGCTTGTTTGCTATTGTCCTTTAGATTACAATTTCGACTCAATGATCTTCTGCTGACCAGAAATGGGGGGAATCCAGTTCGTATCATGGATCCATCAATGTTTGACTCTGAATAGAGCATTGCCGAGTCAAATATTCGCTTCGACTGTGTATTCTTCGCTTCTGTGGAATTCTGCTAAAGACAAATGATGTCAGTGCTTTTTTTTTTTCTCTGCCCCAACCTTGGAAAACGCGGGCGAAACCCCAGAAAAAGCGCAAAGAGGCGCCCGAGCGAGGGGCCCAGACTCTGCTGTTAGCCTCTATTACACAGTACTAGTTATCACGAATTCATCACTCTGTGTGTTGTCCTGCAGCAACAAATGATTAGATAGTCGTTTGTTGACCTAATTAGTTCCTAGTAACTTACTAGTAGTCTCCTCAATTTAATATCAGGTCCAGTCAGTACCTTAGTTGCTCGCCCTGAGCTCCCGAAAAGATTCCTTGTTGTTGCTGCTGTTGCTGCTGTTGCTGCCCCTCCCCTCATCATCATCGGCTTTCCTCCTCTTGTCCCTCTCTCCCTCCCTCTCTATCTTTTCACTTACTCCAACTCCGTCATCTTCTCTCTCGACCCATTCCTAATTTATCTCTTCCTTTTTTTTCTTTCTCTCTTCTTCCTCTTTCTCTTCTACTCTCTTCCCCCCTCTCCGTATTCGTTTCTCACTGCCATTTCCCCTTCCGTGGTAGATTCCCCTAATCTACTACTCGTTGGGTGTTCAATCGACGCCACCATGGTTCTCATCGACAAGCATTCCTACGAGTCCCGCGAGGAAAGACGGCTCAAGGAAGATCGTGAGCGCACTCGCTACTGGAAACGTTGGGGTCCCTACGTGGCGGAGAGACAATGGGCTACTGGTATGTGCCTCTATCGATGTGGAGGCTGGGAGATTTCACATGAGCTAACGCAATGACCTCATTATCGTTGCCGCCCCGCAGTTCGCGAAGATTACTCGTAAGTTTTACAAACTGCAACCAGTATCATCAATGGGTCCATGATTGACTGATTTCGTGCCTTTAGTGAAAATGGAGATGCCTGGAGCTGTAAGTTGTGCTCACTGCATCCATAACCACCACTGAGGACACCAAGCTGAACCCGTTTCTAGACTTTTCCCACGACCATGCGCGGTCTCGGACCTATCGCTGGGGTGAGGATGGTATTGCCGGTGTATCCGACACCCACAATCTGCAAAATATCGCTTTTGCCTTCTGGAACGGGAAAGAGTACGTCGTGCTCAATTTGTGATGGCGACGATCATTGCTCACTTTCACTTCTAGCGACTTTCTCAAAGAGCGCCTGTTCGGTCTATCGAACCCCCAGGGAAACCATGGCGAGAGTGTCAAGGAAGCCCATTTTCACCTCGATAACACCCCGACGGTAAGAACTTTCCACTGCCGAGTGGTCGGACCTAGTGGTTTCTAACACGACTGCGCGCTTAGCACTCTTACATGAAATTCCTTTACAAGTACCCTCAGAAGAAGTTCCCTTACGAGGAACTCGTCGAGGAGAACGCGCGGCGGGGAAAGGAGGATCGCGAGTACCAGATCCTCGATACTGATGCCTTTGACGAGAACCGTTACTGGGATATTTTCATTGAAACTGCGAAAGAGGATGAGGATGAGGAAGAACTCCTCTTCCGCATCATCGCTTACAACCGTGGACCTGAGCCAGCACACTTGCACATTATTCCGCATGTGTGGTTCCGCAATACCTGGAAATGGGGCTACGAGGAAAAGACGGAGAAGCCGTCTGTGGAGAAGACTTATCCTTTGATTGCGAAGACCAAGCATCACAAACTCGGCGAGCGCTACGTGCGGTTTTCTCCGTCTCCGTCCGTGACTGGGGAGGAAGATGTGATCCCTAAGTTGCTGTTCACCGAAAACGAGACAAATAACGAATTCCTCTACAAGACCGCGAACGACCAGCCTTATGTTAAAGATGCCTTCCATCGTCACATTGTCAATGGCGAGAAGGGTGCAGTCAATCCGGAAAACAAGGGAACCAAATTTGCTGCCTGGTACGCCTTTGATGAGGGCGAGGGTGTTCCTCCCGGCGAGTGCGTGGTGGTTCGTTTTCGATTCTCTCGCCGCTTGGAACCGTTCATCGATGAAGAGGTGCTGGATGATGTGATCGATCAGCGCAGAAATGAGGCCGATGACTTCTACTACCACATCAGTCCTCTGCCCATGAGTGATGATTTGCGAAACATCCAGAGACAGGCGTTTTCTGGGATGATGTGGAACAAACAGTTTTACCATTTCGTGTGGGACCAGTGGTCAAATGGTGATCCTGCTATGATTCCACCCCCACCCGGCAGGAAGCACGTCCGAAATCAGCAATGGAAACACCTGTACATGGAGGACATTCTGTCCATGCCTGATTCGTGGGAATATCCGTTCTTCGCAGCTTGGGATACTGCGTTCCACTGTATTCCGCTTGCAATGATCGACCCGGAGTTCGCGAAGAAACAGCTGGACATTCTCACTCGCGAGTGGTACATGCATCCCAATGGTCAGCTTGCAGCCTATGAGTGGAACTTTGGAGACGTGAACCCCCCTGTTCATGCATGGGCGACTTTCCGGGTCTTCAAGATTGAGCGTAAGATGTACGGACGGCAAGACCTCGATTTCTTGGAGCGCGTGTTCCAAAAGTTGTTGCTCAATTTCACATGGTGGGTCAACCGAAAGGACTCCGATGGGAAGAATGTCTTTGAGGGTGGCTTCCTGGGTCTGGATAACATCGGACTCTTCAACCGTTCCGAGCCTCTGCCTACCGGTGGTGTGCTGGAGCAGGCGGATAGCACAGGATGGATGGCCTTTTACTGCTTGTGCATGTTGAACATCGCTCTGGAGCTGGCCAAGCATCGGAGGATTTATGAGGATAGTGAGTGGCTCGGCTCCACCTCGCCCATTTGCTGGCTAACAAGTGATGATGACAGTTGCCTCCAAGTTCTTTGAGCACTTTATTCTGATTAGTGATGCGATGACTTTCCGGTCAGGTGGTCAAGAATCATCTCTCTGGAACGAAGAAGACGGGTAAGTGGTATGACACCCGGTAGTCGGAATGATTTACTTAGACTTCACAGGTTCTATTATGATGCGATCTCCTACGGTGACCCCTGGACTCAGCAGCTTCCTGTGCGGTCTCTGGTCGGGTTGATTCCTCTCTATGCCGTTCTTACACTGGAGCCCGAGTTGATCAACAAGTTCCCCTCCTTCAAGAAGCGCTTGGAATGGTTCGTTGAGAACCGCCAGGATGTGGCGGAACGCAACATTGCAAGCATGAAGCACCGCGGTAAAGATGAGCGGCTCCTCCTGGCACTGGTGAGCAGAGACCGCTTGGAGAAGATTCTCAAGCGCATGTTGGACGAGACCGAATTCTTGTCGGAGCACGGCATCCGGTCCATGTCCAAGTATCATGGGGAGCACCCCTACTCGATGGATGTTAACGGCCAGACGTTCCGAGTCAGCTATGTCCCAGGAGACTCAGACAGCGGGCTATTCGGAGGTAACAGCAACTGGCGTGGACCGGTATGGCTGTGCGTCAACTTCCTGCTCGTCGAGTCGTTGTTGCGTTTCTACATGTTCTATGGCGATTCCTTCAAGGTCGAATGTCCGACCGGCTCCGGCGAGTACATGCATCTCGGCCACGTCGCTGAAGAAATCCAGCACCGGCTGCAGCATCTGTTTGCGCGGAACGACGAAGGCCGCCGCGCGGTGCACGACGGATCCGATCTTCTCGACTTTGACGAGCACTGGAAGGATTACATGTGGTTCCATGAGTTCTTTGATGGAGACACTGGGCGCGGTCTCGGAGCATCTCACCAGTGTGGATGGACTGGATTGATCGCCAAAATCATTCATGACACAGGGTACGTCCCATCCATGCTTTATCGCTTCGTAATGTTCCACCAGCTGACCAAACTACTAGTATCAACTGCCGTCTTCCCCAGACGCCCCGCACCCCGCATGCAGCAGCATCGCACTACTTTGACGATGTCTTCACGCGATTCTCCCGTCCACGGGGCAGCCGTCGTCCCAGCGTGCGCCGTTCGTCCACCACCCGGTCGATCGGCAACCGGAGCGACTTCGAGTCCACTCTGTCGGGGCGCGAGACCCCGGCGCCTGAGACTGTCCTTGACGAAGACGACAGCAAAGTTGAGACCGACCTCCAGAACGAGCACGTCCACAAATACGTCGAAAGCCAGCTACAGCGCGTACGAAGCCAAGCCTCGATTGGGGCGTACGAGGATGAGTTTGAGACGCAGGCGGACCATGCCCCTAATGGACATTGATATTGTGTATGAGGAGGTGTGAAATCGGAGGAATGGTTAGAGTAGATATTTGTCACACCAGTGTTTCATTGGAGAATGTTAGAAGCGGATATGTAGCTGTGGAATATTTAGAGCGATCATGGTAATTTTTGAATGCATTTGGTTGAGATGAGCGATGAACGTCTGCTGGGTGCTAAATTGTTATGCACTGCACTGATGGTACTGATGGTATCTGACTGACTGCCGGCTGTTGTGGTATACATATTCCGAAGGACATGCTGGTGAAATAGATCACCGTCAATCTGCAGTGGCACTGATAAGTAAGTTACTTGCCTTAATCATCGGAATCCTCCCCATGCTCGAATTATCAACTGGAATACGAACACATACACGCCTTCCACTCCGCACCTGAACAAGGAACATCATCATGCATATCACGCAGGATACACTGCAGCACCAAATGCATCCTTGACTAGCTTCAACCTAGTTTTACAGTACAATATATATACCTACAGTACAGGACCTATGTATGTATGTATGTATGTATGTATGTATGTAGATCTGATTTTGGTATTGTAAGTAGGGATTTTGAATATTGTCAATACTAATCAATCAGACGGGTTGACCTTCAATAATCGCTACTAAGTCCAATTTTAGTTGAGTCTTGTATGCCAACTTAACAACTAATCATCATACCAATCTGGCGTGTAAACTCATCAGATGATGGAATAAGGAAATGTAACTATATGTAGTAGTACTATATGTACATATCAGTCTGTAATATATATCTGTGCATCGATCCATTAAACTTCAAATTAGTCAATAACGATAAGACGAGAGAAAGTGCAGTGAAATTTCACGAGCAGATATGAAAGTCTTCAGTACATGGCATGGGGGGATTTGAAGCTTGAGACTCGGCTTACTGTGTATCATGCCAGATGCTGCTAGTAGGTCTAACCTGTTTGAAAGCAATCAGGTTTTTCGGGCAGTGTGCCGTCGAAGGACTCCCGCTCCAGGAACTTCCTTGTTTATCTGTAGCTGAAGCGTGAGATAACCCAAATATCCGCCGATCACAACACAAACACAGACCTACGGCCTACATCTCTACATCTCAGATAAAACCCCTCTTCTCCCCTCACCTGGACCAAATCGCTAATAGCGCACCGATCCAGACAAAAGTTCTAAGCAACCCAGAAGAAAGAAAGAGATAGCGTGGAACGTGTTTAAGTTAGGATACATTTATCTGACGAATTTATAGGAGAAAGAGAAGGGGGTGGTTTAGACGGGAGGGAACGGGTTTGTAGGGATGGGAAAAGGGGATATAGTTATGTGCTGATGGAAGGATTTTCCTCGGGGACAAGACACCAAGTCATCCTAGTCAACAACAATTCGAATTTTCTTCATGTTCCGAGAAAGAAATTTACAAAGCATCGGTGAGGGCCTTGTTGAGCTTAGCGATCTTGGAGGAAACGCTGAGGTCAATGGTGCGGTCACCGATTTCGACGACGAGTCCGCCGATCAGGTCGGGGTTGACCTATTCCTTATGTCAGTATGTACCGCTGGTTGAGGGATAAAAGAGGCAGTACCTTGGAGACAACCTTGAGCTTCTTGCCCTGGCTGAACTCGGACTTGGAGACGGCCTTCTCAAGACGGTTGAGGGTCTTGGTATCGAGCTCCTATCCATTGGGTTAGTGTTCCGTCTTTCTGTGTCTGATTCATAATCCAAGATGACTCAAGGAAAGGCAACGCACCTGAGCGCTGGTGATGCTCAGCTCAATCTCACCACGGTGAGCGCCCATGAGGGTAGCGAACTTCTCGCAGACACCCTCCAGCAGACCCAGACGGTTGTTCTCGGCCAGAGTGGCCAGGAAGTTCTTGAGGATCTCGGCCTTGTCGGCGCCGCCGGCCACCTTCTGCAGCTCCTGGACAATCTGCTGCTTGTCGGCGACGGAGAGGGTAGGGGCGTTGAGGATCTCGGTCAACTTGCGGTCGGCCTTGAGGGTCTGGCTCAGGTTGCCCAGGGCCTTGGCGGTCTGCTCCAGAGCGGCGGACTTGGCCGAGGCAGTGTACTGTTGCAAGGGGTAAATTGGGTCAGCGGATCGATCCTGAAGAACCAGATTTGTTCTGTAACCAAGCTGAGGAGTAGTTTTTATGAGTGGTAGGAGAAGGGCAGGGTTTTTTGAAGCAATTGTCGCTGATGTGGTTTCCTCCCTTGGTTCGGTGAGTGCCGTCCGAGTCGTATGTTTGCGCAGAAGTTCGAGTGACCAATCTATCCATGTTGTTGGTGTTCGGTGTTGACTCTTTCGCCCTCAACTGTAGTCGAGTTGGAAAGGGCGCGCGCACAGCCCGTTGTTCCGAGTGCGGAGGAAACATCACAGCAACGAAGTGGTTCAAACCCCAACCCATTCTCCATCCCACCCACAGAAACCGTACTTATATTGCATATGCATACCAGAGCAGTGGCATAGGTGCCGTCAACGCCGAAGAGGGACACCGGGGGCTTGACCTCCTGGGCCGGGGTGGCATAGGTGCGAAGACCGTTGAGGGCGGCAGTGCGAGGAACGGTGAACTGCTGGGCGGAGGCACGGAGGCCGACACGGGCGAGACGAACGGAGAACATGGTGAGCGATTGAAGATGACCTCGAGGGGGGGGCGGGGAGAAGCCGGGGTGGAGAGGATGCGAGAGAGAAAGTAGAGGTTCGTCGATGGACTTGCTCTGGGATGGCGTCTCGAGGTTCGGGCCAAGTTCAGTTCCTGCCGGCTAGGGTGGTCACGTGAGCTCCCGCACACGCCGGGTTTTCGGCTATTCTTCGTCACTATAACCAAGTAACTACTGCGGAGTACTCTTTAACCATATTCTCTTATTCTGTGCAGCACATCAGCCGTGGCTGGTAGGCGGGGGGACATAATTGAAATCCTGCCTGATCTCATACACAAATTACACACGAGAACGAAATAGAAGAAAAGGCGGCAATGCCATAAGATCGATATTCTCCAGCAAACCAGAACAACGCCGGACGGCCTCTACGGGCTCCGAAATGTACCCTTTTACGAATGTGCCTTGACACCAGAACGCCTAAGTCCCGCCGTCATCCTCTCGTGTTTCCGAACATCCGCGCATCAGTCACTGCGCAGCATACTGTCCACCAGATCGCCCAAAGGCCCCCAGAAATCCTTCCCACTCGCCAAGCGATGCTCGTCGATGAAAAGTACGTAATGTTTGAAGCTGGTGTTCAGGTGCGGTTCGAGGCCGAGATGCACAACCACCGGGTAGTGGTGACAGTAAATGTGAGCATACACCCGGTACATGCGCTTGTAGATCTGTCGCACCAGACTGGGGAACGCTTTGGGGAATGGGACACCTGTCGTGGTTTCCACATGTTAGCGCCACGCTTATATCGTCATTCGCAACGTAGCGAAAAAAAGAGAGCCGACAAAATTGTCCCTCCGTGGCTAGGCAGCACGTACCCAGTCTGCTTGGAAAGATCTGTTCGTTGTCGACACTGCTCTGCACCCAGCTCATCAAATGCTCGATATACTCGGGCGCTGACATCTTGGTCGGTCGCTTGAAGTTCTCCGAATCCTGCCAGAGGTACTCGAACCTATCGCGCATCTCCGCGTCAGCTCTGGATTCACCCCACAAATAGTCTGGGGTCTTCATACTCATCGGTCGCTTTCATTTCCGGGCATGATTGCGGCGAGCAGAATTCTGTAATCGCGCCATACAGTAGATTAATCTGGTTGTAGAAGTCGACAACTGCGAGGACAACAGCAGGTTTGCATCAGTACAAAGGTCCTCCTCCCGCAGTTACAAATATGCCGCCTAGTTGGTGTATGTAGTACCTACCGTTCACAGCCAACCATTCATTCAGGTCTTCACCCTCGGGCAGTTTCACAGCTTTTCTCAGACTGCCGCTGCCGAGCGTCGCTTCCGCAAATTGTCGCAATTGGTAACTGGTGGTGCCCTTGGCGGCCGACCGCGGCTTGAAGGGCGCGCGAGTGCGGGCATTGCTGAGAGGTGTTAGTCCACAGGGATCATTTTTCAGCGCCAACACCGCCGGAGACAGGTACGAGGGTGGTTCAGAGAGCGGAGCGCGGGAGGTATGAACGGTATTGTGGGGGTAGACAGAAGGGACAAGAGGAAGAGGGGGTAGAGGGCGCCGAGAAGCCGTCGGCGTCGGCTGGGCAGCAGATGAACCAGCAGAGGGCCGGGGGTGGATGGGGACAGACATTGTGGTGATGAAGGATGCCATCGCCCTCGTTCGAAACTGAAGAGGTTCTCTCTCGGGCCAGATAAAGACTGCGCCGACTGTTTTGACCGTCGGAAGCCGGAGGACTGCCTGGAATTGTTGCTTCGGTGGCGGACGGGATCTATGGTGTTGGTGGGAGCAGAATGCGCCTACATTCCCATGCCAGACAGTTAGTGATTGCGCATGGGGATGGAGGGGGTGTTTCTCACTGGCTCGGGCAAGGGTTCCGGGTCTGGAGCGCAAGAGTCCCTCGCAGGCGCGGTCAAGGCGAGATTGTGGGCGTGTGAGCTTGAATGCGTGACAAGTGGGCGAGAATGAGAGGGTAGGAGGAATGGGGAAGAGGAACAGTAAGAGAAACAGTAAAGAGTAAGTAAGAAAAGAAGGAGGAAGAGGAGAAGAAGAAGAAGGAGGATCAGCGATTCGATCCGGACCCGACCAGATCGGATGAGGCGCAACCCACTACTAATAAGTAGGTAGGTATAAATTGGCTGCAGGGGAGCGTGCGCATGGATTGACTAACTTAGACTACGGCATAGATATTGACTACACTACCTTCTTTCGACTAAATCTATACAACACTATCTATAGATTGCAAAAGTAGACTACTAGTTATGTACTACTACCAACGACTGACTTGCTCCACGCTTCCCACCAGCTGAACCATGGATGCTGCAGTCTCCCAACTCCCAAGTAGTCAAACGCCCCGTCCGTTGCCCCGGTGATCCCATCGGGCCGCAAGGAAATGCTCATTATAATGAGCTTGCAGGGAAGATTCCTCCCATTACGTCGTTTGGGTCTAAGGAGAATCTCGCAATCCTAAAGGGCGACGTCATACAATCATGGAATTTTCTCATCTGGTGGTCACTAGAGCTTATTTCAGATAGCGTATCCTTCATTTTCTTCTGGCAGCCGTTCTCGGACCGTCTCTCCGTAGATCGTGATCGGAATGGCAATCTCAAAGGACTCGCACCCAAGATTTTCCAAGGCGGACATGATCTGTCCGCGCTCGTCTTCAGATACCACCTCTAACAACCGCGATCCCGACGGCGCTAACCCATCGGGCGCGTTGCTGGTGACGAACTCAAAACGAAGTTCCCATTCATGATTTACTCCTGTGGTCAGGATCGTGGGTGTCGCGGAGACCGGAATCGCCGGACTGAAGACCACGCGCGTCGCATAGAGCGTGTTTTCAAAATACGAGGCATGGACCTTGCGAGTCGCACGACGGATGCTCGCATTCGATCGAAGGGCCAGACCCGGGGCAACCCGCTCAGAACTCTCCAGGGTGGCTCGTAGAGCGAAGCAAGGAACTGCAGCATCCGTAAAGTTGACGGTCGCTATGATTGTCTCGCCTAGTCGATGGGCTGGGCGATTCAGTACAACCACCGCAATTCGACGCCCATTGCGGGCGATCTCGAACCGATTGGGGCTACGAGAAGTGTTGAGCGCTTGATTGCTCCGAAGGATGGCGAGATCGATCGCATCCTTGCAGGACAGTCGGCCGGCTGCCGGATCGTAACTTGCTCGTTGCTCTGAAGAAGCTCCGGGTGGGTGCAGCGAGTTGTTACGGGAGGCTTTTTCAAGGATATCGTCCACGTATGACAGGAATTCCGGGGCCGACGTCCAAGTGGGCCCGCTAATGCTTTTGGACTTCACAATTGGGGCTGGATTCGTGCCAACTCTCTGTACCCGGGCTTCGTCCCGGAGCAGTACATACGGGCTCATCAAATCATGGCCCATGATATCTCCTTTCCCTGCAACAAAAGTCAACTCCCCGGTTCCTGATTTCTTGGTGCATCGCACTTACCGTTCACCCCGCTAAATACACGGAAAGGTATGCTGATGCGATTTACCCGCTGCGGCTCGTTACGACTACTCGGCCTTTGCGTGCCGATGACCAGGTTGTAGGATATCTTGATCGCTTTGCCCTTATGACTGGCTGGCAGGCCGCTCGGCAGAGTGAATGAGAATGAGTAAGATTGCTCCTCTCCAGGCGCCAGTCGCAAATCCACAAAAAGAAGCGACTGCGTGGTGGAAAGTAGGGGTATCGAGCGGGATGACGAGACGCCCCGCATATCCCGCAAGCCATCCAGTTCGTTGTTTGAGAGGAGGCCACTGAGAGACTCCTCAATTGCGTTCCACTTGAAAGCACCCCAGAAGCCACCACTTTTACGACTCTTCTCTTCGTTTGCGGCCGACTTCCCACTGGCCATAGCAGCTCCGCTTCCCAATCCCCCGACCACACCTTTCCGCTTGACTTCCTCGAAGTACGACTGGTGAATCAGAGAACCGTCCACTGTAAACGAAGCGCTGATCTGCGCATAGCCCATGAGCAGTGTCTGGCTGTGAGGTGAAAGCCCCGGCGATTCCATGCTAGACACATGTCGTGCATGACGCGAGACGATAGGCGGGCGCGGCACTGTTGCGGAGTAGTTTGTGTACTCAGATTGCAGAGTCTCCGAGGAATTGTCGCTGATTGAGTTGAAATCTCCGCTACTTCTGTGGCTCCCAGCCAGGCTGGAAGTTGACATGATCTTTGTGAGTTGCGGCAGATGAGCTGGCGCCGTGAATACTGGCGGCTCTTTCCCATGGAGCTTAGGTGCAGCGGGGTCCTCTTCGATTGGGGATGTTAACGTTGATACGCCTGTATAGCTATTCGTATCGGCTGCCGGTGACGGCGGGAATTTGAACTCTATCGGTGATAGTGGAGGGCGACGCGCGGGCGTACGAGGGGGCTCAATTGCTCGATTAGGATTATAAATGTTCGAACCTCGACGACTGGTGTCATCCGGACCGTCGATGTCGATTCGGGGGTTCCCGGTAGATGTATGAATCGGAGACTCTGTAGGTAGGAAGCTGCGAACGGGACTGCGTCCACCTGCAACTAGAAGCTCTCAGCATTGCACTTATGACTTTCTAACAGTATCAAGTACCTTTTGGTGATTGATCCTCATATGCTTCATATCTCCTTGGCAAGACTTGTAAACTCGCCGCGCGTCCATGGCCCCTCGGTCGTGGCCGGCTGAATTGTGATGATGTTCGGGGTGTTGGCTCGCCGGTGCCTTCGCTATCAATGGAGAGTATAGAGACTGATCTTTTATGCTTGCCGTTGGCGGCTGAGCTATTACGAGGCGTGGACGGAGGCGGGAAGCTGTGTGAACCGATCAACGGCGAGCTCACCGAGGAAGAAAGGCGGTGCGACGGACTTTTCTTAGTTGCCGTTGAGTAGGATCGGCGGTGCGGACTGAAGAAGAATTTCTGAGGCGATTTCAGCGAGAAGAATGATTCGGAATGGGTGCTTGTAGCTCGAGATGTTTGTCTGTGATGTGAGTTCGGACCCCCATGACGGGGTTCCACGTTCGTCTCCGCGACGTTCTTGAAGGTGATTGTGCATTCCACATCTTCCCCCGCAAATATAGTCTGGTCTTTCCACTTCACGAAGACTTGGATGTCTGATGGCATGGCGGCGACCGCCAGATTCCCATGTGGCTGTGGGTGGGTGCGCGCAATTAGAATCAGAAGGAGGAAGCTCGGGGTAGTGGGTTGGTGGGTACCAGCCGCCACCTAAAGGGAAGAAACTCCGGGATTAACGTGCCGGGAAAGATATGGTACCCGTGAGTGATGATCTGATGTTCACCAACTAGGGCAATGTGTCAGATTGCAGAGGACATAGTGGTTGAAGGGTGGATGGAAGAAAAGAAAGGAAGTGGGTGAGCTTAGCCCAGCGATCCGGTCCGGTCCATAAGGTTCCTGGCGGCGGCGGCGGAGGAGGAGGAGGAGACGGAGGTCTAGCCTAAGCAAGTCCCTGGAAAGTGTACATACGCATCCATGTGGTCGCTCTGCCCGACCTTAGTTCTTAGACCTGTGACAATTAAACATGCGCAACGTGCAAGCAGAAAATCTCAACCTCGGCATCAATTGAATGTCGACTATCATCACTGCACTCGTGGGGTTGCCAATTCAATACATTTCCACCTATTGTTTAGAGCGAGCTTGAATCACTAAGAGCATATGCGCTATGAAAGATGATATATCCTTCAGTTCATGTTTAGAAAGATAAATTAACGCTCATTCATGCGCCGCCTTTGTCTCAACCCTGATTATACATGATGCAATGCTATGATACAGTATTGGACCTCAACAATTCACAGCAAGTTTCCCTATGGCTTGTCATCCTCGGCCTTGGGTTCGTAGAGGAGATTTTGTGAGTCTTGGTATTTCTCTGTGGCCTTCGTTCTCGGTCGTAGGCCAAGCTCGGCCATGTGAGCCCAGATACGATCGTGTCGTCTCTCCCATCGTTTACGCCGATCTTCCATTTCCGTCTCTGATGCCCGCCATTTGCTCTTCAAGATCCGTCTGATGGCCTCTGGCGAGACCTTGAACTGCTCCGCGAGGACAGGAGTTGTGAACTGGTCTGGTGCCATTTGGTGCAAGTGTCGAATTCCTTCCATCGCGTCGGGAGAAAGCTTCTTAGGTGGATTCCATCCTTCTTTGAATTTTTCTTTCAGAGCGGCTTTCTGTATTTGCCAATGTTCCTTCTTCTTGGGTGGACCCGTGCTTTTGATAGCATCCCTCCACGTCTTTGGTTTCGCTTCCGAGGACTTTGGTTTCTCTTCCGTGCCGTTTGATTCTGGTTGGTCGCCGCGTGCATCGCTTTTGTTGCGGGTACCCTTCGTTGTCTCTCGACCGGTCTTGCCGGTGTGCACCCGTCGTTTGGAATAGGGTCGCTTGTTCTTGAAGGAAGACTCTGATGCGTTTACGTCGGACGCGGAATGATCTGTGGTTCGGTCGCCACTTTCATTCTTTGCCGACGGAATCGCAGAAGTTTTGTCATTTTCATTCGGAATGTTATCGGGTATATCGCTAGACGAAAGCAGAATTGAAGACTGATGTATTTGGACTTGGTGGGTGGTGCTGAAATCGCGTTGAGCGCCGGGTCTGCGATAGGCCAAAGGCCTTATCAAGACTGATCTCCGAGGCTCGGAAAGACGATGGGCAGAGGTAGCAAGGTCTGACTGAAAGACTTCACGAAGCAGAGATGAGAGCGGCGTTCGGGTCGAAGATGCTCCTAGATACCACATGATGATGGCTGGCTTTGGATGGCTTGCGAAGATTGACGAAGGCAAAAAAAAAAGCAACCAGAGAAAATGATTGTTGCGCACATGAAAATCCCGTGGGAGACTTCATAGAAAACGAGGCTAGAACAAGTTACGCTCCCGCGGGTCATGTGACGGGCCAGCATACAACCACTGACTCAGTATTGACCATCCACCATCCACTCTCCACTCTCCATCTACGGAGTACACTGTCCGGAAGACAAGCAGTCTGGAGAGTCCCATAATTCTAAGCTCCCATGAACCTGAAATTTGCCCACCCCTCAGACTATAATGACTGACTCACCAGCGACAAGCAAAGAATATGCGATATGTGCGAATCAGCAGACCCCTTGATTCAGAGCGGAGTTCATACTCCTTGTCAGTGGTCCTGAGGACAACAAAGACTGCCTCGCAGCCTGCAGGATCCGAAACCTAGCCAGCGCATCTCAGCCAGTGCAGTGTGACAAAAAGTGAAGCAGAAATTCAATCTCGAAAAGATAACAGTATGCGTCATGCTACCCAGCTCCAGCGTGAAGCAAGCAATGTTCTTCGACGGTAGCGCAGCAATGGATGATTCGACCACTCAACTCAATATGTTCACTTATAGAGCAAGACCATGGTACTGCATATCTAGGATAGGAAGCTCCGTATTTCCTGTCCATTGGCTTCCTTCCCCTCGAACATTGAAGGTTAACAGCTCACGACAACCCCGAATGAAAGGATGAATTGGGTGCTGAAGTCAGAAAGGGCGCCATTCCCAAGGGTGGATGTTCTCCCCCCACAGGCCGGGGCCACTAAACGTCTGCCCTGTGGACATGAATAGATGTGATCTCCCCGCTTGCCTATCGCTTAGGTGTCGACTCTCGTCTGAAATAGATCCCTTAGGTCCAGTGCCTTGGACGGCAAGGAACCACTCATCAAACGGGCCTTCTGTCTTCATACATACTGCCTCCTACTCCTTTCCTCATTGCTGCAGGTCCCGGACGATCAGACGACGGAGAGATCGCCCATCGCCGGGCGCTCATTTTAGCTTCCCGCGCTAACAACCCAAGGGTTCGTCCGTCATTTTTCGGCTCTCCGCTCGGCGTGGAAAGAGGAGCTACAGTGTTTACCCTGCCTCACATTCTTCTTCCTGTTCGATCCTCAATTCAGCTATTCTCACTCTTTCTCTCCTCTCTTCAGTCGTTTGTTCAAAAATTTTTTCCCTTTCTTCTATTATTCTTAGCTTCTTAATACCTTACTTTCTTCTTGTCGCTCTTTTATTGACCGTTTAGACCGTGGCTTGATCGTGACTTGTTCGCCCCTTCGTTCCCTCCAAGCTCCGCCGCCGCCGCCTTTGATTTCCCCTCCTCTCCAGCCTCTGCGCACCCGACCACTTGCTCCGACCAATCTTTGTGCCTCGCTTCTTCAACTCGAGACGTTCTCGCATTGACAAAATCTATTGTTTGCACGGTATCCGGCACGGAAGGAGGCTTCAGCCAGATTATCCCTCCTTCCCCTCAACTTGAGGCTCCTTCCTCGTAGCATGGTACGACTTGCCGTCTTCAAGCGAGATTACACACGCACACACATCTTCTGAACATACTCGGTCTGAAACTGTCGATGTACTCAGAATACTTCCTTTGTTTCCGGAGCATTTCACCATAATTATTTCCAAAGCCGTCGCCAAACGCCATGGCCTATAACTCTCTGAGTGCGAAGAGCAAGACCAACCCGGGGTCGTCCTTCCGCTTAACCCCAACAAGTTCACCTATCCTCAGACCCTCCACGCGCTCTTCGATGCACAAAGCACCAACACAGCAAGCTGTTTTAAGTCTTCAGACGGTTATTGGCACTACCACCAATTCGCCCAACGGCTTCTCTAGTCATGCGGGGAGTAATTCCTTTGCTATCTGCGCCGGGTCGACCGTGGTCCTAGCAGAGCTCGATGAACAAAATACCCTTCAGCAACGCTTCTTCAGGGCGCGACCTTCTGTAACTAGTGTTAACCCTGTTACATCCTACTATAATACTTCTACCCCACCTACTACTCCTGACGGCAGAGCCAAGACGCCGTCAGGCCCAAAATCTGCAGCACAGAGCATCGTACATAACGGCACCCCAAACAGTGAGCTGGTGGACAGCAACAGCTCACGTGGATGGTCATCTCGTGAACGAGTAAAAGCAGTTACCAGCGTCGCCATCAGCTCACACGGAGGGTTGCTAGCAGTAGGCGAGGTATGTCATACGTTTCTCCAGCGGTAAAGGTGCCAATGCTGATATAATTCAGACGGGGTATGGTCCGAGAGTCCTGATTTACTCAACCGCCAAAGGCGCCTCTTGTGATGTTCCGTTATCGATTTTGACCGAACATACGTTCGGAGTGCGTGCACTGTCATTCAGCCCAGATTCGCAATATCTTGCCACCCTTGGTGATGTCAATGATGGATTTTTGTTTGTTTGGGCTGTCAATCCAAAAACCGGATTAGCCAGGCTTCATTCCACTAACAAATGCACTTCCTTCATTCGCGACATGGCATGGGTCGGGCAGACTCTGGTCACGTAAGTCACCTCATGCTTGGCCCCTATTGAGTCAAATATTAAGATTTAATTCAGGGTAGGGATCCGACACGTGAAGGTTTGGCGGCTGCCAGACGTGAGACCGGGATCTCCGAAGTCCCGGCTCATTGCCGACTCTTGTGCTAGTTCATCTAATCATACGCCGAAAGCTCTTTCCGGAAGAAATTGCCTGTTGGGATCGCTGGCAGAAAGCACGTTCACCAGCGTGATCAGCATTTCCGACTGCGAATCGGTAGTGGGCACAGATACCGGGGCTCTTTGTTTCCTGGATCATAATGAGGGGGCACAGAAACTGTCTGTTGCTCATTACTTTGATTATGCTATTTCGTCACTAGCAGTAGATATGGACAACTCATGTCTCTGGGTTGGTGGCCGTGGCGGACGAATTCAGTGCATGAGTCTGGAGAAGTTGAGGTCATTGATCGTTCCATCCTCTCCTGCGTCTTCTGGTAGATCTTCGGTGGAGCTGAGCTCAAAGGGACCTACCATCACATGCATGGGATGCCTTGGTCCCAACTTGGTGGCTGTTGACGCTAGCAACACCATCAACATTTTCTCAATCGATGAGTTGGGCGTTGATGTGGATGTCAATAGTACTGAATTGGGAAACACTCTTTCCGCTCACAAAGATGCCGTTCTTGGTATAAGTCCGCTCTCGACCCCCAACCTTCTTGAAGCCGAGTTCTATACCTGGTCCCGCAATGGAATAGTGAAATTCTGGGACGGTAGAGGCAAGTGCCGGGATTCGCGTTCGATTGTTCTTGAGCACTCTTCCGGAGTCAATGAGGATACCCCCAACGAGCTGAAAGTCTTACACGCTATTGAGAATATGGACTATTTTGTATCTGGAGACAGATGTGGTGTCCTGAGGTATTATGAAGACCCTATTTGACGATTGTCCTCTTCTCGCTAACCCTCCAAATGCTAGACTCTGGCAGAATCAGCCGTGGAAGTGCATTCAAGAAGTTCGAGCTCACGCTGGGGAGATCACTGACATCGCTATGCATTTCACCTCCCAAGGTCTTCTAATCGCTAGCTCCAGCCGCGATCGCACAGTACAATTGTTTGTATGGGCCAATGATAGCCTGGACTTGATTCAGACCATGGACGACCATGTTGGAGCTGTCAGCCACATTATTTTTATCGATGATGGGAAGAGACTGTTGTCTTGCTCCGCTGATCGTACCATTCAAATCAGAGAGAGCGTGAGCCGGGAGGCTCACGGCACGTCTATGTTTGCTTATTTGGTCTCTAAAGTGATAACACTGAAGGCATCGCCTGTATCCATGGCACTACTACCGGGAAACGAGAATACTCTTATCGTTTCTACAACGGATCGCTACATTCAACGCATTGACCTGAGTTCTGGTCGACAAACCCATTGTTTCCGCGCTACTGACGCTGATTCAGCCGATACAGTGGTCCTGAATTCTCTAACTGTATCTGCTGAGACGTTGGGTCATGATTCTCCTAGAATGCTCGTTGGGGTGTCGGCATCCGACAAGTCTATCCGGGTATATGATTTGGACAGAGGTGTCCTTCTCGCAGCTGAGTTTGGACACACTGAGGGCGTCAGTGATGTGTGTCTGCTATCGAGGAGCTCAAACTCAACCAGTCAGATGAAAGAGTTCTCTCTTGTTAGCTCTGGGAATGATGGTCTCGTTATGTTATGGGATTTGTCGCTGCTCACTCAAGGATCTCGAGATTCCGTGCACCTTGGTAACAGTGAGGAGGATGATTCCCCAGCGAAAACCTCCACAGTCGCCAGACCTCCTTTACGCAAAGTCTTGTCCAGGAGCGACATTGCTGGGTTTCAGCGACAGGAGAATGTAGCGATCACGCCAACGCCTGCGCGTGGACATTCTCCGACATTCCTACGTAAATTCGCCAAATTAACTCTTTCGCCTTCCATGAGATCTGGAAGCCTTTCTCCAACAACACCATCAGCGACGCCCAGTCGCCAGTCTCCTACATCCAGCACTCACCGAGACAAGGGCCATGCATCACCCTCATTGTGCAAGCAAAAGCCTCCTAGTGCTAAGAAGGCCGTGTGTAGCCGAAAAGAATCTCGTCGTTCATCTATGGACTTTCGCGCTCGAGCAAGAAGCATGGGGAAAAGCGATCTTGGGACTCTTGACACGTCCACTGAGCAGGTGTGTCGCACATTGAAGGCTTATCGGAAGAAGCTCAACAATTCGACGGATTATTTCCATGCTCATAAGGACTTGGAGAGAGAGCTTGAGCTTACGCTGCGTGCCTTGAGGTCTCGGAATCCAGCATCCGGGACTCTTGAGAATGATACTGATAGCAGCGGGAAGGAAAACCAAAAGACGTCTAGCGTTGGCGAGCTCCATGGAGATTCATACGGCACTGGGCCTTTGCAGTCAATGCCAGAAATTCGACGAACGGAGTCTTCCGCACCTTCGGAGATCTCTTCCCTCGTCCTGAACGGCGAGGACTGAACGACGAGAGCCTATTGGCAGGCCATTGCTCTCTCCCGTCGCATTTCGTCGCATTCAAACTTTTTTGTCTTTCAATCTTTCATCCAAATTCTCGAATGCTACAAGCCATTCAAGTGGAACCAATGCACCAAGGAGTCATCCTGAGTTCGTCGCTTAGGTGGTACCACCTTGGCTGGCTCTAATCTCGAAAAGTGCCTCGATGCTTTGCTCAGCGTCCGATTTTAAGATGCAGAGACGTCTATTTCCACTTAGTGGGCCTTCTATCCCTTGCCCCGTATAGCGCGAGGACGGATCAGGACTTGCACATATATCTATCTGGACTCTTCGAACCCTTGTTCCCACGCTCCTGAACTTCACTCATACATATTCTGGAGCTCATCCTTTATCTCTATGGCTCTTTTCAGCGAGTTTTCATACCTTGTCGCCCGACTCTCTTTAGTACTTTCTTTTGCTGGTCCTGTTGGCTCAAGTAAAATGATACCCATATTGATTAAGACTGTGGTAAATTATATTGTAATGTTACTTGCGTCACTCGGCCTGAAAACTTCGTGCTTTTGCGTAGTCTCTTCCTCAGTATTCATTTTTTCACCATAACCATGACTGACCCAGTCAACATCCACCGCCAGTTTCACTTACCTTGTTCGTCCTCCACAAATCACACATACCCTGCATTACCGGCGGAAAACGGGATTGACTATTAAGAAACCTGTCGGCATTTCAACTTGAACTCCCACTATTCCCTCCTCCCTCTTCCCCCAACATCAATTTCCCATACCTCCCCCTGAGCAACCTCGCCAACGCACCACCATCCCCGTCCACGCCCCCGACCTCTGCCAATGCAATCGCCTTCTCCGCCCACCGTCGACACTCCACATCCTTCGCCGCGAGATAGAAATCCACCGCCCGATTGAACGCCACCGCCGCCATCCACTGCATCTCCGTCGGGGGAAACCCCTCGGTCTTACAGTCCCGCACGAGCACCAGGACTTGATCGAGCACCGATTCCGCGAGTCGGTCCTCGTGAGCTTCAAGGGCGAGCTGGTATAGCACGTGCAGGTATCGGGGGAAGTCCGTGTGAAGGGTAGTGAGGTTGTTGATGTCGGGGGATGGGGAGGCGTGAATTGTGCGGATTATGAGCTTTTGGAGAAGGTAGAGGTTGGGTTAGATTCGAGGTATGAGTGGGTTTGTGCCTTTTGGGGTGTTGGTTTGGGGGAAAATTGGGGGGTTTAGGTTGTGGATTACTTGGGGGTTGAGTTGAGGTTGTATGTTAAAGAGAGTGGGGATGTGGGTATTCTTCTTCTTGCTCACTGTGTCAAAAGCTGTCGATTGACGTACCTTAATAGCTTGGACGACCTTTGTCAGAGGGGCTCCTTTGGCGCGGAGGAGCGTGTCGAGATAGACGGATATCAGTTTTGAGTTGAGGACCGCGGAGGTTTGGATGAGGCTGGTTATGTGGGACCAGGTGTCGTCTGTGTTGAGATAGATCGAGGCTTCTAGATCCACGGCGAGGATGATGCGGTATCTCTCGAGCCAGAGTGTGGGGGCATCACCTTCTTCTGGGGGTGGGGTCGCATTTGTGTTTGCGGATGTATCCACGATGATAGTAGCGTTTGTTGGCGCTGAGCTGGTGGTTTTGGCGTAGGTCGCTTCGGGGTTACGGCATAGCTGTAAGAAGCCGGTGATTTGGGACTGGAAGGCGCTGCTGGATTTGTGGGCTGCTGTGTAGTGAGCTTGCTGGATGTTGGGGGTTGCGGTTAGTCAGGGTTGCATGCAGGGCGCGCGTATGAAAGGAAGCAGAGAGGGATGGCTTGCCTTTGCTGGTGGGTCTGTGGTTTGACGCGCAAGCGATATGTGCTTGGTTGTCCTGAAGAATTCGCACAGGAGGTAGGTTTCATTGAGTGATGAGTTGGTAGCGTGAGTTTGCTGGGGAAGTAGGGTTGTGAGCTAGAGGCTGTCAAATCCGGCTTCTAGGAGGTAATGGCAGTTTTGTTATACCTTGATGGATAGGTCAAGTAGAACTAGGGTATGTTCGGTCTCTTTCGAATCCCGTAATCGCAACGCAATATTATAGCTCTTCTTTGCAAGCCATTCGAGTTCGTGGACGCTGAAGGCAGTGGCTTGCTGAGTGGGATATATATCTATGACTGCCAGACGGGGTTAGCGGTTGTTGCGTCAATTAGTTGTCAGGTGTCACATACCTGCTTTGATGACAGACATAATCGCATCGATTTGTTCTTGATCCGTGTATTGACAGTTATCGAGCTCAGTGAGAAGATATACGATTATAGACATAATAATAGTTAGCAAGTGAAGCTAATGGGGAAGACACTATCATACTGGAACAATCGTCCAGGCCCCTTGTCAGATTGCGAGGCTTGCTCGCTGGAAAATACTTGCTGTAAGACTTGGATTGCCTGTATCATCTTCCGTTGTCGAAGTGCTTCGGCTATGCAGGATATGATATAAATTGTTGGCTCGTCGCTAAGCTTGAATAGCGATTGAAGATAGACAGGACCTGCGCTCTGTTAGTAGTCTAGGAAGATAAACCCAGAGAGTCAAGTACCGGAGGTACATGTACTGTCGCGCAGGCTCAACTTGTACATTAGATACAATGTAAGAGGACAAAATCTGCATTCTTCCGGCATCTGCTTGAAAAGGTTGTCCGCAGCGGTTACACTAAGCGTGCCAGAAGCACACAGAAGAAGCTTCCTATTCCATCGTCAAAATAGGTCATTTGAACTGCGTGACCACTCTTACCTGAACAGCTTCGCCTTACTGTCAGAGGAAAGTGAAATTAGTGGCTGTTCGATCATGAAGAGGCACCATTTTTCTGCACTACGTGCATCATGGTCTGATAGAGCTCGATTGATCCGCCTCCAAATGATCTGTGACCAGCTCAGCAGATAATCATTGACCTCGAGATTCAATAACTACCATCAATGAAGCCTCTTGCGCTTCTATGCTCAAGACTTGTTGATCGAATTTCGGGTTCTCTGCAATGTCTCTGAAATGCTCCAGGCTCGCTTTGGTAGAGAAGTATGGATCGGTCAGGACACTCACAAGCCTAACAAATACTTGCTCCAGTGTCCGGCAATGCTGATCATGGGATACGCTGGCGATAATCTTCGTCCAAAGGTTTCTGAGCGCTTGAAGGTATACGTCCGGACTACTACGCGTCAGATTTCGTGAGTCCATAAACCCATCGGTCATCTGATGACCGACCAGTTTTGAAGCTTGCTAATGTAGTAAAGTATCCTTTACCAGGTTAACCGAGACTTTCGTCATTCAAATGAGGTATTCGCACATTTCAAGGCTGCTTTCTGAGGCTTTTATCACCTCTAAAGCATCTAAAGCATCCTGCAATACTGTACAGCTATCAGTGGCAGCGCATCGCTGTAGTGAATAGCTCACCTTGGAAATGCATTTCCACATTCAGTTCCGCTTGCGCAAGGACTTCAAGCTTAAGGAGTCGAACCGAGAACAAGTTGCCGTGTTGCAGCTAAAGAGTAAGAAGACAAGCGGCTCAAAGCATTGAGCGACTCACAACTCTCAAATCATGAAGAAGTCTTGCTAGGTTGGCCTGTGATTCATGCGTATCGAGGTGAAGATTCGTCCGCACTGTTTGATATCAGCATTTCAGCAAACAAGCAAACGAGGATCCATACCCAAAGCGTGTAGCAGCAGGAGCCTTTTGTCCCTCAAAGCCATATCAACTCCTTCGACAGCAGAGGCGAGCAGGTTACATTGCTTCAGACCCCTTCCCAACCACTTTGCTGCAAGCGCATAGTAGCTACCTGAAAGTGCTGCGCTCCCAACCTTGTAACACACATCAAGTACGCAGTAGTCTCCCGTGTTCGTGTCAGGAATCTTGAGATACAGATGATCTGCAATATCCGGTCTGCCTTGAAGCCAAGCCTGGATTTGGTCGCTCCGTCAGCTCGATACTTTGGTTTAGACTTCACCATGAGTATCATACCAGATGAACCCGAAGCATATAGTACTGCACATGACATTGACGCAATCTTGCACCATCGACTTCTGTCTCTAAATGCTCAAGCGCATCCAGACGCATGGCTACTGCCTCGATAACTTTCAAGCTAATAGTGATCAACTCGTGCTCTGGAGCTAGGGTCAGCAAGACTGACCCGTGACCAAAAGACCCCCTGCGAGCATACCTATGCAAGTCTTAGATAGCTTGTAAGCTGTCTCCAAGACTCTGAAAATGCCTGCAGCCAAGTGAGAAGTACTATACGACAACTGCGTTGACCACGGAGACCCTACCTGAGCTCTTACTGGAGGCAGCAGCATCAAGCATAGCCCATGCAAAGGCTTTGACTGCACCTTTGCTTAGCTGGGCTCAACGCACTAAGATGAAATTATCCGCACCTTTGCAAAGGAGGCCAGACGTTGCTGGGTCGCTGTCGTTCGCTAAACGCCGGGTACAAGTATTCCACAACTCTGTCCCCTTGTTGTCAAGACACCGCCGATGGGAAGGTGGAGAGGCCCCTGTAGAGATTGGCAGCTGGTCGAGATAGCTGTTCAGCTTGAGCGAAGTGGTTTCATCCAGGTATAGCACTTGAGCATCGCAGGTGTCGGTTTGGAGTCGCTTCTGGATCTCGCTTGCGAATACTTGAGAGAGTGAGTATGGATAAGCGATGTGCTTTGATGCGAGGTCGTTTGCTTACGCAGAATGTCTTCTCCTGCCGTGTTAGAGCTCAACGCCATTTGGGGTGGTTGCCTTTAAGAGATTTCATTGTCTTGTCATGAAGCCTCGCGACCCTGCTGGTGAGGATGGCAGACTCATAGCACGTGCGATGGGTTGGTTCATTGGGGTGAACGACGACCTGACTAGCCTAGTCCTCATCTGGACGGCACTGAAGGAAGCCTTCATCTCTACGATATAAGATATAAAACTCTGAAAAACAGTCCCGCATTCTGATTCCAAACTATGGTATATTATGTGGTACTGGGCCGCTATTAAATTCAGGAGGCTATAAACCTGACTCCTGCAAAAATAGATTGACAAAGAAATGGATATCTATGTACCAAAAGAATCAATCAATGCAAGTGACTTCGTACTAAAGCAAGGACTGGCAGGGGATATGAATGCCATAACATTTAATTTGATTTCCGCTGCGAAGGTAGGAAGTTTCCAATGATAAGAGACGGTCTGTTTCCAACACCTATTAGCATCCCTTCACCTGATGACTGATTCAGAGGGCCACTCACATATTATGGTTATCTCTCCGTATGGTAAAAGAGAAACAGCAGGGTATACCTTCGCCAGGAGAATTTGAGTTGGGGTTCTTCAATGTACAGCTTGTGAGCATTGCCTTCTGGGAATTATCGAAGGCGATCGCTCCGAATTTCTCCCAATAGCTCACAAGCTGGTCCTCTACAATGATTTCATGGATAGCTAGCTTGCCCTGTATGATATTAGGATACATTCTCATTGGAGCAAGAAGACAAGCTCGACTCACATCGCGCAGGGACTCGATCGGAACACCAATCAGTTCTGCCATTTCTTTGTTTCCTCGGAAGATCTCCCCCGTTCGTCTCCAACAGCAAGCAGGAATAGCCATGCTAGCGAAGACACGATCATACTCCATTAGACTTCGTTCAAACCACATCTCCACTAGGATCAACTCGATATCGGTCAAACTTTGCATTCTCTCCCGGAATTTGGGGCGAAACTTGTCCAGCTGCCGAAGAATCTTCTGCCGTGATGCTTGCTGGAGGTGACGTTCCATATACTGATTCAACCTTGCATAGCCCTTGACGTAGTTGAATGGTTTGAGAAGTCCTGCGTCATACTTCGCTTTGAGGAGTTTATTCATCCGTTCCTCTGGCGGATCTGAACCCGAAGGATCTGCTGCAGTCATATAGTAGGTCTCTCTTGCTTTGTCATTAACCACTGTGGTAGCAGGACCCTGAGCAGGTTCACCCTGGGGTTGTTGGTTCTGCTGATTTTGCTGAGATTGGGTTGGCTGGCTGTGCTGAAGCATAGAAGCATTTGGTCCGCCTAATGTAGCCATGGAGTTGATCAAGGTCGGGTCCGAGTAAATCCCATGCAGATCATCATTCTTGAAGACGGATCCATCGTCAAGGAGACTGTTACTGAGGAAGTCCCCAAGAAGGTTGTACTCGTTGGTGACCTCGGGCGCATTAAACATGTAGGAAGGATGGAATGAGTGCATGTCTTGGAACTGGCTTTGTCCGCCAATCCATTCATTGAAGGGAAGTACTGTTGAACAGCGTAAGTGACCATCTTCCAAGTTTATCGTCGATTTGGGGAGGAAAGACTCTTACCGGACGAAGACATATTACCTGGCTGCTGCACGGAAGGCGCGGGGGCAGCCGATAGACCAATTGTCGCATCTGGAAGGATTTGCTGACCGGCAGCATCCTGGACATCGACCGATCTGGGCATTCCTTGGATATTCGGGTACTCGTTATTCGAAGAGGCTTCGTCATCGGCCGCCGAATGTTCATTCTCGCTCCGAGACCGCTTGGAAGACTCTCGAGGTTCATCATGGCACAAGTGGCCGATGTTCCGCTTTATACATCGTGTGCAAGGTCGTTCCTATGTCCAACAACTGGTGTCAGTATTGTGTGCTTCTGGAGGAGGCACGATATGCAAGACGTTCCACAAGGGTGTTGAGGAACAACGTTCAAGAAGGTCGTACCGAGTCGCAAGTCATATGCTGTGCCACGTGGAGTGCCCTTCTGTTAGCAAGTGATCCACTTCGAAACATTGATCAAATCGTCCTCAGAACGCATGAGCGCTACAGTTGAGACTTAATGGGTGTGGAATAAATGTCGTAGTAGAAAAGGCTTACCGATCGCCGACAGTATACACAAGCTATCAGTCAATTCGAGTTAGCAATTCGCGACGGGAATTCATGGCATATATGGACCATTCTACGCACACCGTAAGAGGACCCCTAACAGAGACCATGTACTCACCGTGATTGACCTTGCGGCGCTTCTTCGGGCTCGAGTGAGTCCCCACCGCAGCTATTTCAGATTTGGAGCCTTGTGCATTCTGCGATTCCTCCTTCACGTTGGCTTCCTCTCGAGTGTGTTCTTTAGTTGCTATACTGATTCTCAGTTTGTCGGCTGTCCCATTGTTGGGTTGATGCTGGTGTTCGGGGCCTATCCCAGTTTGCGCTGCGGTTTTCTCCGTCATTGATCGCTGAGCGCAGAACCGTGGCGCAAAATCCGAATCGTTGCTGATGTTTAGGTATATCGACTGGCCTAGGGCGCTTCAAGGAGGGTTGCGAGTGGCAGGCATCCAAAAGCTCCTGTGGAAAGAGTATGGACAGTTGAACGAGTCTTTGGTGCTTCGTTGCGGCGTGGATCTGTAACTACTTAGAAATTGCGAGGATGCGCGCGCGATTGCGATCGGCTCAGTGAAGTTCCCCGCTGGAGCGGGACTTGGATCTTTCAACTCCCGAGCTCCTCCGCATTGGGAGGGGGAATCAATGGAAGGCGGCTAATCTGTCAGCCTCGGGAAAGACTTGGCTGGAGCCACACCCACCCATGTGCCACAACTAGACGAGGGAATAATCCCTCAACTACGAAGCAATAAATAGCTGCATTACTTAGCAATGTTTTGAATTAAAATACCTCATACAAAGAAGGCATCCCTCGGTAAAGCACATTTCAAATTGGGTTACGAACCAGGGGCTAAGGGAATGATTCATGTCTGTGTAAAGCGAGAGCACGTGGCTAATGCCCCAAAGTAGCCTGGTTTGCATCACAATCTAAAATCCAGGCAAAAAGGTCGACTGCACTTGCAGGGTCTACTGTCCCACATTCTCGAAGCTGGATTGTGCGTCGCGACCCAGTGACCCAGTAAGTCGACGATATGACCACCGATTCACTACCTGATCTGTCTTCCATCCGCTTGATTTGAGATGACTCAGTCATTCGTATATAGGTGTAATTGGACGCCTATGCGCGGGTAATCGGAGAAAAGAGTCGGCACGCCCGTTATACAGGCCATGTGCGTGCTACATGCGTCAGCACACACAGATACGCTTTCGACCCTGCATTTGGGTTATTTGCGAGGATCCAGATTGATCCTTCACTGCTTGGAATCACAAATGACCGGGCTTCGATCATGACAAGCTGATTGTGCAGAATCCGCTGCACTGTGGTTGGATACCCGCCCGGAATGAGCAGCCGGCATAGCATATGAGGAGGTTTTGTACTCGTTGTTTTTAGGAATTGGTTCAATCATCAGGCACGAAAGTCAAACTCAGTGCGGCTTGAGATCTTGCCACTGCATCTCTCAGCCCAGTTAGAGGCGTCGTGTTATTTTGCATCGATTTGAGATGGTCATTCAATTGTTCCAACAAACCAAGAACATCTGGATCGGCCTCAAGCTAAATAGAACCCGTCAGTAAAAGGATTTCCGCGACTTTGAATTTGCAATCCTACCTCGTCAAACATGACATTAGCATCAATGTCATTTGCGATGGTGAACCCCGCCTGGTTAGAGTCACGATCATCAGGGACGTTGCTCAATTCTCGTAGCACCGGATGTTCCTTGAAGAAGATCAGAGTCAATATCCTTGTCTTTCTGCAGTTAAGCCATGTACCTACATTCTTCATCTGCCTCTTCCTCTCCAACTCAATTCCCTTTGCATTCCTCTCCATTTCCTGAAGTTGTCTTCTCTCCTTCTCCAGTAGCGCTTCCTCCTTCTCTACTTCCACCTTCAATAGATCAATACTATCATTCATCGTAGCTAAAGAGGCCTCTAACGCGCACTAAGCCGTGCGTTAGCTCAGTGACGGAACAGATTCATTAGATTTGAAATCGCCTTACATGTTCTTTAAGCGCTGCTTCATACTCAAAGACTGTATCTCGCGCGATGGGAGGGAACGGCATCCGCGGCAGTCGTTTTGCCAAGCTAAATGGGCAATATGCGTCAGTTCATTCGTATCCCATGTCCCAATTTCTCGGGCCCAGGGACAGTACTTCTTCACAAGGGTTTGCACAGCTGCCTGCGCTTCGATGCGCTTGCTCTCATTCTGTTGTCGCATGATAACTGGCCGCTCCAAGGCTCGGAACATATCACGGACTTTATCTTGGGCGGGCTCAGGAAGTGTCGACCACTTGCCCTTGATCGTCCTCTCCGAGACCTGCCTGACTTGAGGCTTGAGGTAGGCGAACCGCTTGTTGCGTGCATGGTTGTCCGGGTCGGGCGCTTGACTCGAACGCTTTCTTTTCGGGGGAGGCATCGTCGGGGTAGCTCGTCTTCTTGGGTCTCGCGTCGTCTTCGGATTCAATCTCAGGACGGGGTCGATGGTTGCGATTGATGTTTTTACATCTGGCTGTATTTAAGCGTGGTTGTTATCGGTAGGTCGAACAACAGCCCGGGCCCAGATAACAAACAGTGGCCCGGATCACATGACAGTCTCCCCTTGCGGAGCTACGAAGATGGCCTAAAAAGCTAAGCGCCTTTTTTAGTAATATTGCGGAACAACCCACGGCGCTACATATAAATATTTTTCACCGAGTCATGAATGACCCTACATCCTCCAGAAGCATGCATTGCTGGGATGATGATCAAGAAGCTGCTGGGGGGAAAGCCACGCACTTCTACATATGCTTGCGCTGTGCTGAGATGCTACATTAGGCATTATTACGTCCATCTTTTCACGATCTCTAAATGAAGGACATGCCTGATGTTTTTTCTGTATGACTTGCATCGCATATTCATTGCTGGGAGCTGCTATTGGAGACTTTCTGAGGCTCTAAAAATTACTCGCTTGAAACGGGACAGCATTGATTGGGTCAATAAATTTCCTTTTTTTTTTCCTTGGATGGTATCGTAGATTGCTGAAGATTCGGCTATATAGTTACACGTGCATCAAGTATAATCGTGTATAACTGGGACGATGAAATCAGGCCAAAGGGGTATTATGGGTACGGTGCATGACACGCGGCAAGTCAGCAAGCAAACTCTCGGCAAAAGAGCCTCGCCAGGGGAGAGAAATAATTTGAATCATGGCCGTCAGAGAACAAACGCCTGCACTTGCATCGAAAAGATGACTGGAAGATCGCTTAAGTGCTCCAATGTACAGTTAAATTGAAACAAGGCCCATGCTTCTGAATGAAGTCGTGGGAATTAATATGATTTGTCGTGATCGCGTAACTTGGATGGGGTGCTACCGTGGCATGACCAAGCCATTCATTGTCTTCATCTCTGCGAGTTGTGCTCTGAGAATCTCATTCCCTCGTAGGATCTCTTCTAACCAATCGGCCGCTTGAGTGAGCATTGCGCTCTTGCTGAAGCCACCCCCTTTCAGCCCCGGGACGAGTAAACATAAGTCATCGAAACCTTGCCGAATAAGATTTCGTCGCTTCTGTTCTGAAAGAATGTGGTTGCTTCTTTTTTGCTCCTCAGTTAGATTTTCGCGCGCCGGTTTTGGTCCCGAAGAGAGCCTCCGTTTTGAAATGGTATCTTGCGAAAGTCGTCGAGTTGAGGGCTTAGATTTTCTGGGCTTTCGTATCGAAGCATCGTCATCCGAAGTCTCGTCATCTTCCTCTTTCACAAAGATCCTCTGCTTCTTCTTGGGCTGAGCAAGATCTTCCACATTCTCTCGGTAGCCTCGCCGGAGGTTGCTAAGTTGGCCAGCAGCAGCGGCATCCGCCCAGGGAGCATCGTAGCCTCCAGGGTGTCTCGCTGTTACTGGACTGGGAGCGCGCGTGTTTGTTGCACTGCTCTGTCGCTCAAGGCATACCAGATGGCCAAGTAGCTCTTTGGTCCGATCCTCTTCATTAGGTTGTTCAGGAGGAGCCATATACCCCTGGCCCATGAAGCCAATATCTGAGCCCCAATGAAGTGGGCGCACTTTTGCCGTCACTTGTTGTTCTGGTGAAATCGGTTCTCCGACATCGAACAGCATCTCTGATGTATGAAATCCGACGGGCATGCGGCGACGTGACGGCTGCTTTGAATGACTACTGCTGTGCGGAACCTTGCTGTGGCCATTGATCCTGGGATTGTTGAAGTCTGTGTCTGGAGCAGAGAAATTATGGTGATTAAAGCCGGAGTTAAAACCCGTTCCGGTAAGCCCATTGTTATAAAGCATAGAGGCAGCCGCGAAAATATCCGAACTTGTATTCAAGTTCTGCGACATCATCTCCATACTGGACTTGTCCAGGCTGCCATGCGGAAAGCCCGGTTGTGAAAGAGATGTCGTGGAACCCTCGAAGGTGGGAGGTAATTCGCCTGGCCAGTCGAGCCCGTTAGTACCAAGCAATCGGTTTGTCGGACCCCCCATCCAGAAGTCGTTGGAGAAATGATTGGAATTCATCGTTGTGAAGAAATTATCCAGCATAGTGGACTCATTATCATCGAGAAGAGCGGGCCCGGGGGGTCGTGCAGGGGCAGGTTCGTACGGGGTGTCCATGGGCGAAAGGAAAGAATCTGTAGGTGTACGCATCTTTAGCCTGGGCATAAGAGAGAAATGGGGCCTGGTGAACATACAGCCAAACGGACCAGGTTGGGGGCTGTCGCTGCCATTATGCGCCTCGGAGTTTCTGAGATCCATGATGGTGAGAATGGTTGAAAGTCGCAAGTCGAGCGCCCACTTGCTACCCTAGTTGAGAGCAGCGCCGGGAAGGCAGCGCGGACATGCCTCTGTCGGCGCAGATTCCGATTGAATATAATGCACGGACACGATCGGGGCTTGCGGACCACGAGAAGCTCACAGGCACAGGTTGAAGGTCGCGTTGCGGAGGCTTGTTGCCAGTAGCGGCATTCGATTTGGGGATAATCCGGGGCAACAATGACAAAGTTGTAGTAGCGGGCTGATTATGTATGGAGCAAACCGGTGTTCTGGCGGATGGACTCGGTTGCAGCGTGGGACATCTCCCACATTGATTCGCCAGACAGATCAAAGGAATGATAACGAAAAGGCAAAATCCGGGGGATAGCTTCGAGGGTGGAGAAAATCTCTGCTTCGTTGCGCACTCACGAGTAAGACCGCAGAGAGAGAGGGAGAGAGAGAAGAAAGAGCATGGAATCCATTCGGTCTTTATGAGTCGATCACATGCAAAAATCTCGCGCTCGACCGGAGGTCGCGTGACGTAACAGTAATACGTTTAATACCGGACTCAGACTGAATACTTGGGCTGAAATGCGGTAATGCTTCGGTCCGACCTGCTTGAGTCTCGGCCCAATTTCCCAGTCCGTCCTTCTCTACTACTGGACACTGACTAACTACAGTCAAGGTCATTGATTAATTGCTGCATCTTTTCCCCTCCTCCTTCCTCCACCTTCATTTTCGATAATTGAATCATGTTCGTCTAAAAGTTCAGCCATTCTAGCCGTGGGATCAGCAGAATATTATCTGAGCTTTTAGCTCCTGTACCGGTGGTCTGTCATTTCACCTATATTTCTTTATAGTTGTTCTTCTGCTCTCATCCACGGGTGATAGTGAAAGGGCCCCAAGTTCGGTCCGAGCAGCAACGGGGATCGTCGTTGATTACCGAGTAATCGATACCCCTGACCCAGCCCTAGCAGTAAACCTCTCCTCGTGTCTGCAAGAACTGAGGCCTTCTCGGTACGTCGCACGGATCCCGCGGGGAATCCTATGAAAGCTTGCTGTGGAGCACAGAGCTTTGTGATTATCGCCGCAGATCAAAGCGTTTGTGCCAGCTCTCAATGCCTTAGTTTTCCAACTTTTGTGTAATGTCTCAGTCCAATCTTGAGACAGATTCATCCCCCTCACAGGTTCGCGAAGAAGTCTATCGTTTGACAGAGAGTGTTGATCAAATGAGATGAAGCACTTGTCTGACAATAATTGACAGACTGGATTGGCCAGATTGTCCCAGCAAGAGTCATGAATGGTGAGCTTGGGACACCATGAATCCTGTTGCCATCCGCTACCATCGCAGCAGAGTTCAGGCTCTGAAGCCGTAAGTCTCGTTCATGCTGAGATGAAAATCTGTTGTTCTTGCGTCCAATCCTTGTATACTAATCGCGTGGAAGAATACTGCGAGCGTATGCTCTTGGATATTTGTCTTCAACCACCCCGAGACTTATTTCCTGTCTACGGCGTATCCAGGATAGTAAGCTCAGCAATAAAGACCGGCTGAAAGAGGTAAGAAGCTCCCCCTGCTTGTCTCCTTGGCTGGGGTTGTTGATGCTACACAAATTGGTGTGTGCTGGCTATTCGTGCTCTCTGCGATTTCCGGCTGTATTACAATCAGGACCAATAGCTTATTTCAATGTCACAGTTGCTTCAAACATTAACCAGTGCGTTCCGATTTGAGAGCTTTCCTACATTCTGTGCTCTCCTGATTGGTGGCTCAACTTTGGCTCCCCCACTACTTTTACGCTATCTTGATCATGTTCGTCGCAAGTTCAAGCTTAGCAATACTTCCTTGTACACATCGCAGCTCATGCGATTCGTCCGTTTCGTCTCGGCATTCTTGTCTGCCTGGTTTTCCTTTCAACTCCTGAATAAGAGGCCCATTAGACCACAGAGTGTGCATCGATTATCTGCCGATGACGCTTCATTGCAAAGCGCTATTGGGCCGCCAAAAAATGACAGTCCACCAAGTACCAGTGTCCAGCTTGTCGGCCGAAGCATGGATCTTACGCTCTTCAGTCTCACTCGCGCTGCGGATTTGATGGTATGCATGGTATGGCTGCAGTGGAAGCGTTGGCGGAAAGCCAGAAATCACTGGACCTGGGCAGAGCGTGTAGCGCCAAAGCTTGCCAATTCTGGTCTTTTTGCTGGTAGTGCGGCGATAGTCATGTGGGCATGGTTTTATATGCCGGAGAGATTGCCAAGGTCTTATGAGAAGTGGATTGGAGAGGTAGCAAAAGTGGACTCTAGATTGATCGAAGCACTTCGCCGTGCTAGAAGAGGTATTCTGGTCTATGGTAAAGATACTGGACAGGCTCCCCTTCTTCAATCCATGTGCAGAGAATACGGCTGGCCGCTGGACTGGGGTGATCCCTCGAGAACTGTCCCTATACCCTGTGAGATGGTCCACATGGGATATGGTCCGAGCTGTGAGAAACATGCAGTATCTAGATTTACTCGAACGTTCAAGTATGCTTGTGCAACTTACATTCCATTACAGATTCTCCTGCGCCTGCGGAAGCTGAAGTCAATGTCGTCACTCAAGCACGCCCTGATTACCGCTCTGCGCTCATCTGCGTTCCTTGCGTCGTTTGTGAGTATATTCTACTACTCAGTATGCCTCGCCAGAACAAGGCTAGGCCCTAAGACTTTTGCCCGTGACACAATCACACCCTTGATGTGGGATTCTGGGCTTTGTGTTGGCGCGGGATGTCTCATGTGTGGTTGGAGTATACTCATCGAGAGTGCGCAAAGACGGCAAGAGATTGCATTATTTGTGGCACCTAGAGCCGCAGCAACGGTTATGCCGAGATTCTATGATAAGAAGGTATGCTTAATTCATTTGGCCATAGCGTTCGGTTGCTTATTTGAGGATGGTTGCACCAACCCCGTTGTTCCATCCGTCATCCCGATTCTGGGCTACCCTGGATCCAGTGAGCTTCTATTGACCACTTCTATTTGTCTAATAGTATCAATACCGGGAACGCTTTGCATTTGCCATCAGCGCTGCTGCTCTGCTAGCGTGTGCACAAGAATGTCCCGAGATGGTCCGAGGTGTTTTTGGGAGGATAGCAGCCGGTGTTTTGAGCTGAACGCGCATCAATGACTCCTCTCCTTCTGGCAGAGACTTTTTCAAGCATGTATCAATGAGTCAAGAGACTTGATCTCATTGTTCTGCATGTATTGGCTACTCAACAAGAGGGCGATGTCGTAATTATAGTGAAATGCTTGGAGAGTGATAGCGCCCAACTTTTGTATAGTGGTTTCATCAAATTCACCACGTAGATAACAATGCTTCTTGAACTAGAAGTATGCAAAACAACAATATGGACAAGGCCATTGACTGCATAGAGCGCCTTCAGATCACAAGACAGAAGAAGTTGTGAAAAGACCAAGGCAACTCTCAAGCTCGAAGATATGGCACTATGGTAAAGGGCTCATTCAGTGCTTGTCGGTGTCGATGGATGATGAAGGCTATGCATTTGCCCTGGACCATATTGCAGTGCGGAGACACCATACACTCTGGTTCCATATAGATTAATGTGCAGTATCGACTTGTTGATCGATTATGAGCGTGCAGGCATGACTAAAATCAAGACCCATGGTGGATTTAATACTTGTAGGCATGTAGCAATGGATTCCGATTTGGCTCCAGATGGACGGAGAAACCCCGCACTGACCGCTTCAGCCACCGCATTCTACGGCAGAATCTCTCCAACCTCGGACCAGGGATTTTTACTCCTAGACGGGGACAGCGTCCAGAACCTCCGACGGGGAAGCTGTTCAAACAGGCGGTGGCAGAAAACTACACTTTTATCACCACATGATCACACCACTTATCGAAGGATCAGTCACGTGTGACAAGGATATTGTCGAGGCTGACGAGCTGATGCTGCAGTGGTTGAGGTTAGCATTCGCCAGCGCTACACATTTTCCTAACTATGATATCCCGTTCAATATCCTCATGGGGCCACCTCCCATCGCCGGGATTGAACTTTCGTCTATCTGCCTATATCAATCCGAGATGCATGAATCCGGGCAGACGGTTCTTCACGCGCAATTCCATCCTACAACAGAATGCTAAGGCTCCCTTCAACACGCCTCAATCGCAAAAGCGCCATGCATCCACCCTGTATGATGACGTGGCGACCGTCTATATGGTGCGCTTGCTAAGGATTGTCTAGGTATTATACGTTGAGTATGATTCTCGGCACCCTTTCTCTGGCCTATGGCTCTGTTCCTTTGTATAAGATGGTCCGTTGAACCTTGTGACTGAGTACCACAACTGTATCAAATATTTACTCTTGCCGCCGAACGTATAGATTTGCCAACAGACCGGCTGGAACGGTCAACCATCGGTTACGCACCGCGGAGGAGACAGTGATACCGCATCTCGGGTCGTTCCCGTGACAGACGCCCGTCGCCTCAGAATCACTTTCAACGGATCAGTGTCGGATGTTCTGCCATGGAAATTCACCCCGCAGCAACGCGAGGTCCGTGTACTTCCTGGAGAAACCGCGCTTGCCTTCTTCACAGCTACAAATCAGGGTCCGACAGACATTATTGGTGTGGCGACGTACAGTGTGACTCCGGGTCAGGTTGCCCCATACTTCAGCAAGATTCAATGCTTCTGCTTCGACGAGCAGAAATTGAACGCCGGAGAATCGGTCGATATGCCGGTCTTCTTCTTCATCGACCCTGACTTCGTTAACGACCCGACCATGAAGAATATCGACACTATCACTTTGTCATATACCTTCTTCAGTAAGAGCTATATCGAGTGCGAGTCTTGTACGCAGATCGCTAATATACAGCAGAGGCACGATACGATGACAACGGGGTTCTCAAGCCGTTGCCTTCGGCTTAATGACCTACATAACATCGGGTCTGGTTTGTGGAACGTCTCCAGACGCCCAGGAGTAAACGCTTCCCATCAGACTCTTCTGACAACCTGTGATTGAGAAGGCCACAGCAAGGACACTTGGTGGATGACGCTGCCTTTTCTCACTCAGTATCCGCATCTCTTCTCTAGCAACTGCAGTTAGAACATCACAGCGGATAGCCCCTGGCGTCCAGCTTTTGTACATAGAGCATGTATATAACCACTAAGACATACCAGTACTTGTACGATATGGACGGGATTGCTTGTGTGTTTGTGTGTTTCTCAAATTGGCTCAGAGCCTGAGTCAGTGGTAATGTATTCGATAAGGGACTCAATCTCAAGCCATACTGCTGAAAGGTAGAAAAAGCAATGGAAAGGATACTCAGACCCAGTCTGACCAGCACAAGCATTGAGGACTAGAGGAAATTCACATTTTAGCCTGAGGCAACAAGGAGAGTGCGGAATGGCCAGAGATAATTCCATTCCTATTGGTCCGGTCACGCATAGTCAGCGGAGTGCACGGAGCATCAATTAAGCTCGCGTTTCACGGCGGCGACGCGTCGGCCATCGATTAGCTTCCGGGACCAAATTGTAGGGCGCAGAGAGAGTAGCTCAGCGTCTTCACTCATTAATACCGATTGCTCGAATAACATCAATCAGCATGGCCTTGCTCGTGGATAAACACCGGCCGCGCTCGCTGGACTCTTTAACATATCACCCGGAGCTCTCCTCGCGGCTAAAGTCGCTGGTAAAACCACACCAAAGAACCTGACCTTCACCACAGTCCTTTCACTAACTTCTAGCTATACTCAGGCACAAAGCGGCGACTTCCCACATCTCTTGATCTATGGACCGTCAGGTGCCGGCAAGAAAACGCGCACGATCGCAACGCTGAAGGAGCTCTACGGCCCCGGAGTCGAGAAAATCAAGATCGACGCCCGAGTCTTCCAGACGACGAGCAACCGGAAGCTGGAATTCAACATTGTCTCCTCGGTCTACCACCTTGAGATCACACCCTCAGATGTAGGCAACTACGACCGGGTCGTCGTCCAGGAGTTGCTCAAGGAGATCGCGCAGACGCAGCAGGTCGATCTCTCGGCGAAACAGCGATTCAAGGTGGTGGTGATCAACGAGGCGGATCACTTGACGCGCGATGCGCAAGCGGCGCTCAGACGTACTATGGAGAAATACAGTCCCAACCTGAGACTGATCCTCCTGGCTAACAGTACCTCAAATATCATTGCTCCGATCCGGTCCCGCACCCTGCTGGTCAGGGTCGCTGCGCCCAGCGAGAAGGATATCTGCGCGGTGTTGAGGACGGCCGGCAAGAAGGAGGGATGGCCGGAGGCGGACGGACTGAATCAGAGAATCGCCAGGGAAAGCAATCGGAACCTGCGACGTGCGCTGCTGATGTTTGAGGCTATTTATGCTCAGAAGTAAGAGCTTCCCCCGAATTTCTTATCTGCTTGGGTTTCACTAGATTACTTGGGGCTGACAGCGTTGGGTTGGGTGGTTTTGTAGTGAGAAAGTCACGGACAATACGCCAATCCCACCTCCCGACTGGGAAGCTCTGATTGCGCAAACTGCAGATGAGATTCTGGCCGAACGGTCACCGGCTCAATTGCTGCGGGTTCGCTCGCGTCTATATGATCTGCTGACGCACTGCATACCAGCGACTACCATCATCAAGGTACAATCTCCCTTTCGAGTCAGATGTGACTTCTTTACCAGAGATGAACGGCTAACAGGGCATGAATGATAGACCTTGACCTTCCAGCTCATCACCAAAGTGGACGATGCCCTCAAGCCTGAGGTCATCAAGTGGTCGGCTTTCTACGAGCACAGAATCACACAGGGCAGCGTAAGTGTTGGCTCTTCCTACTCAATATCTGATCGTTCAAACAGTTGACACATCACCTCAGAAATTAATCTTTCATCTCGAAGCATTTGTTGCCAAGTTTATGCGCATTTATGAAAGGTGTGTGCTGTCTCAACTATCTGAGTCTGCGTGTTGTTTGTCATCGCTAACTTGATACCTAGTTACTTTATGGGCATGGACTTCTGAACGTGGGAAATAGAAGTAGCAAAACAACGAATGATTAATGAAATAATTGTACAATAAGTACCCCTTGTTCTCACGATTAGACCGTTCTGCGATACTGTAAAAAGAGACATCAACGACTGGGGAGCTAAGTTTTTGCCACTTGGTTTATTGTTGAACTGGAGTAGCATGGATGTGTGAGTGGAATAAGACTAGGTGACGCTCTATGGGGTTGTGCGGTAATAGAGGTGACAGTGACACCCATCAAGTGCTGATCTTGGTCAACTGGGTCTCTCTTCACCTCGACTACGTCATAGCTCGTATACATATCGACCACCACCACCACCACCCCAATCCGCTAACTCTTCAATTGCCAACATCCCTGAAACTCATATTCGAGTCTGTTGAATTCGTACTATCTTGAGATTTTACATTAACCTGACCTTATACCATATCCTACCCACCACAAACACATCATGTCGAACCCTAACCTTATGGATATTGAGCCCGGTGGTGAAAACACACAGTATGTAGTCGCCATGGGTGGGAGCGAAAACCCGGTACAGAGTCTAACACTGGCTGTAGGTACGAGTCGATTCGTTATTTCTCGGAGACGCCGAAAAAGCAGACAGGCCAACTAGGTGGTAAGTTCCTCTCGTTTGTTCTTTAGGAGCCAGCCATGAGCAGGGCTCATGGAAATATTTAGCCCACTGCGAGCACACCAAGAGTGAATACAATCCTTTCGGAGATGAGGATGTCGAACTCAATGGCCAGAATGGAGATACTCCCCTAGCAAGACAGCTTGAGAAAGGGGAGGCTACGTCTGGACTATCGGGGATTGTGGACAAAGGTAGGGTTGGATCTGTTTTTTTTTTTCCTTTTCCCGGTTTCCTTTACCCTTTAAATATGATATAAACTCCGCATATGAGAAGCCATTCGACACCCGCGAGATCAATCGCAACAAGCAGAACGTGGAATGGCTGATGATAATGTACAACAAGATTCGAAACCCGAAACCCCAGAAGAGGCTGCAACGCTGGCGGCAAGGATCAGGAGAGAGCAGGGATATGGACCTGGCTCGGGTGTCGGGGCTTAGGTGCCATGAGGTAAATGTAGAAGGACAAGGGTAATGAACATATTTTCCAGAAATTTGAAATGGCGTTGCTTGGTTCGTTTGCTTATTGAGAGGCCACCGGGCTGGATGATGTCGATTTCGGAGGTGTAGGTAGATTCTCGGCACCGAGGGCTGGGCTTCTGCGGGCGCGCTTGAGACTCTCCAGAGTTACGCCGTTACCGAGCTTTGTCAGTCCGACCACGGGCGGCTCGCCCTTCTTCACGAACTCCCATAGTCCTGTATACAATGAAATGTATTAGTATTGTTAAGCCGCCAATGGCCAATCTTTGAATGGTACAATTGACTCACCGGGCAGCTTGTGGCCAGCCAGACGGAAGGCTTCTCTGGCTACCTTCTCGTGCAGATCGCCCTTGAGCTCAAAGACAATTCTGCTCACCGCGACCTTCGCCGTCCAGTAGTCGAACTTTCCCTTACCCTTACCCATACGCTGCTCGTTACCCTTGGTGTAGACACCGATGTTCGCGCTGACTCGCTTGTAGAGCGTATAGTTCATACCCCTCAAACGTCTCTTGATAGTCTCTTCGGCGATCTTGAGAGAGTGGGCGGGCAGTCGCCGATCGTGATCCTTCATGCGCAAGCCATAGTCACCCCAGACAACAGTCGTACCGCGTGAGGAGCCGCCGGTCGGGACGTGCGGGCGACCCTTCGGAGACTTCGACACTTCCTGATACTTAGGGGTAAGCCAATCGAGGGCGGGTGAGGTCGTAGAGAAGCATCGTGAAATGGGAAGCGCTGTGCAAGGGGTCGAGAAGCCTAAAGTGTTTCATCGGTGTTAGTTTCCCTTCCGTTACGAGGATTTTTTGAGAAGGTCGCATAACAGGAAGAAAAGAGAAAAATTCTGGGCACAGCGCGTAAGAGCTCACATGTAGGGCGGAAGAGGGCCATCTGAGGCCCGGAGAACATCTTGATCTGGGGACCCATTGTTGAATCTCAGCAAATGGCCCTTTTCAACTACCGCAATCCAGCGAATGTTGAATGATCCCGGCAGACTTCCAGGTTATCGGCGTATCTGCAGGCCCGGGCCCCGAATTCCCCCATTTCCCAAATGGGACGAAAGTGCTGCGCACGTGCCATACGCGCTTTCTATGTCTTATGTAAGCTAATTAGGTCACGTCGGCGTAGCTGCCCGCGCTGCAGGCAGGCGCGTCCGTGTCTTTGCCTGGAGGTAGCAGCTCTACGGAGATAATTGTTGGAGGTATTCTAACTCGACCTCGTTGCCTGGAGCGCTGGTCCTCTTTCATTGTTTCGTCTTGCGCAGAGAGCGCTACCTCGCACAGGTGTACGCTCCGACAGCTATCCTTCGCTATGCCTTCAGATATCCGCAGCTTCTTTGGCGCGAAAGGGAGCCAAGGCTCCAACGCTTCTCCGGCGAAGCCGGCTACGAAGAAAGAGGTATGTCGATAGTCGAGCTCGCACGCCAATGAACAATCTTCATTCTACCTTTCCATTACTCAATACTGACTTCAATTCGTTGTAAGGAGCCTGCTACTCGAAAGAAGCGTGAGACTCATGCCACCTACCTTACTCGTGCATCGCTAACCGAGCTATAGGAACTAGGAAGGTAGTCGATGATAGCGACGAAGATGAGGTCACCGAGGTGAAGCCTCCGACCCCAAAGAAAGCGCCCAGTAAGCCGTACGTCAGTCCTGGCCTTTTTCCCCCCAAAGATCGAGTGACTGACAATGGAAAGAAAACCCGAAGTGTCGCAGGGCGAACCAACCTCCACTTCGGACTATTTTGCCTCGAGCAAGAAGCGAGGAAGGCCAGCGAAAAGCGACAATGCGACTACAACGAAGCCGGCACAGTCAGCTCCAGCTGAGACACTGGACGAGTCTCCGAAGCCGAAGACGCGCGCAGAGACCCAGACGACTCCCAAAAGACCCTCTCGGACCTCTACTCGAAAGAAGACAATAGTTTTAGATGCTGAAGATGGGCTGGGCGGCGATGATGTCTTCGCAACAGATTATAAAAAGTTTGGCAAAGGCGACGATGAATATGTCGAGGAAGATGACCAGGATGGTAGTGACGACGATTTTGAAGAGCTCGCCGTGAAGCCTGCGAGTCCAGTTAAACGACCTGGACGAAGCACACAAGCGCCTGTCACTGCATCAGACGATGATGTGGTGATGGAAGATTTGCAGAAACGCCCCTCGCGCGCTGCGCAATCATCAACCACCCGTCCCGCTCGGAAACGCAAGTCGGAAGCATTGAACATGAACGAAGACTCTGAACTCGAGCGTAGTCCTAAGAAGGCTGCGGCAAAGACTCAGGCGACTTCGCATGCCTCTAAAAAACCACGAGCCTCTCCTACAAAGACTGATCGGCCTGAGAGCAAGGAGATACAGGATATTTTTGACAGCATCCCAACCATCAAACCCCCTTCACCCCCGCCACAGTCTGGTGAGAAAAAGAAGTTCAATTTCGCCGCCCAAGCACAGCGCTCAAGGTCTCCTGTGGGCGGAAGTGTCGAGTTGCCAGTCGGGGCGGACAATTGCCTCGCTGGACTGTCCTTTGTCTTCACTGGTCTTCTGGACACTTTGGGCCGTGAAGAGGGTCAGACCTTGGTAAAGAAGTACGGTGGGAAGGTGACGACAGCCCCCAGTTCAAAAACAAACTATGTTGTCTTAGGGGCAGATGCTGGACCCAAGAAGCTACAGACAATCCAACAACACAAAATTAAGACTATTAACGAAGAGGGACTATTCGAGCTTATTCGCCGGCTCCCAGCAAATGGAGGCGATAGTAAGGCTGGAGAGAAGTACGAAGCAAAAAAGAAGGCGGACGAGGCCAAAGTCAAGGCAATGGCTGCGGAGATCGATGAGGAAGAGAAGCGCAAGGCCAGGGCCTCTCGCGCGTTAAACAATGCTGCGCCTTCCGGATCGCAAGCGCCCGCAAGCTCTCGAGCGCCCAAAGTGGATGATGAACTCTGGACCACCAAATACGCGCCTACCTCCATCAATATGATTTGTGGCAACAAGTCTCAAGTCGAGAAACTTCAAACCTGGCTACGAGACTGGCACAAGAATGCGAAATACAACTTCAAGCGCCCTGGGAAAGATGGCGGGGGTGTTTACCGAGCCGCAATTATCCACGGTCCCCCTGGAATTGGAAAGACTACTGCAGCTCATCTGGTTGCGAAGCTGGAGGGTTATGATGTTGTTGAGACTAATGCAAGCGACACAAGAAGCAAGAAGCTCGTTGAAAACGGCCTCCTGGGTGTGCTAGACACAACCTCTCTGCAAGGATACTTTGCAGGTGAGGGAAAGAAGGTGATAAGCGAGAAAAAGAACTTGGTCCTAATCATGGACGAAGTGGACGGTATGTCTGCAGGAGATAGAGGTGGTGTTGGTGCTCTGGTTGCTGTCGCGAAGAAAACCCACATTCCCCTCATCCTCATTTCCAATGAATGGAAGATCCCGAAGTTGAAGCCCTTTGAAGGCAATGTCTTCGACCTTGGGTTCCGACGCCCGACTGCAGATCAGATGAGAGCCCGTCTCTCGACCATCTGTTTCCGTGAAGGCCTCAAAATACCCCCACAGGTGCTGGATGGTCTGATTGAAGGAACCCATTCTGACATCCGCCAAGTCATCAATATGCTCTCGACTGTGAAGCTTGACCAGCAACATCTGAATTATGAGAAAGGCCGGGAGATGTCAAAAGCATGGGAAAAGCATATAATACTCAAACCATGGGACATTGTTGGCAAAATTCTGGGCCCTCAGATGTTCGCGCATACCTCAAACAGTACTCTCAACGATAAGATTGAGCTTTACTTCAACGATCACGAATTCAGCTACCTGATGGTTCAAGAGAATTATCTCAAGACAAGGCCGACGTTAAGTGCAGGGTATTCAGGCCGAGAACAGAAGCTGAAGCAACTTGAGTTGATGGACAATGCAGCTTCTAGTATCAGTGATGGTGATCTTGTGGATCGCATGATCCATGGGGCCCAGCAGCAGTGGAGCTTGATGCCCACGCATGCTGCCTTCAGTTTTGTTCGACCGGCTAGCTTTGTGTATGGAAACATGATGGAGCGCCCTGCATTTGCTGGATGGTTGGGACAAAACAGCAAGCAAGGTATGTTTCTTCCACCCAAATCTTCTCGACACATTTCTAACACCGTTATGCAGGGAAATTGTGGCGCTACGTCAAAGAAATTCAAGGTCATATGCGTCTACGTGCGTCTGGCGATCGGGATGAGATTCGTCAACAGTACATGCCCTTGCTCTGGGATCGCCTGGTTCGGAGGTTGATGGATGATGGCAAAGACGCTGTTGAAGAAGTCATCGACTTCATGGATAGTTACTTCCTCACCAGGGAAGACTGGGATGCCCTCGTGGAGCTAGGATTGGGTCCAATGAATGAAGGCAACGTGAAGCTGGAAACGCAGGCGAAGGCTTCATTTACGCGGGTTTACAATCAACGCTCACACCCACTTCCGTTTATCAAGGCGAGCACTGTGTCAGCGCCCAAGAAGGTGGCAAAGGAGAAACCTGATATCGAGGACGCTGTGGAGGAATCAGATGAAGAGGAAGTCGTCGAAGAGTCGAAGGATGACGAGGAAGCTGACGAACTTGACCTCAAGAAAGACAAATATGTCCGGGTGCCCAAGAAGCCGGCTGCCAAGAGCGGTGCCAGCAAAGGGAAGAAGACCAAAAAGAGCGCCGACGAAGATGTCGATGAAGACGAGAAGCCGAAGAAGGCGAGGGGTCGGAAGCCTAAGGCGAAATCTGGCTGATGTTGAGACGAAATGAATGCTTCGGTGTACGATACTCTGAGTGAGCTATAGATGTGTGCTGGCTGGATGTTGTAGAACTACTTATATTTAGTAGCAAAGACAAATATTGGACAACTTAAGGGCCTTTTCAAGACCTACTCAATTGTTCTATTAATCGTAACGCCCAGCTTGAAGGAATGATAGTGCCTGCCTGACAATGGTTGACCACTTGTCACAGGTGGGCTGGCCACCACTTCGCGTTCCTTCCACCCAGCCAAAAATGAAGTAGAACAACCATCCAATACTCCACCAAAAACGGCGATATAAGAAAGAGGGGGGGAGGGAGCTGGACAAGAGGACCGGATCGCCTCGTCAATTGAGGCTTCAATCATGAAGTATCCCATTTATACGCTAAGCGGGGGCGTTTTACAACGTTCGGAGGTCAACTAATATGCAGACGTGCCTCCAAAGAATCTTGAAGAGAACTGGTGATATTGATACGCGTGGTCAGATCGTGTACTGTAAATTCACACTCCTGGAGGAGTAAGCTTTGGAGAAGTGGGTTGGCTGCCTGGACTAGGGCGGTGCGGAGAAGCGACGCGACTGCGACACCGCATACTCGGGATCCTCCCCTCCCGTGAGATTGATTGATTGCTTGCTTCCTCCACAACCCACTCTGCCGTCTCACTTGACTACTAACAAGTTATCTCTCTTTACCACCCTTTCCCGCAGCTACCCAGGCTGGTCCTGGTTGATACTCGACATTCTCTTTTCTTTGCATCCATTGCTGCTTGGACTTGGTGCATCTCTCTCCTCCCCTTTGTCACGGCATCCCAGGACCATGTCCACTCGATCACCGATAGCGGTTTCGCATCGTCCGACGTAAATGGTGACCACTTTCGGCTGCGACACACCCTTCGAACTTCTGTACAAACTGCATTTGGGTTTGCGCTCTATTGAAAATGTCTCTCCTTCACAATGAGGAGTATGTTCAAGACTTCAACCCCCTCATTGCCTGGTTTGCGTGGGGTCTGTTGGTTTTTTGTGTTCGTGCTAGGGACTGACGCGGGTTCAGTTTCACGATATGGCAACTGCGCACTTCTTATCTTTCAACCATAAAAGATGGTATCGGTGACCGCCTCATCAACGTTAACAACACTGTGCTCAATACTCCCGGTTTCCGTGCGGCTGGTTGGTCTTCCGCCGCCGCCAACCCTAACACCCAGACAGCCGCTGCTCATATCAAACGGACATACTCTCCTCCAATACCCCTCACAACAGCAGTCGCCTCGGAATATTATCAACTTGGCATCGCGAGAGATGCCAATGAGTCGTCCAGACTTGGATTAGGGGAGGATGGCGAGGACGACGAGGGGGGAATGGTAACAGGCAAGAGCAACATGGAGGTTATTGGGAGACGAAATATCAGGGGGAAACGCACGCACCGGAGAGATCGTCAGCAGAATGACCAACTAAAACAACGAGAAGCCGAGGAAGACGATAGCAGTGATTTGAGTGACGAGAGCGACGATGATGGGGATAGCGCTCCGAGGTGGGTAAATCGACATCACTAAGACGAAAATAAAAAAAGAAAGAAAGAAAGAAACCTGACCGCTAAATGCTTATTTTCTGCAGTGGTGCCAGCCAAATCAAGTTTCCTAAGCTGCCAATCCGTACAAGGGCCGGATCATCTCCTATACGTTCCATTGATCGCCAGGAAGACCCGCAGGTCATGGTCACATCCCCATCGCATCCTACGATGGGCACCCATTATCGCACAGGTTCATTGGGAACTGCTGTTAGTAGTGTCAATGAACGACCTCGTCGGGATACAACTACGACAGCCAGTAGTGACCTCTCATCTGACAACGATCTTGGTTCATCGCTGTTCAAGAGGAGACAGATACAGTTTTCCGGCCAAGATCAAGTCATAGAACTCAGAAGGTACAGACACGGGACTGGAAACAGGGATCTTGAAGAATTGGATGAGCAGGCAGAGGACTCCGGTGCAGAGTCGGTGGGATCGGCTCTTTCGTCGGATTTTGACGCTACTGCTGGGTCGACATCGCTTTTGGAAAATGTTGGTATTACTGGTAGCCTGAATTCCTCCTCTCCAATTGCTTTGATGCACAAATTGCAAAACGGGGCGGGATCACAGACTGCATCTCCACGAAAGTCCCGGGCTCCTGCTCCGGAGTTGCAGGACCTCCCGCCACCTCGTCCTATCAGCACGGTACAGCCTGTGAGTCTGCTCTCGAAGGCCCTCAATGCGCGCAAGCAAGCGCCTACCAACCCAGTCGAGAAGTTTGCAGTACTTTCCGGCAAAGGTCTGACCGATGCGCTAAATGTCAAATTGTACCTGCCATTCTCTACTGATCCTGATGAGCCATTGGAACTGCCAATCGCCCGGGAGTCGAAGCTAGCGGAGCAGCCAGCCCCAGTTACAGTCGTCGAAACCATTGGATTGGCTCTCTGGCGGTACACAGAGGAGGGCCGCGAACCGCCCATTGATCGAAGCAAGCTTACTGTAAACATGTGGACGCTACGCATGGTGGAAGATGGCGAAGTCGAGTACGACTTTCCCCCACTGGGCCGTACATCAGCAATCACCGATTTTACCTCGAATAACAATCGGGGAGCTGGCCGCCGGACCCGAGGAAAACAATACGATGAGTTTGCTCTTGTCGAAGCGTCCAGTGCTGAATTTGAAGAAAACGAACGTCTCTTTCCCATGTTCAGTCTGGCACCATCCTCGGAGGACAGTACTGCTGATGTCCCTGCCAGTGCGCCTGCACCAGAAAGTCAGCCACTGCCACAGGCTAAGGCTCCTCGCCCAAACCCTATTCTCGGCCAGCCCTTCTCCTCGGCCCTCAACGACAATACATTGACACCTGCCGATCGGCCAGCCGTGCCTACGTCTCACGCTACGCCTCGCATGGGGGTCTCTAAAACGTTGAAGATTCGATACACGAATGTGGAAGCCTCAACACAAGTGATGACGCTTAATACTTCCACTGACAGCTACATTGCCGAGATCCTTGATTCCGTGTGCAAACGATGGGGCCTTGATAAGGGCAATTATCTGTTAAAGGTTATGGGATCTAGTACAATTGCGCCGTTGGATCGGACAGTGGAAGCTCTAGGCAATTTCACCGATCTAGACCTCGTGCGTCGGCGCTTTGGCCCTCAATTGACCGGGTCTCCTGGCAGCTCCTCGCCAAATGCCCCCCTTCTCATCGACAGCAATACTGCTCCGGCAAAGAAGGGCAAGAAGAGCGGCCAACGCATGCTCCACCCGCTCACGCAGAAGCAAGACCTCGCGGGGGGCTACTACCGACGATACTACGTCTGGCGCAAACAATCTATGTCATTTACGCAGTCTAACCATCGGGTTTTGACGTTTGACAATGACTACATGCATATCATGCCGGCGGATACAGGCAAGACGGTCTCCGACACGAAGACACGGTCGATCAGCTTCAACGACGTGGTGGGATGCAAAGTGAGTCGACGACACCCTAAGAATTTCCGGGTGGTTGTTTTGCGCGGCAATGATGCCAATGAACAGAAACGGTATGACTTCGAGGCACGCAATGCGCTCGAGGCGGTGGAAATTGTGGATGAGATCAAGAAGAACATGGCGCACTATCGTATTTAGGCAGGGAGCCTTCCTATTTGCATTCAATGCATTCTTGTACTGGGGATGAAACAGCATTCTGGGAATGGAGTGTGCCGCGGGCGTTGATTTACAGTATTTGGTGTTCTTCGCTGTGGGTGGGAGGTGCTTTTGCTACTCAATTCCGCCTGGATGGCATGCCAAGCACAGTACTAGGGTTAACATATATACCTTACTTATTTCACATCTTAAGGTTAAGATGCGTGGGGAAGTGTCAATGTAGCAAGAGGGTCAATCAAGGTTTAAGCCAATGTAACACAGAGACGCATGGAGTAGTTATGTTCAGCATCTGGCAGGAAGCCATAGATGGCGGAGGGGTGAGGGACGGGATGCAAGCGTCCATGATCTGAGAATCCTCGACGGATAGGCGCAGACACTCAACCATTCTTGACCCAAAAACACCCCGAAAGCGGGGCGATCCACAACACCCCCGACTTGGAAGCTAGACCCGAAGTAGAAATGTCGAGATATCCATCGGGGCGGGGGCGGTTAGTGATGAAGTCACCGCTTCAGCTACTCTGATGTTGTGGGCCACGTTGACTCCGGAAGAAAACAGATATGCCTCCAGCCTGACAGTGTCAACCAGAGTTTTGAGACATGGGCTCCAAAAGAACAGGGAACCACAGAGTGACTACAGTACCGAGGGTCTATCACGTCAAGACGGAATCGACCGTTAACGACGACAATTGGACTTTGTATACTGCCAGAAAATCGGAAGAGCCGATCTGGGACAGGAGGGATGATGACCTCATTGCATCGGGGTAGGTAAGTTTGTTATCAAAGCTGGGATGATTGAATGACGAGGATTGACATACATCTCCCGACTCCCAGAGGGCTGGTCCATGGATCGTGGCGACTTTATTTCGGAGTGAGCCTCGGTGGGAAAATCAGGTCATGATGATATTATAGGGAGTTTGGTCAAGGTGGACTCCGGGGTTTCTCCATGATATACAATACTTCTTACTCAATAAGAATGGCCAGGTGGTCGGTCCGTACTCGGGCAGCAGTGGTTGGTTGACGTGAAACAATATAGGTACTTATTTGTTCAGATAGTTCTATACAGATCTCGACATGTGCATGTTGTGTAGTTATAGCGATTCCCAACTAAGATATCGCCAGGCCCCATTAACATTATCCCTGATCTAACTGGAGTAGTCGATAGAAACTAAGTCATTTAGCCCATCTACCAGCAGCCAGCCCTTTGAGCTTGACGCAAATCCGACCCCGCTTCTGCTTCTTATTCTCCCTCTTCCTCTTCACTGCTGTTTTGGCTTCTTTTTTGTCAATTCCCCCCTTCTTCCTCTGTTGCTACTCATCTCTCTTCTCGTTTCTTCGTCCCCTCGGAACTTCTTCTGTTAGTGAGCTGCTAAAACAGTCTTAAAAGCGAACTACACGTCTGGCAATCATCCTCTGAGCCAATTGAGTTTTCGTTGACCGCCGTCTCAAGTTCCGAGTTGAGACCTTCTTGTTGGGTGGTGGCTCCGCTGTATCCGCGCCCGAACCGTCCGAGAGGAAAGAGAAAAAGAGTTGCTTGAGTGAAAGAGTCGGAGAGGAAAGAATCCTCAAAGCAGAAAAGGAAAAAGCAGAGAGAGAGAAGAAAAAGAGACAAAAAAATAATTACTGCCGTTCAAGCCCTCTGATTCCCCCTCCTTTTGCCTGGGCTTTCTTTCCCCTCCCCCTCCAAATCCCTTTTTGGCCTCCCGAGAAAGTGCAACTTGCTGCAAAAAAAAGAGGGGCTGAACTACGGAGACTCTCTCTCTCTCTCTCTTTACTTACTTTCTCGTGTCGTGCACACAATCCCGACCCCCTCCTCCCCTTCCCCTCAAACGTATTCCCCCCCCCAAAAACACAACCTCCTAATTTTTCCTCTTTCCCACATAGACCTTATTGTATGGTCTGTGTGCTTGTTTTATATCTCAAACTTGTTTCAGATTTCTGTTCTCGATGCCTAGTTTAGGAGGTTTATTGAAGAAGCGGCGAACTAAAGATTCGCAGACCCTCTCCAAAGAGCTCGAAGCCGGTTCGGCCCAGACGCAGACGTCACCAAACGCTGCCGAAGACAACGACACCCAACACCACCACCACCATAATCCTCTTCACCTTCTGCATCACCACCACCACCACAACCAGGATCAGCAGCAACAACAACAACAACAACAGCAGCAGCAGCAACCTGCCACCAATTCCGCTCAGACTGCCGACCCCGCAAATCAGCCGCAAAATTTGGCCGCCAATCAAGCCAATCGCTCTTCCACTGCTGATCAGCCAACCGACGCTCAACCAGCCTCCATGCAATCCGCCGTGTCGCAGGCTTCGCCTTCCCAACACACCGCCGGTGTCTCACAGTCCAGTGTCAATGCCGCCAGCATACAGAATATAATTCACTCTTCCCAGCAGGGTTCGACGCACGCTGGCTCCGGCAGCCAGGCGCAGCAGAGCCAAGCCGCCCACCGGGACGCTCGCACCACTAAGGGAAAGTACTCTCTAGATGACTTCATTCTGCAGCGCACATTGGGTACCGGCAGTTTTGGTCGTGTTCACCTCGTGCAGTCCAAGCACAACCATCGCTTCTATGCTATCAAAGTATTGAAGAAGGCGCAGGTGGTGAAGATGAAGCAGATCGAGCACACTAACGACGAGCGTCGGATGTTGAACCGCGTCAGGCACCCATTCCTGATTACTCTTTGGGGCACATGGCAAGATTCGCGCAATTTGTACATGGTCATGGACTTTGTGGAAGGTGGAGAACTTTTCAGTCTGCTGCGCAAGTCCCAGGTGGGTGGTCGCATAACCTTGCGTGGTATCGGACTCTCCACGGTAATCCGTGCTAATGACCTCCTAGCGATTCCCTAATCCTGTCGCCAAGTTCTATGCCGCCGAGGTGACTCTCGCCTTGGAGTATCTGCACTCTCAACAGATCATCTACCGTGATCTCAAGCCCGAGAACTTACTTCTGGATCGACACGGACACCTGAAGATCACTGACTTTGGTTTCGCGAAGGAGGTCCCGGACATCACCTGGACCCTCTGTGGTACTCCTGATTACCTGGCCCCAGAAGTCGTGTCTTCCAAGGGCTACAACAAATCAGTGGATTGGTAAGGATCTATGCACCAGAGGAAGGCCGTCGTTTGCTAACAATTTCAAAAGGTGGTCACTGGGGATTTTGATCTTTGAGATGCTCTGTGGTTTCACACCTTTCTGGGACAGCGGCTCCCCTGTGAAGATCTATGAGAACATCCTGCGCGGTAGGGTCAAGTATCCCCCTTACCTGCACCCGGATGCTGTCGATCTGTTGTCGCAGCTCATCACTGCGGATCTGACCAAGCGTCTGGGCAATCTTCACGGAGGCTCTGAGGATGTGAAGAACCACCCTTGGTTTGCGGAGGTCACTTGGGACCGCCTAGCTCGGAAGGATATCGATGCTCCTTATGTGCCACCCATTCGGGGAGGACAAGGTGACGCCAGCCAGTACGACCGGTATCCGGAGGAGACGGAACAATACGGCATGGCTGGAGAAGATCCGTACGTATCACCCATTCCGGCGTTCTCGTGCAGATAGTCGCTAACGTGTTACTAGTCACGGCCATCTGTTCCCTGACTTCTAGTGGTCGCCATGATTCATGATCAGATAATATCCCGCTTTCCATGGATTGGATCCCGCGGAATCGAGTCGATCGATGGTTCCCGGGCGTTCGAGTGCGGGTATGATATTCCCGGAGTTTGTCTAGAGGCTACCGAGAGTAGCCTTGTTCTTGAGTTATCTTGTGACGCTGTTGCTCAACGATTCTTTCTCTGCGTCGGCTTGTCTTTTCCATGATCGCTGGCCGAATCAAGCCTTGGCTGCCCCAGACTTTAGAGCATACAACGATATGGTCTTGTCCTATTTCACATGTGTCCTATTCCACTTTCCTGGGAACGCGCTTGGCGCAAGCCCTCCATTTTCGTTGTTGAATCCTATTCAGTCTCGTGACTTTTATTGCGACTCAATTTCTAGCTCGTCGTTCGCGCAAATACGTCTACGGCGCCTTTACTTATGGACCCCTGTCTGCTGCTGGTTGTTATCGCGAGAAGACGTGGCTGGAGTTATCTACCGTGGTAGCGGTGCTAAATAGTGCGGGGGCGTCTGTCTATTGCCGATGCCAATCACGACCCCTCTTTCAATTGATGTCGTGCTGTTTTATATTTACGTTGTGCAAATACTGGAGGATCTACTTGAGGGTTCTTGGTTCTTGTTCTTTGTGTCCTCTGTGTGTGTGTGTGGGTGTGTGTGTGTGGAGGCTATTTTGTACTGTACATACATTGGGGATCTTCTAATAGCTATAAAAGTCGGCCTTGGAGATATGAGGACACGAGGATACCCGAAGTGCCGCTCGTTAGTCGGCATAGAAGAGGAAACCAGAAGAGCCTTAGTGAAACAGAGCCGAAGAAATTCTGATTGTTAGATCAAACGGGCTCCCCGACCATCTTGTCGAATGCGCAAAGAGTCACGGCCTTGATGAAGGCCACCCAATAGTATACATGGAAAAATTCAGAGAAACATATGTCATTGATTCCACCCCTTTTGCTGTTATTTTCCCCCTCTGTATAACTTCTTCCCGTGCGTTTCAATTACATCGACAGACCCGACAAGTCGGCGCCGCCCAGGTTCTTGGATTCCTTGGAGACGCGGGCGATGTAGGCGCGGCTGGTGGCGTTCCAGAAACCAATGTACTTCTCCATGCATTGCGACAAGCAGGTGGACTCCTTGGTCGTAAGGGAGTTGCCGGGAGTGGGGACGCAGGCTTCGAAGCAGTGCTCGTTGACTTTCTATTTGCGGCGTTAGATTGATGTTGGTGGATGGCAGTATCGGTGTTGATAGGGCATATGTGAGGAAACAGCAGATAATCAGGTAGGTAGGTAAGTAGTAGATAGAGGATTGGTATTGTTGAAAGATAGGGGCAAGGGGAAGACATACGCCGATCAAGTTCCGGGCATTGCTCATGGCGGCCTCTTCCTGGACTTGACGGATGAGCGAGGCCTTGATCTCCTGGCTAGTGGAGGGGGTGGATTCAGCCGGGGAGGAGGAACCGAAGAGGGCCATTGTGAAGGATTCGCTCGGGTGTGGTGAGGGAACTTAAGAAGATTAAGGGTGAAAGTGTGTATGAATTGTTTCTTATTTGATTGATTGGCAGTTGCAAGTGACGACTTAGATTGCCGCGGCCGCACTTACAAGATCTTGCGGCGCGGCGGCGAGAACGGGGCAGGTAAGTGTGGCTGGTGCGTTTGGTCCCGAAAAGCAAGGGCTGGCTTGGCTGCGCCACACATCTATGAGCTAAAAAGTACCCGGCCGATGTGGACACTTGGATGTTGTTTGGTCTCTTTAGTCTATAGATTCCCCTTCTCCTCCATCCAGAACCACACAAACCACCTGTCATTCTCTCCGGCTCCCACTCCGTCTATCTTCGGTGTTCATTCTTTTCCTCTCTCCGCTTGCTCCCACGCTACTATTTTTGAACTCCCGGGCTGGGATTCTTTTATTTTCCCCCGCAAATTGAGGTGAGTCTGAGGTTCTGGGCTTGTTTATTTGAGTTTCCCTCCACTTGAAGCTTGCTGTTCATCTGACGTGTGAGGAGGGCTGCCTTTGCCCGAACTTTGGTCAAAGTAGGAGTCGTATGTCCTGGTGACAAATTCTATCTTCCTTGCTTCTGAACCTTTACCGGTCTTGCGAAACATCGTCTATCGTTTCGGTCTTGTGCGCCCCAGTCTCAAACTAAGCTTCTGATATCACCATGCTGCTTCCGCGGCTCTCGTCTCTCCTATGCCTGGCCGGCCTTGCCTCGGTCCCAGTCGCCAATGCCTACGATGGCGATGATGTCAAGAGCATTCCGGTGTGTACCATCTAGCCTGAGTTAGCAATCAGTTTCGAGTGCTGTCGCCGAACATGTGTACTAACTGCTGGGGTTTGCGCGGGGTCGAATAGCTCCGGACTCATAGTCTCGCACCGGTGCGTTTCCCACTCCACCCCACGGAGGGTTATGATTCTAAGCAGTCTTTTTGTTGACAACTCTATTTTGCTCATTCACAGCCATACTTGGATTCCGACTTCCAAAGCCGCTGGTTCGATTTTGGTGGTGATACGATAATTCGGGCGGACCAGTACGAGAAAAACCCCCCAGCTCTTTGCGCAACTACCCCAGAAAGAAAGCTGACCTCCGCACGTTGTTGCGTGCCAGATACATCCGTCTTACCTCCGATCGGCCATCGCAGCAGGGATGGATTTTCTCTCGGGTTCCTCTGACCGCGACGAACTGGGAGGTTAGTTAATAGTGCTCTTTACTGGCTTGCAGCAGGGTTGAACGGGAAATGATTGAAGGGGACATGGCGGTTGACACGAAACATGATATACAGATCGAGGTTGAATTCAAGATCCACGGAAACGGCAACCTGCACGGCGATGGATTCGCCATGTGGCTCACCAAGCAGCGCGCGACGCAGGGACCCGTCTTCGGCTCGACGGATAACTTCGAGGGTCTGGGCATCTTCTTCGATACCTACAAGAACAACCGCCCCGGTACTACGTTCCCCTACGTCATGGCTATGATGGGTGATGGCCAGACCTCTTACGACCAGGCGCATGATGGCCGCGCCAACGAACTAGCTGGCTGCTCTGTACGTTCTTCTGGTTGTCGCATTGCGGGCGGTTTGTTGCTAACTGAAATCAAAAGGCTCGTGGTCTCCGTGGCGCCTCTATCCCCACCAAGGCCCGGTTGACTTACTTCCAGGATAAGTCCCTGACGCTGGAACTGCAGTACAAGAAGGAGGACACCTGGATCCAATGCTTCGAGCTCAACGCCCAGGACCACAACATTGCTATCCCCTCGGTCGCCTACCTCGGTTTCTCCGCGGAGACGGGCGAGCTGAGCGACAACTTCGATATCGTTTCCGTCAAGTCCCAGAACCTGTACAGTGTTGGCGGCAGCAGTGCCGGGGGCGGCAAGGGTCCCTCCGGTCGCGCCCGCCAGGACTCTGGCAAGGTCAAGCGCCGGCAGAAGAAGGGCAGCTGGGGCTGGTTCCTGTTTAAAGTGATGTTGTTCCTGGCGGCTGTCGTTGGTGCCTATGTTGGTTGGACTGCTTATCGGTCCAAGCAGCGTTACTCGAGATATTAGAGAGCGGGTGAAGCGAGAAGAAAGTTTCGAGTTCTTTTTGTATCTGTGAATGCGTATATGAATTTGACTGAGCAGGTGAAAATCAAGTTAGCCATCAGCACTGACGGCGTTTCTGTTGTTGGTCGTTATCACATGTCTATCGTAGGGTATATTCTAAATCGTCATACTCGCTAAACAAGCGCCAGTAATGCATTTCCAATCGAGAAAGATTGAGGACACCAACTCCACTTCGGTTATCCCGCCAGCAGGACTTCATCTCAGCTCTGTGCCCTCAGCTCATTCCACATGTGATCGATAATCTGAAACACCTCAGTGACCGAGCGCAGCACCGCCTCCTCAATCCCGAGCACCCCATAGCGATGCTGGATCTTATCCGGATGCCACCGAACGCGCTCCGCCTTGAGCACTGCCAACAAGGTCGCCGTGGACGGGCTAGCCGTGTACTCGGGACACCGGCGCATAAACTCCTCCACATTCTCCTTATTGACATCCCTTCGTTTCCCCGATTCGACGGGCCAGAAGACAAGATTGCGAAAGCTCTGCCGTCTTTCTCCCGGAGATTCTGCCCTCTCCCTCTCCCTCTCCCTGTCTTCTGTGTTGGCTTGCGCCTTCGCAGTCGCAACCTCCCGATCCAAAACCCCCCACCCCTCCACATACCTGCCCCAAACCTCCCTCCACTCCTGCTTCGCGACCTTCCGCGCCCGCCCGCGCCGCAAACTCTCCTCCATAGCCGCCTCAAACGCCCGCCGTTCATCTGCCGCAAACGCCCGCCGCGCCCGCTTCGCGTCCGCCTGTCGCTGCGCCTCCCGCTCCGCCCGCAACTTCTCCTGCGCAAACAACATCCCCTCGCGCGTCCGCTCCCACATCCGACTCCGCACGTACGCCGCGTACTCCTCCTCGTCCATCTGCTCCAGCTCGCCCCCGGGTCCCTTCGGGATCGAGGGGATGGCGTACGTGTGGATCGGTTGTCCGTAGACGGATTCCCAGTAGTTGGCGCCTTCGTCGTCGCCGAGGGCGTCGAAGAGGGATTCCCGGAAGGCGGTGTCTGGGTCGAGGGAGGTCGGTTCTTCTTGTTGTTGTGGTGGGTGGGTGGTGCGGTGGGCGCGGTGAGCACGGTGAGCACGGTGAGCACGGTGAGCACGGTGAGCACGGTGAGCACGGTGAGCACGGTGGCGGGATTCTTTGTCTTGGGGTTTGTGTTTGTCTCGCTGGCTGGGCTTGTGACTGGATGAACGGTGGGGGGATTTGAAGCGGAATCGTTTGCGGCGCGGGGGGGCCGAGGAGTCGTCGTGGTTTGGGGAGGGGGGTGAGGAGGGGGGTCGAGGTTGTTTCGAGGGGGAGGTAGAGGGCGGGGGAGGGGGTGAGGTTGTGGTGTGTGGTCGTTCGGTCATTGTGAGGTGCGGTTGAGTTGCTGCGATAGTATGGTGAAGATGGGTGGGATGATGGAGCTCAGGTGTAGTATGTTCGCGGCATCTTTGGGGTGAGGAGTTACTGAAGGGAAAAAAAAAGGCCGGGGCTGGTGAAGTTGATGGGTATAGAAGGTTCTTGTCGTAAGTTTGTGGTAGCCTTGAAAGGGATGCGGATTGTGACGATGTGAAGCTAGAATGTAGAAGTGGGTTGGTACTCCGTAGTAGATGTTGATTGAAGCGATGGAGCTTACGAAGAAGTAGTAATATTTCTCCAGATTGGAGGTACTGGTGACTAATCAACTGATTAATGCATCTTAGGCACGGCTCGGGAAACCCCCTCGGATGCCACTACAACAACACAAGTATACTAACTCCATCATTCATCACTATCATCACCACCATCATCTTCACAATCAATCTCACCATTCCCCCCCTTGTCTGTCTTTGAAGCGCCTTCAGACTCAATGATACCCATCTTTCTGGTGTGGCAGGCTACGTCAGCTATGCTCACTTTGTTTACACCTTGAGCCGCAACCATCTAGGCGAAAGAGATGTGTCCCGCCACGTCAAACTCCTCACTTTTGGGGAATGAAATCCGGTTACGGGATTCTATCCTCAGTGCAAAGAGCTTGTGGCCCTAAAGACAGTGGTAGGCGGGCCATCTCCGCCACACCGTTGCGTTTGACTTGCTCTAGCTAGATGCAAGTGAACCCCAGCATAGGCTGGATTGCGGTGAAGCGGTGTGGAGATGGAGTGAAACTGAAAGAAAGAGCTGGAGGCAGTCTCAGCAAGCAGGCCCCGTCATCTGTCCGTTAAGGGTGGTGTCACTGAGCTGAGCTGCGAGGTACATCTCGATGCTCGGACAGACTGAAGCTCTGGCTACGAGTTGCGGGATTAATACGGTCATTTGCGAGATTTCAACGTGTGGGCTTGTCACAAAAGCAACATCTGCTTTGGAGAGGTTGTGTAAATGTTTCCTGTATACAGTTTGTCGCAAGCATGTTGGCTGTGTATGTGTAGGCGACAGATAGTAGGTGCTGGGGTTATGGATTTTGAGGCTGTTACGGCGTAAGCTTGTCTGAGATAGGGCATGAAGTACTCCATACAGGAGGGCCCCACCAGCTACTAGGGAGTGCTCTCGGTGAGCAAGCGGTTGCGAGGGCTGCAAAAAGAGAAAGTCAGTGCATCATCCGTGAATCGAACACGGGCCTCATCGATGGCAACGATGAATTCTACCACTAGACCAATGATGCTGAGCACGGCTTCTGTGGCTTTGTTTTGCATAATGATGCTGTATGATTGTTCTGGTTCATTGCAAGGTCGCAAATCGGGATTGAACTGCTCATTCTTCCAGCCTCTTTCGCTTCTATGCCCCTGGAACCCGTAACTGTCACATTGTATACTAACAAAAACTGTTAATGGGCTACAGAAACTGCTTCGTAACTCCGGCTTGGGTCCCGTCATCTCGGGTATGTCTGCTGCTTTCCCCATTGTCAAACCTCCGCGTTATGACACATCGCTGCGTGTCACGCTCGGGGCAGCTCTGCCGTGGGGATCAGACACACGATACGGTGCTGAGTGACAATGACTGGTTCCAGTAGACTAATCTGTGTGTGTGAGAGCGGTGAGAGCTGAAGAGTCTTCGCAGCCACTGACTCGATTCGGAAGTGTAAGCATATCATGGGATCAGGGTCTGTTTAGCGACATGCGTGGCAGAAATACATTGTCCCTTGGGTATCTGGCATACCTGCCACAAAATATGTCAAGAGCAAGCCCGTGGTTCACAGATCATGTCTGCATATAATTGGACGGGATCTTCAAGAAAGACAGCATTCCTCGTATTCTCTAACTTCACGTCGAACATGTTCAGTGAGTCAGCTACTCAGGACTTGGTAGAATGCAATTTGCAGCAGTCCCCGGGCAGACCCAGCGGAGCTCCGAGTACGGGTTACAGTTACGCACATACATATTCGATAGTACTATGACTATGAACTGTTTCTTGTGCTCGCGGAAATATGAGTCTGTATTAGAGGCTCCGGTCAGCTGCTGGCTGGCCGGGCGGTCCGTGTACGGCATTCACAAAACTAGCTGTCATTATAAGTCAAAATAATCCCAGCATTCACAGCTAGCCTAGGTAGTCAAGTCAATAACTCTGAACTCACTCTTGAATGCGAAATTGCAGTGATCGATATCGGCACTCCGTCCAGAACTTAGGGCTAACTTAGAGCAGCGGCTGTTATCTTATCGGACATGATGTCACATCGAAAAGTCGACATTGAGTCTACTACTCAACCTCAACCACACCAGACTAGATTTTGACTGAAATAGCTCATCAAGAGCCTGCTGTCAAATGCTTCTGACCCAAGTAAAGAGTAAAAGATATCAGGAACAGCATTTGGCGGGAAGAATCACCCTTCGAATCCCAAACCCGCCGCAGCACCACCCCGAGCAAGCAACCGTCCTCGATACACTGCCAAATATTGCAGCCTGAACCCCCAGGTGTCAACAGCTTCTCTCTTCCTCCATCACGGGCTATCAGCTTCGAAGGGTCGGGCAGTAATTCAACCCTCCTAAGCATTATATCCTTACTTATCTAGATATCTATACTTTTAGCTTCGAGGGAAAAATTGAAATTACCCCAAAGACTTCAAAATAAAGTAATCCCGAAAGATACTAGTCTCTGTTAGTACAGAATCCTAATATAAAGAATCTTCAGCTTTAAAACCCCTAATATTGCTAATATGTACTAAAAAGCTCTAAGAGGATTTAGAAAAGCTTGAATGAATCAAGAACTAATGCAATTCGAGGGGGTCAGAGTATGGTCTGAGCAGCTCTGACCCCCTCCGTGCTGATCCCCTGGAGAAAAACCTACTATTTGTCCCCCTACGCTATGATAAGAGTCGCATACCAAGTGAATAAATTCTTGCTTTGTTTGTAACTACGTAGATGCTAGCTCTTAAGAGGTATCTTGTGATCCCTCGTCCAATGGATCCCACACTCTTCTCTGAATGCCTTCTCCGCACAGCTTCTTTTCTTCTCACTGACCACATCAGAAGGCTTGGTCAAGTATTTCATCCAACCGAGACGAGGGAACATACTCTACGAATATCTTCTCTGGTAGGTAAGGATGGCGATCCGTTTGACTCGCTTCTTGACATGTGCCTTCAGGTGTTCAACACCTTGCATTATCGGGATGGACTCTCCCTTGAAGAGAATTAGTAGACAACGACTTGGCTATGCTGCCTACCACTGGGGCATCTTCACTTCACCGAAGACATCCGCAGCGCGAAGTTGCTATTCTTACGATGTAACCGATGGGGCCCATCCAGACCCTGTCACCAGAGTTGATCACAATCCAGAACGAAACTGGTTTTTCCGAGTGAGGCCGAACGTCGATTCAATGCTGACTAGCCATCTTCTTGGAAGTATAGCCAAGGTATGATTGGCAAGGTTCCAAACGAACTTGCCCACGCGAAGATACAGACGCATCTCGAATCAATTCCCCTTCCCAGACAAGGGGTTTTACCGGAGAAACTGTGTCCGCTGGACAAACAAGGCCCTGCGATCCCAAAGTTGCAGCAGAAAGGCTTAGGGGAGCAATCTGACATTGATCGGTTCATGCCTGATTCACTTGCTTTTGCTGATTAGCGTACGATGAGTCCTGACTCTGCGGCAAATATTAACAAATCCACGAGCCGACCAAGGTAGTGTACCATTGCCTTCGACTTTATTACCTCACTGCAGCGAACTTACCTCAAACTTTGGTTCTGAGGCAGGCTGTAACATGATATCATAGTAACCGATAATCGCTGCTAAAGTGGAAGTCCTGGTTGATCGCATTGTCTCCAGAGCGCTCGTTCGGCTCTCAGCTCATCATCATAGTTCGCCAATCCCAAGCCTCCGTACCAATCCGGCATCTCGATCTCACCGAGTATGCTTTGGGATTCTCCCAAGATTCTGGATATCAGTCACCGAATTTGCCAATCAATGACTGCAGCGATTGTCTATCCGTCCCATTGTTCGCAACAACATTTTGAGGACAGAGGTCAGCGAGGATGAAACAGCTTCGGTAATGACGCGAGTGACAAGCAGTGACTTCTTGGCCAAACACTTGGGTGCAGTTCTCAATATCGTCTCCGATGAAAGGAGTGGAAGTCTGGATGATCGTTGAATGGACCCAAAGTCGACGGCCCGACACGATGGATTCAACACATGCTTGGAGATTCGTTGATCCCACGACTCCTTTATGCGGGGGTTTCAAGCTCCGGAGCTGGCCGACATAGCCTGCAACCTCGGTGATGATGTGTCTTCTCTGATCTTGTGATGGATGGGGAGTACTCCAAACTAATCAGAGCTTGATTCACACTCTGCGTCCAGTGTTAGATCACGTGACTGGGAATCAGAAGGAAAGTGCGTCAGGCTGACGGTCAACCACCTGAGATTCTTCTGTGGATGTGTAGTTCACAAAGCATACGGAGTATATGAGATATGGTCTATCGTAGTATCGCTGATTAGTTTATGGTGTATACTGATTCGAATATAATTGATGTTGATCAGCTTATCGAATCTGCGGGTGCATCGAGCGAAGCAGCTGAGGTAACTCCGCATAAGTTGACTTAGTTATCTGTTTCCCTTCGACATCAACCGAACCTCCGCCACTCTTCACCTCCCCTCCCTCCACCCCAATCACCAGTCCAGCGAAACAAAGATCTTCAACAATGGCGCTTGTCGCCTACTCCGACTCAGAGGGCTCAGACTCCGAAGCTGAAACTCCCATTTCCACAAAACCCACCGCATCCACAGCCACAGCCACCACCACGACACCAGCACCCGCACCTCCGCCCTCGAATTCAACAACATCGTCAACAACAACAACCTTTCAAATCGACCGCTCAAACCCCCGCAAAATCCGCGTCGCTCTCCCCGATCACAAACCCGACAATGAGAATAACAACGACGGGCCCGCGCGCAAAAAGCCCCGTATTGGCGGGAGTGGGAGCGGCGGCGGCGGCGCATTCTCCGGCTTCAATGCGCTTCTCCCCGCCCCCAAGAAACCGGCCACAGCCCCGAAACCGACAGCCACGGGGTCGACTCGGAAGGTGTTTAGTCTGAAGACGGGCGCGACGCCGGGCTTTGATCGGCAGGCGGATGCGGAGATGCGGAGTGAGATGGCGTTCGGGCGGTTGGGGGGGATGGAGGCGGGGGATGAGACGATTCCGAAGGCAGGGAGCTTGAGGGGGGATATAGGGGATGATGGGCTTGGGGGTGATGGTGGTGGTGGTGATGGAGGAGAAGGGAAGGACAAGGGGAATGCGCCGCCGGAGGTCAAGTTGAAGGGGAATCCGATGATGTTTAAGCCTCTGTCTGTTGGCAGGGGGACGCAGGGGAAAGGGAAGAGGAAGGGTGGTCCGATTGCTGTTTATGATGGTGGTGGTCCTGCTAAGAAAAATAATCAAGAGGTAGTAGAAGGAGACGGTCGTGCGGCTGCAGCACCTGCGCCTGCACCTGCACCTGCACCAGCACCAGCCAAACCCAAGATCAGTCTGTTTTCGCTCTCCTCGTCCACAGAGACGACAGCACCAGCACCGACACCAGCACCAGCACCAGCAGCACCCACCCCCTACGAACCCCTCGTCTACACCACGTCCCAAGACACTGAACCTGCCGGTCCCGAACCCGCCCCCGCCTCCGCCCCTGCCTCCGAAACCATACCCGCCACTGCATCAACCACCACCACCACCAGCACCAACTCCCTCAGCGCCATCGCCGACGACCTCAACCTCACCCGCGCCCAGCGCCGCCAACTCTTCGGCCGCTCCGCTGCCGACCCGTCCTCCGCCGCGGCCGCCGCATCCGCCCGGGTGCTGCACTTCAACACGGACCGGGAATACGCCGCCAACCAGCAGATGGCCCACGAGACCGACCTCGCCGCCGCCCAGCACAACCCCGTTCGCGCCATCGCCCCGGGCAAGCACACCCTGCAGCAGTTGGTCAGCGCCGCCAGCACGCAGCGCGACGCCCTCGAGGAGAGTTTCGCCACAGGCAGGCGGAACAAGAAGGAGGCGGGGTCGAAGTATGGGTGGTAGCCCTTTTGGGTGATTCTTCTGTGGATAGATACCTCTTTGTGTGGTAGTTGGACTCCCTTCGGCCGTACTGATGGGAGGTGGATTGACTCTCGATATATGAGTTTTCGTCCCAGATCCCGGAATCTTCGTGTCAGCCCTTGTAAGTCTAGTAGTGAAGGTGGCGACGATGTGCGCTCCCTTTTGCAACAGCCTGCGTGCTCGTGAGTGGAGGCCAGGAAGCTGTATCTTGACTGAATGTAGAGGTCTCTATAAGTAAGATAGACAGAACTATTTGATGTATGAAAATCTATTCTTAGACTAGAAGCAAATATATACAAAACAAAATGCTAATTCCAAACTTTTTTCAAATGCAAGCAACCCCTAAGAAGAAACATCCACCACCTCGGCGAACCACTGCTTCAACGCCGTCGCCAGGACCGCGGGCAGCTCCCGCACATCGCGCACAACCAAATAGTACGGGAACGGAAATCCTTCGAGGTAGCGCTTCATCTTCAGCTTCATCTCCCCGGAGCCGCTCTCCAGGTCCGGCTCGAAGCTGGCCTGGCTGAGGTCGAGGATGGAGCTGCCCTTGACCGCGTCGACAATGATAAAGACAATCATGATGCGCTCCTCCTGCGCCTGGCGCACCAGGCGACGAATGGTGTCGTGGTCCTCGCAGATGCCGTCGGAGATGATCAGCTCGAGCTGCCAGAGGTCGGCGCCGCCGCCGCCGGGGGACTGCTTCCAGCGCGCCTCGCGGAACAGGGCGATCGAGTCGGCGATCAACTTGCGCACGTTGGTGCCCGTCTGCTGGTAGCTGAAGTGCTGGAAGACCTGGGTGCCGGCCTCGGACGAGAATGGCTTGCCGAACTCGTGCGCCACCCGCACGTGATCCTCGCTGCCGAAGCCGAGGACGCACAGGTCGCCCGCCTCGAGCATGCTGAGACTCTTGGCCACGAGCGCCAGCGTCTCGAATGCCAGCTGCCCGCTGCCGCCCTCCAGCATGGACTTGCTGTCGTCCACCGCCAGCATGATCTGGTAGTTGCGCTTCGATGGGATCGACCGCCGCATCCAGATCTTGTCCCGCTTGTACTGCGACGCGATGTACGGGATGATCCGCTTGATATTGAGGCGCTTGCCGGTGCGGAAGTCGCCGCGCAGTTTGGTGGCAAGCGTCGGGGCAAGGATGAGACGGAGCTGCTCCGTAAGCGACAGGGAGAGATCGGTGGTCGCCGACTCGTAGTACGACCAGAGGCGTTGGGCTTCGTCCCGTGGCGTGAGCGGGGGAAGGGTCGAGGATAGGTGAATGGCAGCCAGGTGTGCGTCAACCTCATCCAGTTCTTCGTCGGCAGCCTCCTGGCCGGCGGGGCCATCGGCTCGCTCCTGGTTCTGGAGGTTCCCAGGGATGAAGGCACCGGCTGTCTGTGACTCGGTGGGAACGCCTCCCTGGTCCAGTTGCATCTCATCTTCTAGTCGGTTATCGGGGAGATCCTGGATGTTATCGTCGGTGATATCTGGCAGGAGTTCGTTGTTCTCATCGGGCTTAACGTCGGACTCGACACCCTTGTTCTGGTCAAGGGCCTTGGCTTGTTCTTCATTGGCTTGACCAAGGGCCTGAGTGTCGGCCACATCGTCCTGATCGGCAAGATGCTCGAAGTCGGCATCCGCCATATCAGTGTCCTCGGGTAGTCGAGTCTCGGCCTCATCCTCTTCCTGTTTAGAAGCATCCAGGATCTCTTTTTGTCGGCGATGCCACTGCTCGAGGACATCGCCCAGTTTCTTGAATGCTTGGAGCTGAGGATCCTCGGGATTGCTATCGTTTGCGCCGCCTTCGTCCTTGTGCCTTTGATTCTCATCTCCTTCCTGCGCAGCGCCGGTCTTCTGCTCCTTCTCGTCAGAGGGATCGGTCGAGCCACTCTCCTGTTGCGCGTTACCGGACGAGCCTTTCTCCTGATTCTGATCTTGCTCGGACCCCAGTCCACCATTGACAGCTTCGCTAGGAGCGACTTCCTCGCCGGCCGCCTCGTTTTCATCGCGTTGAGCGAGGAAATCATCTTCCTGCTTGTCTTCTTCCTCCGCCTCCTCACCGGCTTCGTTCGCCTCCTCGTTGCCCTCAGCTTCGTCCGCATCGCCCAACTCGTCGTCTGGACCAGCCTCCTCGGTCTGATCAATCTCCTGCTCCTCACCATCTTGTTCCATGGTTTCGTCTTCGACACCACCATCACCTTCCATTTGCTGCTCCTCCTCCGCAGGAGGGAGGTCATTATCCATCAGATCATCATCAAGGCCGTCATCTTCCTCCGGCTCGTCATCGCCCTTCTCTTCTCCATCTAGCTGCATCTCCTCTGGAAGGTCGAGCGCCTCTTCTTCCTTTGCATGCGGATCGGTGACATCCATGTCCTCTCGTCCAACAGCTTCTCCTTCATCGTCAGGGACCTCTTCGCCCTCCTCCTCATCTTCCTCTTCCTCTTCCTCATCATCCTCTTTGCTCTCGCCCTTCTCGGCTTCCTGGCCGGGTTGCTGATCAGGCGCGGCCGTCTGCTCGTCATTTTCGGCGGCTCCCTTGCCCTCCTGCGTCTCAGTCTCCTTCTGTTGATCGTCGTGCTCGCCGTCCCACATCTTCTCGTCGACAGCCGATGCATCGAGATCATCAACATCGCCAACCTCTTCGTCAATATCATCCTCTTCATCGGACCCGCTTTCATTGTCGTCCTCCTCGTCTCCTTCCTTTCGCTCGCCCTCTTCGCCTTGCATCTCTTCCTGATCCATGTTGACTGCATCTTCGGAGTTCTCGATGTCCTCATCGGTCTTCTGCTTGTCCTCCTGAGCGAGTTCTGTCAGATCTTCATCATCGCCTACATCCTTGCTAATGTCCTCGGCTCCCTCGCCCTCTCCGAGGCCAGTGCCACTCTCGAGCTGGCCAGACTTGCTCTCCTCGGTAGACGGCTCGGACGGGCTACAGAAACCCTCTGATGCGATCTGCGTGAACGACTTGGCGAGAATGTAGGACATCTTACATGTCTCCTGATGCACTGTCAGGTAACGGTCGACCACGTCTCTGCAGATGTGCGCGAACTTGTTCATGATCGGCAACAGCGTCGCCGTCAAGGCGATAGCGAATGGGAGGCTAGAAGGTGAGCGACTTTGGAGGTGCTGCAGCTTGTCCAGGACAGATTCAAAGGAGGTCGAGATGTCGGCAATACGAAGGACCCTGAGGGCTCGAACGAAGAAGTCATCGCTCCGGGACAACGCACCAGGGGCGGTGATTTGCGACGGGATTTCATTCAATTTCTGGATGCTGACGAGAATCTTATCGGCGGCGGCGACGAGGCTTGCATCGTACTCCTCGATGGAGAAGGTAAGATCATGGTTATCGGACACGTAGGTGATAGCATTGACCTTCGACCAGGGGATGATCTGGCCCAGAACGAAGGACAGGTCAGGGCGCTCTTTGGTCCACGTCGCAAGGTCAAAGTTCAGCCTTGTGAAGGCGGTGCAAGCTTCTTCCACGGTGGTCTTGTGTACACGAGAAGACACTCCGGCGGGCAGTTCGGGAAGGTGGCTCAATGTGTTCTTCAAGCGTTCGAACGTGTCCTTCCAAGCTTGCAGGCCCTCAATCACGCTTGCAGAGTTGACGCCCGAGAATTTGGCGTGAAGACCCACGACAGTGATAGCTAAGCCGATAATAGGAGCAAGCCATGCAACAGCCCTTGTGATGTCATCTTTTCCATTCGAGAACTCAGGGTGGGCTTTGAAAATAGACAAGGGATCAGCGGTCCAGAGGTTGGCAACCTTGGAAAGCATTGAATCAAGCGACTTCAGGTTGGAGAGTGCGGGAGAAATCGAGGTTCTCTGCTTCCGAACGAGGTGCAGGAGGTGTTCGATAGAACCCGAACTTCTGGAAATCTCGACATTGCTCAGATCTTCAGAGTAGTCGCGGGCCGCTAGGCGGACACGAGGAAGCAGATCCAGCAATCTGTGGAAATACGAGTCTGCCTTCTTGAGCAACTGAGCGTCGGCGATGCCAGCTTCGAACGCAGGAATCGTGGCCAGGACTTGTGGGACTGATGCCTGTGCTTCTAGCAGACTGGTATTGACGTTACGCTTGACGCCCATTTCGTAGATTCGATGCAACGTGTCTGCATAGAAACGACGCTTCTGGACCTTCAGATGCTGGACGTCATCCTTGTTCTCTTCCGTCAGGGTCTTTGGAGTCTGCGACTTGAACTCCTTAATGCTGTCAACGACATACTTGACAAAGCTATCAAGGTCCTCAGCCACATCGAATTCCTTCGAAATGGAACTATACACCTGCACCATGCTGCTAGCTGTGTTATCGGGATTCTTGAACCGAGGCGGTCTGTCGATCCAAGCCTTCTCCTCGGTCTGGCACATTGCCAAGGCTTCAGGGAAAACAAAAGAGGGAAGAACAAGGCCCTTTTGAGGAGCAGTCGTATCCTCGTTGTCCTCTGGCATGTCTTGTTCCAGGATCGGTTGGGCCGGCTGGGCCAAGACCTCCCTATACTTGCGAACCAGCTTGAACAATTTGACGTGTGACCGTTTAGCACTTTCTCGGAGGGCGACAATGTTGGTATCCTTCCAGCTGGCCAGCTGGATTTGCTCCTTGATATTCTTCTCCAGAGCTTGCCTCTTTTCTGCCAGCAATTTAAGCACGGGAGGTTCAAACTGTTTATAGCGCTGCAGGAAGTTTTCGAGAGCAGAGGTGAGTTGACTCAATGACGGAAGGTCTTCCACGTAGAGCAGCAGCAGGGACTGGAAGTTCTTGATGAGTCGGAGACGTTCGCTGTACTGTCCGACAGTGGTGGACCGGAAGAATTGTTCCAGGGTCGCAGTAACCTCTTGGATATGATCCTTCAGTTCCATTTCACCAGATTCAGCGATCTGGATAGGCGCGCGGATCAAGGCCTCGTATGTGATGAACCACCATGAGCTGACATCTTGGGTACATTTGTCGTTCTCCAGATCCAGGAGCTTCGCCCAGGTAGTCAATTCAAGTCGCCGCCAGCCAATGATAGTGCTGGTGATCTGGTCATACAGGGAAGCTGCGGAGTATTCTTTGCTTGCAACCAGCTGCCACTCGTACACAAGGCTGTGAAGCTTTTCAACCTTGGTAAGGAATTTCGCGACAGGTTCAGTGTGCTTGAATTGAAGGATCTCCCGGCAGCACTGGATCACGTCTGCGAGCACTGCATGGTCTGGCCAGGCCTTCTGAATTTGAGCAAACCGAGCCTTAGTCGACAGGGTCAGGTCAACAAGCTTCTTAGCTTCGGTCATGTTCGGGTCCACGTAGAAATTGTAATT